AGATGGCATGTGCATATAATATTTGTTTTTATTTTGCACTATATCATTATTCAATAAATAGTGCTGTAGCATGAAATAGCTATAAAATTCTTTCATACTGTAAAAGCAAATATTTTAACTATTTATTTGTTTTTATGAACTATAATATAAGTAACTTATACATGTATACTGAAAAGGAACAATAGTCACCCTTTCTGTCAGTACACAGCATTACAATTTGAATAACACAAATATATTATAGAAGATTTTTATGTTTGGATTCATTTACTCAGACAAACTTTAGCAGCATACTCTGTGCAATTACAGTGCACGCACTTGAATATTTTTTTCTGTTCACTCAGTTATTCAGGAATTGAGATGTGGGCATTTAGTTTCTAAAATGGGAGGAAAAAGAAATTAAATCTCAGGGTGCAGTGGGTTGAGTTAATGAGTTAAATTTTTATCTTGTAATAGTGTGATTTACCTTAATTTAAAGACTTGCCAATTAAAAATGTTTATTGTTGAATAATAAAATATTCTACAAATTGCAAAGGATTTTTTTTTGTTTTTAATTCATTTGCTCATCCAGTTATTTCTTCAATGCAAAGTTATAGAAAAGAAAGTAATATCAGTGACCTTGAACTTGTCAACAAGATGTTGCATTAAGACAAGAAAGCATGCTTTAATTTCAACAGTGTAGTATAAACAGTATAGTAGAATTTTGTACCTTGCAATCCCAATTTATTACCAATGACCTTGAACTCTCCAAATTACACTGATTCATGACCTTGACATACCCTCAGAGTATAATATGATGGCATGTACATTATTCAGTTACATCTCTGACAAGGAATCTGTTTGAAATAAAACTCTAGGAATTTGATATTTGGTGCATTACTTGCATCATCAGAAGTTTGTTTCCTGAAACACAGAAGTTTTTGTTGACCTTTCAATCATTCTGAGATTGCTTTTTGTGTTTTAACTAGGCCATCATATATTTATCTTTAGTTTTTATACTGGCTAAGTCTGGCTTATAAACTTTGGCACGAGGGTGTCACCATAAAAGCACAATGCTTGTTCACTCTAGATGACCTTGACCTTAAAATCAAACAGGAGATCTACATTTTAGTGTTATTGTAATAATAAGTACTCATAATAATTGTTTAATAGAGTAGAAGTTTATTACTATACCATGATTATCACAGTGTCATAATTGAAAATTTACTGTTTATGTTAAACTTGTAACACATTGGATAAATCTTTCTGAGAGAATATTGGTCCTTTTCATCATAGTCAGAGCTGTCATTAGTAGCACAGTATTCCTTAAATGACAAATAAACAGAACTAAGACCCAGCTGAGTTGATTGTTGTGGTTGAGAGTTACGTCTGATCCACGTCCTGGGTAAGGTCCACTTTGACCATGTTGGTGGCAGTGGACATTCCACCACCCCGTAATCCCGCCAGGAAGACCTGGGGCCGCGGAACATTGGTGGAGGCGTCCGTCTTTGTCTGGGTCTCCTGCTCTCTGTAATGCGTAAAAATGACTGGTAAAATGGTGGTTACTTTAACAACTCCAAGATTCATACTAAGATTAGGTTGATTGTTTCAGAGTTTAACTCTTCAGAAAAGGGCAATAAATTCCATAAAATCATAAGATTTTCATGAGCTAACCATTTTCAACACTACTAAAGACTTGAATAAGAAGTAAATGCTTGTCCTAAAAAAACGCATTATTTCCCGATCATATTATCTTCAATCTGTTGATCAGCTCTTGATATAAAGTGTAATACATGAACTGACAACATTGATGTGATATATGAAGGAGACATACTTTGGCGGCCAGACTTGTATGGCAGTATCCCTCCGCATGTTACTGAGATTGGTCTGTACTGAGTGTGTGATTCGTGTCCGCAGGTTAGCCTGAAATACAAATGTTTCATTTGTTTAACCATCATTACTGTAAAATCACATCTTTTCGAGAGGTCAAATTTTCGAGGTTTGAGGCAAAAAAATTGGTGGTGGGTTTAGTAGTAATGCATATGAAATTTTACATTTTCTGGTGGTAATAAATTTGTGGGTTTTTCCATACCTTGAAAACAACAAAAATTAAACCACCAAGAAAATTAATGATATCACAGTATATAAAACTATGGTATGTATTTTTTTTTTATTCTAAATGTTTTGTTTTCTTTTTTTCTCCCTATAAAATTTTTTAGTCTAAATCCAATTTCTCAATACTTTTTATTCTGATATGCCTTTTACAACACTAACCAGTTTAATGGCCTTCCTCCTGAGTTCCCATTCATTCCATTCGTACGACTTGACAATGTTAGACTCCATAAAGTGTGTGTCTGTCTGTGTACCACTATCACATTTAGTGACCGGCTTCTCTATCATACGACCCTGATCTTTTCCCTGTCAATTAAAATGAGCTAGTTAATTAGTAACAGGCTGTCAGAAATGGCTTGGCTTATGATGATTTGGACTGCATTTCTGAGCTGATTTGTAATCTATTTGGCTTATTTAAACTTACCTGTGAATATGGTGTTATCGTGGCAAACTGGGTGTGTAACTCTAGCAGCTGAATTAATTCGGGACTTTTCTTTGCACCTTCTGCTACCAGTCGAATGTAACTGTCAATCACAAATAACACATTTATTTTTAAAATATTTTTCAAAGTCCAAGATTTTGTATGTAAGCCAGGCCCACTTTAAACTTTCAAATACAATACAGTGTGGGTCTAATAAGGTTTCTGGTTTTGAAGAAAAAACATGTTATTAGGTTTAAGACTGACCTGTCTGGATTTTGAGCGAATTCTCCTGCAGCATTTTTATTGGAGAAGGCATAGTAATGATCCTTGTATCTCAGCACTCCCACCTCAGGGTTTGACGGAATCAGAAGTCGGTCATATTTAGCTAAGGACAGAGCACAGTAACCCTAAAGACAAATAAATTAAGAAATTTTACTTTGCTGATAAAACATTTCCATCAAATCATAAATTTTGTACATGTACCACCAATGTGCACATTATTTTTATCTACAAATAAAAAAAAAGTTTCATAGCGATTTTTCAACTAATGATTTGGTAGTTTGTTTTTTTTTAATTAAACTTTGATTTCTAAAATGACAATCTGTACTGAATCTACCTACCCTATACTGTAATGGCAGTTTTGTGAAGTTTTTAGTGGTTTCTGGGAACAGCCAATCAGCATCTTTGAAATCTTTGGGATTAACTCTGTTTTCTGGACCAGATGTCTGTAAAAGTAATCCATAAAATGAAAACTGGGTATTTAAAGAGAGAAACCAATTATGAACACTTAAAAAAATTATACTGAGATAACTAGAAGTAAAACTAAATATAAGATAGGTTCTTTTTGAGTGGAAAATTTTCTTTTGCATACAAAAATTAATTTAATATTTTCTCTAAATTATTATTTTTTCCTTAAAGGGGATAGAGGTAAAAATAAGATTTAAGCAAAATTTTATTCACAAGACAAAATCAGACGCATTGTTGAAAATGAATTGTTTTAAAGGAAACATGGTGAGTGCATACACAGTGAATAAGTACTTACATCTTGAATTCTTTGTTCATCAGTTTTTACAATGACACCCTCTAAAAATGGACCAAGTGCTTCATCATTGAACAGTTCTCTGTGACCCTGTAAGAAATAATGATTTATATATGAGCTTAATTGTCTAGTACTATATAAAGCATTCTGGTTAACAGCTAAACAAAATTTCTAAGCCAACAAGGCTCACATGTTTCACACTGACAATAACTATAATCTTATATTATGCAGATAATGAAATGCACCTGCCAAGATTCCATGATTTACCTTAATCAATAATGATATATTTTGATGGTGATCTAGTAATGTTTTTAAGTCCCATTATGATATGATGTCTTTCGTATATCCTTGTTATATTGCTCATGACTTACAGGATATTCTCACCCTAGTATATGATACATGACTATCAAGGATATGCACACCCTGGTATATGGTTCCAAACTACTCAGAATATACTCACCCTGGTATATGGTTCCAAACTATCCAGGATATACACACCCTGGTATATAGTTCCAAACTATCCAGGATATACACACCCTGGCATATGCATGTATGGTTCCAGACTATCCAGGACATACACACCATGGCATATGGTTCCAAACTATCCAGGATATGCACACCATGGCATATGGTTCCAAACTATCCAGGATATACACACCCTGGCACATGCATGTATGCATGGTTCTAGACTATCCAGGATATACACACTCTGGCATATGGTTCCAGACTATCCAGGATATGCACACCTTGGTTTATGGTTCTAGATTATCCAGGATACACACACCATGGTATATGGTTTCAAACTATCCAGGACATACACACCATGGTATAAGGTTCCAGACTATCCAGGATATACTTACCCTTGTGTATGGTTCCAGACTATCAGGATATACTTACCCTTGTGTATGGTTCCACACTATCAGGATGTACTCACCCTTGTGTATGGTTCCAGACTGGCCAGGATATTACTGAGGACACTGAGTAAGACCATTTCATCCTGAAAACCACTCCACAGCTGGGACAGATGGATGAACTGGGGCTGTAACATAAACATTTCTGATAAATCACAATCATATACAGTAAGGTTTTTTTAAATACATAAATAATTGTTGAAACAAAATGAAATGCAGGGACAAAAGAAAGATAAGATGATCTTTAAAAAATAATTTCAGTATACCTTAATAGGAGTAAATTTCATTTGCATTTCTTATAGTGACAAGTAATTTGCCATTTGAAATCCATTTTATGTTTTTGTACCTTAAGTCAAGAATGCAATGTCATAATGACATTCATACCATATACTATTCAAAACTTGATATCTGCAAGTATAACTGTATATAGTTTTAACTTTTCTTGTATGTGATGTTTACCCATCTATTTTTTTCCTTATTGTTATCCAATGTTAAACAACAACTTACATAGACTTGTGCAGTGGGGACAGCTGTTTTGGACTGTACAGTGGCCTGTAGTTGCTCCATTCTAGATGCCAGCTGTTGTTCTAATAGTTCAACTTGCTGAGCACAACTAATGACATCATTCTGTAGGGGGAAAAAGTTAAATAAATTTTTAACTGTTCACTATTATTTCCCTTAAAAATCCAGAGTACTAATTTAAACAGGAGGCAATTATAACTTATAATTTATTTCATACTGTCAGCATTAGAAGTGAATTTGAAATCAAACAAAGATCTTGATTTGTTTTATCTTTGTATGCTTCTCGCTAGCAACTAAACACCTTAATAATGACAAGTGAGAACAAATTATACATACCAGGATAACCCTAAGAAAGGCCTCGTGTTGTCTTGTGTTTATTAAGGCTTCCTTTAGCAGCTGTGAGGACGGCCCTTCCTTAGAGTCCCCAGATAAACTTTTCTCAATCAGAGCTAAATCAACAAAGAAAATCTGTCAGTCTACATTAAGGTCACTAACTTAAGAAAATATTCAGAAATAGCTTTCTGGTTTGACACTTATCAAAAATTGGTACAGGTATTTTGTTGTTTTTTTTGTGCTTTTTTTGTGACAGAATAGTAAAAGATCAAATACAAGGAGAGTGACGCCTGCTTATGCTTCACCTCTATAACTTTGCGGTATACCTGTATATTTGTTGGCTGATTTTAGAGTTGCCTGGATTTCTGCATCCACATTCTGAGTGGTGGCAGGGACAGCTTCATTTAAAATGGCAGGTACTGTTAATTAAAAGTAGGAAAAGATTTATTAATTCTAAGTTCTTCAATAAAAAATCTCAAAGAAAATGGAAGCATATAAGTAGCTGAGTCATTAATTGCTAAAAATTACTAAACATTATAAATTCATTTCAAGCAAGTACATTTTGGCAGTATTAACCATTTTAATTAAACGTTATACAAAACAAACATACAATCATCTATTCCTTCTCCTCCTTTTCCGCACTCCTTATTGAATAATCTGATTCCCGTTACGATCATCGTCAGCTCCAGGAGTTGTCTTTCCTTATCTCTCTTTGTTAGTGACATAAAAGTTCCCAGTTCTGTTTGTGGGAAAACACTTTGCAGAGCAGCTACAAGCAAGAAAAAATACACTTTTAATTTTATGAGTATAAAATGTACAATCAGAACATTTTTCTTAGCTATCCATGTTTTAAAGAATTTAAGTGGCATATTATAACAAATTCTGATTGTTATAGATATATTCCACCATCTGAGTGAGGAGCCAGGGGTGTTGATGTTTGGCTCCTCTTCTCATTTGAAAAGAGAAGAACAGAATTGTCTCCTTGGCTAATTCTGAGTCTCAGTTCAAAAATTAAAATTCTCTGCAAAACTCATGTATACCTAAGCTTATAGAAGTATTTTTCTCGTAAAGGTGCAATTTTATACGGAGTTCAGAAATTTGTGGCATTTTATGACCTTGACCTCATACCTGTAGCTTCCCTGACAACCGCTATGTCTGTAGGACTGCCTAATCCCGACCTTAGTAAGACAGCAGACACAATCTTCCGGTACAAACTCTCTAACTCCTCTCTGGTTCTGGCTCGACTATCAGTGATTTCTCTTATAACAGGCTGTAACCGAGACTCCAAGACTCTCCGATGTTCCTCCAAAAAATCAGCTGAAAATGCAAAGATCAAATAAACTATAGAAAACACGTTTCATCTTTTAGAAGGAGTTTTACATCAGTAGTGAAGCAACAGATTTTAATCAGATATTTTTTTTTTTAACTTACATCGTGTTGTGTAATTCATGTCAAAGTACACCTGCATTTTGACAGTTTCCAAAGCAGGTGATCTACTGTCCATGAGTCTATCAACACACAGCTAAAAAAAATCAGTTAATTTTTAGAAGAAAGAAAATTTCTATAATTAATTAAACATTAATAATACATTACAGATTACTATATTGTTAAGAAATTAAGTATATAATATTCTACAGACAGTATTCATCATTGGAAAGAAAGGGAGATAACACCTACCAAAATTTGATTTTTAAAATAGCCCCATAATGTAAAACCCCTGAATTCATAATTATATGCTTCATAATTCTTCATCCGTTCTGTATGATTACCTTGATAAGCTTTTGGACATCATCTTTAGTCAGAGTTCTGTCTACATTAAATTCATTTGACGGATCCAAAACGACAGCTTTTACCTGTAAAATTTGAAATACAAAGTTGAAGAGATCCCCATCTTTATATCCCCCCCACCCAAATTCAATCATGACATTGTCTTCAAGAGCCTGGTTCACTTAATGCATAAAATGGCCCTGTAAATATACCAATTGATTGATTTTGATTGATTTTCCATGCAATTCTGAGGCATTAAAATAAAATAGAGACTTAGTGCTTTCATTTCCTATTAAAAATTTTCTCCTAAAAGTCCAGGTCTTGGAGAACTGGCTTTATAAAATTGCAATGTTCTTGAATTTTACGGTAAAGAGGTATAATTGAGTACTTCCAGTGAAGAAAAATAGTATCAGCGCACTCTCTGATCTAAAATATAAAACATGTTAGATCAGAGGTTGTGCTCTACATCAAATATCGAAAAATAGCTTCCAAAAATGGCCGTTTTGTAGACTTTTTCAGAATATAAGGAAATTGATGCATTTCATGACGTCATAATGCATTGACTAGACAGAAAATGACGTAATTTTTTATGGATATGCAGTCACCATGCAAAGATCTAAGTGATTATTCAATGCATTGTTAACTAAAACTATGCAGTTTCAGTTTTTCAGAAATTCACAGGGCAAAAGTGAACCCTGTTCTTTGGTATAAAGTTGAAATATGATATATTATTCATTATTTGTGAATCAGAACTGCACTGCATTTACCATGAAAGCAACGAGAGTTTCAGATACAGCTTGTCCTTTACTGGCACATTCCTGTGCAATTTCCCTGATGATGTTTTTAATCACGCTCTCCGCTTGAGCTCGAGACATGTTTGTTTATTTTCTCCTCTCAGTTTCTAAAAAAAAAGTAAGAAAAAAACTTGAAGTAAAAATAATCACTTGTCGAATTGTATTTTTTTCCCCGGAAATAACGATACATGTTATTAAAGATACTAAGAATATTCAAAAATTAGCAAGAACGACTTACTGTTAACTATAAACGTAGGCAATCGTCAATAAATACAAAATTTCGGCACCTAGTCTCACCTAGTCCTCCATATTGTTTATCCATAGATACAACTGCGTGCGCGTAATCCGGAAATGTAAATCCCACGTGACCCAGATGGCCGTCATCTCTCACTGACTGGAGACAGAGGATGTGCATCACTGTAAATTTATCAATTATGTAGACTCTGGATAATTAGCAAGTGCAATGTGGCAAAAAACGGACAGAAGTCAAAAATATGGAGTTGGTAAGTCACAAGTCATCGATCTTTGATTCTTATAAGATGTTTAAATGTGTGGAAAAGAAATGAGGAAGTGAAGAAATAAGATGTTTATAACATGTTTAGGAAGCATCATCAGCACGATCAAATAAAAAATGCAGTGACTAATCAGCCAGTGAGGCTCATTAAAATGCAGGAAAGGAAGTGAATTGTCTGTTACAGCAGTGGATATATTTTGTTCATAAGATATAATGTTTTAATTTAAATTAAAAATAAAAAATGTAAACATGATTTATGAGGTTGATAACCATTAAATGAGAAGTAATTTAAATACAAGTAGACTGTAAAGACAGTGCACTTTCCCATCCCTTGTAAGTTGTCCCTTTCTACAATTATTAAATTTATGTTTATTGTACTGAAATATTTCTAAACATATGGTCTCTTTACCCCTAGTAAATGCATGCATCAAAGGGACTTTTGTTTATCTAGAGACATATTATGATTCAGCTACATTATCTCAACCACCCAAACCTCAAATACCAGATATGTGCTGAAGTGATTTGACATTCCCTATAACTTTTTTTTTTGTTTTTAACCTCCTGGTCAACTCGAATCATTGGATGGATACTTCTCAAGTTCAGTCTTGGTTTTGTTGAGTTCAAGTTAACAAGGATTGACTGTATAAAATTGATTTGTTCATTTTTAAAGCCGAATCGTTTCTATGCAACCCTGTCCAGCATTGATCAGACTTAAAAATAATAAATGCCTACTGGAGTAATAATTAATTGTATGATCATTTAAGCTGCAGAGTTTGCATGTGACCTACATTTTAAAGATGATTAAGGATCTAGTTGAAACAGCTTCGCATAAAGTAGAATAACTTGCATATATAGTGTAACGGGGGTGGGGGCAGCAATCCTCTACTACTATTGGACCGCTCTCTCACTCTATCTATAGGGGCTGTCTTATCTTTCGTGGCAAGGCTTGCGTTACACAGCTCAACCCGAGCTCAGGAGGGCTAGTATGGCACAGTGGTTCAAAACTCAATACTCTTTAATCTTATATCACCACACACTAAATTATCTCCCTTTAATCAATGAACTCAGATAATACACCACTGCCCAAAATCTAAACCTCCTTTTATTAACCCGCGCTCTCTAAGTTACACTAAATTTATTAATACACGAAATCTCTCAGCTTTTCTTCTCTATTTGTCAAGCTTGTTACAACCTAGACCTAAGGAAATCACTAAAATTCTTAAATTATCATTACTCAGTTCTTATACTCTTATATCCCACAATTTCCATCTTGTTGGAAAATCACACTTTGATAAAACCTTGTAAATCTCTGTACTTGAAATGAGACAAAATACAGTTTTACAATTTATTACAAGAATTATCTCTCAATTAAACAATCAACAAACAAATTCTAAGCTCTGTCTCAGTCTGTCTGTGTCACCTATTAGTCCTGACTTATCTGTCTAAAACCAACCTCAATACAACTCACAAAACTCCTAATTCTCAGAACTTCCTTCCAGACCTCCTGGATGAAAGTAAAAACCAATAACTAAAACTTAATCCCTTAAACCTAATTAATTCCTAACAAATTTCAAACACCAGTAATTCCTGCAAATTTCCTAAGTCTGAATTTCAGTTAAAAACAGTAGCAAAATTTAGAAATACACTAGCTTCCGTAGCTAATTGTATAAATTACCTAAACAATTCCAAGTGATTCTAAAATTTAACAACAATTTACCAAAAATTCAAGCAACCAGCAAATTTTAACCAAGTCCAATTCTCAGCTAAAATTCACTAAAACCTGACCAAAACTTCCTACAAAATTCCACAAATATTCCAAAAGTTCCTAAAAATCCTTAAAATAACCCTGACTCTTCTTAAAATAAAACTAAAAAGTCATTATTAAATCTAATTTAAAAACGCCCAACCCATACTACCTCCTTACCCTAAACACGACTTCTCTAAATGAATCAACCTAGCAGAAGAGCAAAAATTCCTTGAATCTCTCTCTTTTATACAAGAACATGACGTAAAAGTTGGAAACTGTTGGACATGTTGGAAAACGTTGGAGAATCTCTCGTGACATTTCCCGTAAACAGCAAAGTCTATAGAAAAATCTAATAACTACATACAAGACAACTTCTCTGAATGAAAGTAATCTCTAAATACATTCTTCAATTAGAATAAGTCAATTAATCTCCATTTAAATCAACAAATAACACAATTAACTCCAAAAATCCTAAAACTATCGTAACTTTTACGATCGGGCTCGACCTACACAATTTACGACCGCCAAGTTCGTAAACAAATCTACCAGTCTATAAACTGCCGATAATTAACTGAAAACAAGTTGAACTTCAAGAAAACATGATTTCATCTATAAATCTATGGTTCATCTACTACAGAAGACCAATTAAAGTCCCTGAAACATGAAGTAAGCTAAAATAACGCCACAACTTTACTACTGCTATGATCAGCTGATTTCTACATAACTCAATACATGTGCACAAACTATTTCAACTCCTGTAAATCATTTAAACTTGTCAATAATCACCTATCAACTACATGCAAAGCATAAATTAATACATATTTCTGCAATGTCAAGTATCTATAACACATATACAAATTCATCTTAACTCTCCTATAATGTCAACAATAATCAGGTTCAATAACTCTGTATAAAACTTATCTGTCAAATCTCTGGACCGTTACACTACCCTCCTCTCAAAATATTTGTGTCCTCACAAATGACTAATCTCAAGTAAATGTCAAATCTAAACATTAAGGTCAAACTGTCTACCTTACAATGTACAATCATCAATACATTACAATAATATGACATAACTTCTGAAATTAGAACTTTGGCTATAATTTACACATATCAATGCTTTAATTTACCGTCCTTTATTCTTTCCTAGAATAGAATATCACTTAGCACAGTTCCATTTAACACAATTCCATTTAGCACAGTTCCATTTAACATAATCACGCGCAGTTCCTGGTCCTTCTCATCAAGGCATCGTCTCGTCAGATTACTTCTTCCCGTCAAGCATCACTGTCTGGTCCTATGGTCCATCTCTGCTTGGCTCATCATCATCACCTCATACCATCATGGTAATTGTCAAAGCTGTAAAACGTTTACCTTTGTGTTCTCCTTATGTGGATCCTCTGTGAATGATGGGGGTCTTGCTCCACCAATGCCCCCTTCTCCTGTCCCCTTCATGGCGAGATTCCTGATGATTCCAACGTTGGTTTCCCACTGCACAGGTAAGGCTGTGGTGAAGGTTCCATCGTTGCCACCATAGACAGTGGATTTTACAGATGGCAGTAAGTACAGTCTCTTCACTGGCACTGCACCATAGCCGGTATCCTTTCCTTGACTTTGAGGTAACATCAATATGTCTGATCCTAAGTCAAACTTCTTAGTTTTGTCTTCTTCATCTCCCTGGATGATCACGGTGTTCACCTCTTCCTCAGAGATTTCCATGCTGATTCTACTACCCATAACTTCATCATTATTCTCAACAACATTATCTGCCATTGTCTCTGGATATCTAGCAGCAAACTTTTCTAACGGTTTCACTGTAAAACCTTTTGACACTTCAGTAAACTCATCCTCTTCTCTATCAACAAGTACTGGTACATCCACAATCATTTCTGATTTGGAGGGAATCTGATAATCTTCCACAGCACAAACTTTCCCCAGTGGGCTGGGTTGATGGTTCTGTATGCAAGGGATGGAACAATCATTCAACAGGATGACACCCTCATGAAGATTAATAATGGCTGGTCCACCTGGACCCTTCATCAGCACATCTAATCCCAATAAAATTTCATCTTCAATTTCAGCAACAACTAACTCTTCCTCAAACTTCAATTCTCCTAACTCAAACTTGAACTTGGCTTTCCCCATCTCCTTCAGAGGTTGGCCATTTACACTGGTTAACATGTAAGACTTCTCTAAGTGGGGTCGTACATCCTCAGGGATCTTCCTGTAGGCTCGGTCTGACAGCACCGTCCGGATAGCTCCCGTGTCGACTGTAAGCATGACCTTCATGCCTTGAATCTTCCCTTTTATGTAGATGCCCTCACTCCTCACGAGTTGTCTTGCAATTTGTGTGATACCTTGATCACAAAGGGTGGTTACTCCTGTTGGTTGTGTTGTCTCCTGCATTTTCCTATGACCGTTATCTTTCCCTTCCGTTTGGGTCACTCCCTGGTCAACAGGAGTGACCCTCTCTAGTTTGACGACAAGTGGGTCAAATTTGGAGAGGAACTTTGCATCAAGGTTTCATCTCCACTTCGCTGGATATCGTTGGGTCGTTGTTGATTGGCAGTACTAAGAGTACTCTGTTGGAATCTCCCCTCGTTGTTACGAGTTTTCTGTTGATTCCTCAGTGGACAGCTCCTGGCAAAGTGTCCGTTTTGGCCACAAGCAAAACAAATTCCATTATTTGGTCTACTTGTTTGAGGATCTGCTTGTCCCCGGGGTGCTGGTAGGTTACCATTGTAAGGTGATCTTACATTGAAGGCATTAGTGGGATTTTCCCTCCTCCCTGGCCATTGGTTGGAATCAGATGACCTCTCTGTAGACTGCGTCTGTAGTTGAGATCTGATTTGTTCCTCTACCAACTGCTTTACCAGATTTTGAAGATCTCCTTCCTGTATGGTAATGGTCCTTGGAGCACCTGTTTGGTATTTCTGTTGTGCAGACTTCCATCCTGTTGATTGCTTTTCCTGTGGCTTTACTGATTTCTTAACAGGTTTTTGCTTGACTGGAGCATTGACCTGTCTTGTGGGTTTCTTTTCCTTCCTGTCACTGTCTTCTGGATTATGGGGATATCTGGTGGTCTCCAGGTAATGTACCACATGATATACAGCATCCTCGATTGTCTCGGGCTCCTTATTCAGTTCCACAAAAATCCTTGTCTTCTGGTCTCGAAGTCCTAGGAGGAATCTCCTTAACAAATCCTCCTGTCTGATTGAGATGCCTCTGTTTTTGTAAGCTTTATCATACAAACGTTTAAGCTCAGCAGCATACTCCTCGGCTGATTCACCAGGCTGTTGGTTCCTGCGGGTAAACTGCATTATGTAGAGTTTGGTAGTCTCAACTTCACCAAATCTGCTTTGTAGCTCCTTCAGTAGGCGTTTGTAGTTACTTAGGACTGAGGTGGGTAACTGTCCGTATGCAAACTCCCCAGCTACTCCTTGTAGCCTTGGGAGGATTTCACGCAGTTTTTCCTCCTGTGTCCAATGCTCAATATGGGCGACAGCCTCAAATCTGTTGTACCAAACTTCCCATTTTTCAGCCGCTCCTGTAAAAGCTGGTAACTTCACATTTGATTTCTGGCCTTTGTAGGTTGGTTGGAAAATCTCACTGGTCCTGACACTGCCATTTGATGACCGTCTCCTGGGTATTGGTTCTATCTCTTCCTCTGAAGATGAGGGGGATTGATTCTGGTCCCTGGATGTTAACTGGGTTTTCCTCCTCTGATGTGCCATGCTCCTCGCAAGGCGGTCAGAGGACTTACCATTTTCCAGTTTCTTAGCAGCGTGGTCAGAGTTCTGTTGGTCAGTGAATCCTGCAAAGGCTGTCTGGATAGCTGATACAATCTGACTGGTCATTTCCTTCAAGGCTCCTTTTACTGCATTGTAAATACCAGGTGAATTGTCTCCCGCATCGTTGGAAGAATTTCTTGTAGGAGTTGGTTGTTCTGTTAGATCAGCGTTTCCCAGCCTCCTCCGTAATCCAGGTCTTCCAACATGCCTCACTGGTGTAGGCCTTCTCACTTCACGTAGATCTGCATCTCGCCTAGTGCTTGGTAGTGATGGACTGCTTCTCATATGGACTTCAGCTCCAACGTTGATTTGTGGTCTGACAGTATTTGGCATGTCATCTTCCTCAGATGACACAAATTCATTTGCTGTAGTTTCATAATCTGTAGTTTCTCCTTCAGTGACAGTCAAGGTTCCAATGTTCATCTCATCATCTGTAATCTGCTGTATCTCCTCATGATCAGCTTGACTTCCCTCTCGTCTAGATTTTGTTGAGGCTTGTTGTCTCCTCTTCACCATCTTTGTAGTTAGAGATGTTCGTTTCACTGGATTTGTGGTACCAACACTCCTTGGTTGGAATTACAAATCCTACCGGCGACGCCAAGTGTAACGGGGGTGGGGGCAGCAATCCTCTACTACTATTGGACCGCTCTCTCACTCTATCTATAGGGGCTGTCTTATCTTTCGTGGCAAGGCTTGCGTTACACAGCTCAACCCGAGCTCAGGAGGGCTAGTATGGCACAGTGGTTCAAAACTCAATACTCTTTAATCTTATATCACCACACACTAAATTATCTCCCTTTAATCAATGAACTCAGATAATACACCACTGCCCAAAATCTAAACCTCCTTTTATTAACCCGCGCTCTCTAAGTTACACTAAATTTATTAATACACGAAATCTCTCAGCTTTTCTTCTCTATTTGTCAAGCTTGTTACAACCTAGACCTAAGGAAATCACTAAAATTCTTAAATTATCATTACTCAGTTCTTATACTCTTATATCCCACAATTTCCATCTTGTTGGAAAATCACACTTTGATAAAACCTTGTAAATCTCTGTACTTGAAATGAGACAAAATACAGTTTTACAATTTATTACAAGAATTATCTCTCAATTAAACAATCAACAAACAAATTCTAAGCTCTGTCTCAGTCTGTCTGTGTCACCTATTAGTCCTGACTTATCTGTCTAAAACCAACCTCAATACAACTCACAAAACTCCTAATTCTCAGAACTTCCTCCCAGACCTCCTGGATGAAAGTAAAAACCAATAACTAAAACTTAATCCCTTAAACCTAATTAATTCCTAACAAATTTCAAACACCAGTAATTCCTGCAAATTTCCTAAGTCTGAATTTCAGTTAAAAACAGTAGCAAAATTTAGAAATACACTAGCTTCCGTAGCTAATTGTATAAATTACCTAAACAATTCCAAGTGATTCTAAAATTTAACAACAATTTACCAAAAATTCAAGCAACCAGCAAATTTTAACCAAGTCCAATTCTCAGCTAAAATTCACTAAAACCTGACCAAAACTTCCTACAAAATTCCACAAATATTCCAAAAGTTCCTAAAAATCCTTAAAATAACCCTGACTCTTCTTAAAATAAAACTAAAAAGTCATTATTAAATCTAATTTAAAAACGCCCAACCCATACTACCTCCTTACCCTAAACACGACTTCTCTAAATGAATCAACCTAGCAGAAGAGCAAAAATTCCTTGAATCTCTCTCTTTTATACAAGAACATGACGTAAAAGTTGGAAACTGTTGGACATGTTGGAAAACGTTGGAGAATCTCTCGTGACATTTCCCGTAAACAGCAAAGTCTATAGAAAAATCTAATAACTACATACAAGACAACTTCTCTGAATGAAAGTAATCTCTAAATACATTCTTCAATTAGAATAAGTCAATTAATCTCCATTTAAATCAACAAATAACACAATTAACTCCAAAAATCCTAAAACTATCGTAACTTTTACGATTCGACCTACACAATTTACGACCGCCAAGTTCGTAAACAAATCTACCAGTCTATAAACTGCCGATAATTAACTGAAAACAAGTTAAACTTCAAGAAAACATGATTTCATCTATAAATCTATGGTTCATCTACTACAGAAGACCAATTAAAGTCCCTGAAACATGAAGTAAGCTAAAATAACGCCACAACTTTACTACTGCTATGATCAGCTGATTTCTACATAACTCAATACATGTGCACAAACTATTTCAACTCCTGTAAATCATTTAAACTTGTCAATAATCACCTATCAACTACATGCAAAGCATAAATTAATACATATTTCTGCAATGTCAAGTATCTATAACACATATACAAATTCATCTTAACTCTCCTATAATGTCAACAATAATCAGGTTCAATAACTCTGTATAAAACTTATCTGTCAAATCTCTGGACCGTTACAATAGTGTACATAAAAGTCAAGTGATGTAAAGTCTTAATTTCTGTTGACAGGGTGAGGTAAAAGACAGATTTATAAAATGACCAAAACCTCTAATAGCTGAATAGTTTTATTTGATTTTTTTAAATATCTACTCGTAAATGTATTCAGTATGTACTCATTATGATTTCTTAATTTTACATAATATTGTTATTATTGTAGTGATGTACCTTTAATTAATTAAATAAAAGGTTTTTGACAATAGTTTTATTTTTATTTCAGTTATCTACAACTACCACTCCAGACTGCCACACAGACTAGATTTAAATATTGGAGACACTGTTCACATAAGTGAGGAATTAGATGGTCAGTTTGTTTATGATATGATTAGCATGGTTATTTCATTGTGAAAAAATAATACTCTAGCTTTTTTGAAATCTTTTATTTTCTTCAGAACATTAACTAAAACAAGTTTGATAAATGTGTATTTAAAACAGTATAATATATTGGTAATCAGATCAAGTGTTGATTAAATAAACTTAATGCTGCATCAGTTTAAAGTGAAAAATCCTCAGCTAGCTGTAACAGAGAATGCCTGGTGTTTCAGATCCTTGTACATGCAGAAGTGTTAACATATCAGTGGAAGGAAAATTGAATGATAATTATCCCTACAAATAGGGAAGTACATGAAGCGCTCGGTAACTTGACTCCTAGGTGCAGTTTGTAAATAGTTTAAGTGGCCTCATTGTACATGGTGTCTGATGCTTAAACATTTGTGTCACATTTATGCAAGTAGGCTAAGAGCTGCTTTCATAGTAAATTTCTGTCTGTCCATCTTCTGTCTTCTCATGTGGGATTTTTTTTCTTTTCATTTTTATGCCCCTGTAATCAAAGATTCAGAGGTGTATAGTTTTTACTCAGTCCATCTGTCTGTCTGAACTTTGCTTGACTGCAAAAACTTTAACCTATTTCGTAACTTTTGAGTGGTTGGGGCCATGGCTTTTATATTTCACAGGATTTTGTGCAGATTTCTTTTAAAGTACTTCTACACCCTACACTCATTACAGATACATTTAAGATGCCTCTAGCACATGTATTTTCATTGCTGGATTTCAAATACTGTGATTTCATTTAAAGGAATATTAACAATGATAATGATTTTAGAGTAGTTTTAAGTTTCCTGGAGTAGTCTCATTTCCAAGTAACTAAAAGCATTATATTGATCAAACTTACATGGACGATACATTTAAGGATGCACACTACCAGGCTTGCTTTGGATGCTGGATCTGACCTACAATTTCCAAATGTTTGACCAAATTCAAGTTCTTGCAGCAGGTCTTTTCCAAGCGACTATAAGGCTAATACCAGAACCAAGATTGCATGTATGATGCATCAAAGGATGCACAATATGAGCATTTTTACAGATGCTGAATCTGACCTACATTTTTCAGACAAGTGACCAGGTTAAGTTTTTTAGAAGTAGGTCCATTACTAGAAGAAACTAGATGGCCTATATGAACCAAACCTGCATGAATGATACATCAATGGATGAACACTCTCAATCTTGCTTCAGGTTCTGAATGCCAGCTTCATTTTCTGGATAAAATGACTTTATCTTTATGTTTTTAGATATTTCAACATCCATATTTACATATTTAGATCCATTCCCAAGTATTGAAGTAACTGCAAGTTCTATTCAGACCAAAATTGCATAAATGTATTATGTTGTACTAGCATCTTGGGATGTACACTACTACAGATACAATATTACCTGTACATGTAGTTTAGTGTGGGACTTTGCCTGACTTAAACACAACATTTGTTGAGGTTGCATGATACCCATCAATGAATTCCCCATTTGTATTTCATGTCACTTTGACTAGAATATTGTCATTCTTTATGAATGATACATTTTTTTGTTGCAAAATGTAATGGTAGCAATATGATGCTGTCTATAGAAGATGTAACTAATACAAAAATCTTTTATACATGTATATAACTATCAAGTAGCAATTTCACTTGCCAAAACTGTTGAACAATAGGATTTTTTGTTAGTTTTTGGGACATACAATAAGGGGTTTCTCAGATGTCTGCATATTAAAATATCAGGAAGAGAAAAGGGAATTGAATTATTTTATGCCCCAGGGTTCCCTTATTTTTCATCTGGCTCGGTCCCAGATTTAGATATGAGAGCTCTTCAGATACAGCTGGACTTAAGTGTTGAACATTGATATCTTGGATACTGCTGGATATGTCAAACTGATTTGGAAGTCCCAATCAATTATTCTTTTAAAGTTTTTTACCTGCAATAACTTGAATCAGAATATCTCTTGGAAAGTAAGATGCCCCAGGTTATCATAGTAGCCCAATACCTTTGTGTTTTTGTGTTGTTGTTGTTGTTTTGAGGCCAGTTTTGTGTTGATCATGTGTAAGGTAATAAACAAAGGGGCTGAGTCCATTTTGCTACCAAAACTGGTATTATCTATTATAATAAGGAAAGAGTTAATGTGATAATCATGATAATAATTTACGACCTACAGAAGAGACCCACAGTATGTCTCAGGAGTCATCCTGTAAAACATTACGATTTTTTCCCTGTACACCGCAGTGCTATTTTAATTATCAAAGTAATATTAAGTTCTATTATTTGTATTGTGGTCCCAGCTTGCTGAGGAAGTTTTTGTTCTTTATATATACATTAATGCATTATGAGGGGGATAGATTTTGGTGTTGTTAAAAGAGGAAGTTGATAAATGAGTTTAACTTCCTGCTTTAATGAGCAGCTAAATATTGTCTGAAGTGTGTAAATATTAGTTTATCTGCACAGTGATATGCCTCAGTTATTGAAGATAGACATCTTTTTGCTTCTGCTAAAATGTCTGATATGTAAAGGTCCATTACTTCAACATAAAATGAAAAAGATTATCATTAAGTCTCATTTTCCTTGCTACTTTTTACCCAATCAAATTTTTGGGAAGTAATATATAGATGGGGACTAATCTAGGTCATATTTTCCACTAAACAATATACAGTGCAGATATATTTCCCAAGATAAAATTTCCCATTGAATAACTAAACTTCCCTTTAAAATTTTACCTACAATTTTTTTTCTAGTATAATTTTTTTTTCTTTTTTTATTCTAAGTATTCTAGACTTGTAAATGTTATAAAATTTTTAGCTCTATTAGCGAAAGACCAGAAGAGCTGTGTCTGTCATCCTTCAATATGTTTATCTGTCTGTCAATCAGTAAACAATTATTGAAAGTGCTACTTCCCATGCAGTTTAGGGCTGATTTCAGTAAAATGTTCTACATAAGTAAGCTATATTAATCCATGTTTTTACATTTCAAAAATGATAAATACTGGCTGTTTGTCTCAAAACATATAATGGTACTAATCACCATGGTCTAGTTTCCTAAGGTTTACAGTGTTCTTAATCAGAATGATGTCTGAAGCTTTTTCTGTATCAGTTGCATTGCTGTGAGATTCAGATGCATGAAATTAAAAGGAAGTAAACCTGTTTATTTTTTGATGTATTAAATTTCACTAAATTTAAAGATAATTTTTGCTTTTAGATTGGTATTATGGATACAAGATAAAAAACAAAAATGAGATTGGAATCTTTCCCAAGTCTTATATCCATGTGCGAGAAGCTGTGGTTGCTAAATTTGGGTATGTTACCAAAATTCAATATATTTCTCTTGAAGCTTTTGGATTCAAATTAAGAGGAAAGAGAAAAATATTGGAATAGATATAGAGGATTCATTTCTTATTGTTAATTATAGGTCCCTGGAACGTGTGACCTCCACAGAGTCTCCCATTGCACAGGAAATCAGCACAGTGCTGCGAGAATGGTACATCATTTGGAAACAGTTCTACCTGGTTTGTACCTGTCACATAGTTAATGGAGAAAGTCTGGTATGTTCAGGCATTAGACTGAGTATTACCATACTTCATTGCTTTCTAAACCTTAATTGGGGGAGGGGGGATGTATTTTCACCATGGTATTCACCATCGTTAATTATTGTAGTACTTCTTGGATGGTTAAATTCCTTCTTTTAGATAAAACTGCAACCGTTAACAGGATAATTTTAATTGCTCTCAGTTTTCCTAAGCTAACCGGCTGATATTATATTTATTTACAGGACAGGAACGAGGAGTTGGAGAAGGTCCAAGGAATGATGTTAGAACTGATGGACTGGAGAAAAAAAATCATGTCCAGGAAACTGACCAACGTAAGCTTGTTTGTTGGTTCTTCTTGCTTCTGAATGATAAAATTGAGAATGCTCAACTATTTCCTGATAAAACGTGAATCATTGATATCACATTTCAAAATAAATTTATTTTAAAATTACAAAAATCCCACCCTCTCCCCAAAAAAGGGTAAATTGCACACTGAAAGTTTTTGCAATGTATACTCTTTGAGCATTTGCAGTGGGTTTGCGGAAAGCAAAATGACTGCTTAGTTTATATGTAGGTAGAATTTAACACGTAAATATTCATCATTTTCAGCTTTTATTCCATGAATATTTTTACTTTCAGGAAGAAGTCAAAGATCTTCAACAGAAAGTTTCCTCTCGGATAGATTTTGGAAATGCGTAAGTTTAATCTGTAAAGTAGGTCTTGACTACCCTCCCATACTTTTCTCAATGTCTGTGCTCAAGCTGTGGGATAGTGAAGTAAATCTAAGTATTACTCTTGCATCTTATACATGTTAATGTCTTTCTAAGAAAAAAAATGAGATAAAATCACCCCATCTGTTTTTGCAAGTCAAATTATTTGACTTACGCATAGTTATATCTGAATAAAATTACAAGGATTCATTTAAGAAAGAAGTAGTTTATACCTTTGATTTAGATAAAGATTTTTCTCAGAGAATTTATATATTATTTTATGAACGAATGCTATTGATGTTCTGTAATTATTTGTATATTAATGCTGTTGATGACCTGTAATTATTTGTAGGATGCTGGGTTTGGACCTGGTGGTCCGGGATGAACAAGGAAACATCCTGAATCCTGATGACACCAGTGTTGTAGAGCTGTACAAACTGGTAGGTCCTTCCCTCAAAGTCAGAGAAGAAAGTCCAAGGATGCTCTAAAAAATAGCCTTTATACATAAAATAAATTATTGTTTGGGCGGAAATTCTAATTTGAATATGATTACCTACATATTTTTATCCTTATTATTTGAGTTCATAAAAAAAATAGCTGTGTGGCCTTTTCTTTGTAATGAAAGCTTCAAGCTCAGTTGAAATTCTTTGATCAAAGTTTGGCTGTCATCATTTAAAGAGCCCATACTCTAGTGAGTATTGTGGACGTTAGGCCTGTTATTGTAGTGTTGACTTTGTCTTTACAGCACGAGACGGCATCAGACAGAATCCGGTTAGAACAGAACACGGTGACGGGGGAGAGGGATTTGTCTGTTACAGGACCACAGACATTCAATCTCTTCGTCCAGCTGAGAAACTTTGTATGTCGGATCGGAGAAGATGCTGACATACTGATGAGTTTGTATGATGCCAAATTCAGCAAGTTCATCAGGTGAGAAAGGAAAGGTGTAAAAATACAGAAAGGGTAGTACATGAAATTCTGTCTGTAAGTTCTGCACGGTGACTGCTAATTGTGTACTGGACAAAACAAAAAAGTACATATTTACTTGAATTTAAAAGAAAAGAACTAAAGTCATTTGATTAAATTTCTTTGTAATACATTTTTCCCTTTGTTTTACAGTGAGAACTATATAGTCCACTGGGGCAAAGATGGTGTGCCAAAAGATATAGATATGTTAAATAATTTCCGGGTTGTGTTCACTGTGAGTAAATTAATAACATTTTTTATCTGAATTTGATTAGGCCTAGGATTATCAAACTTTGTCATCTGATGCATCTTGGGTTGTGTGTCACGCACAAAAATTTTTCGCTCTGACCTTTGATTAAGAAGTTATAGCCAAATATGGAAAAATTTTCCGGCTCATAACTAGAAAACCATAAGACCTACAATCATCAAACTTGGCCAGTTTATCATGTTTATTAGAAGGTGTGTCATGACCTATTTCAAGGTCACTGTAATCTTTAATATAAGTGAATTTTTTTTTTAAAAATGTGTCTTTTTACTATTCATTTACACATCCCAAATAATGTAAGAGTATTGCACTGTTCTTATTAAAAAAGTGTTAAATCAAGAAAATTCTGATTTTTTTTAAAAATATACTTGACAGCAATCTAAAACAAATATAATGTATGTTAGAGAAATCCCATGTCTCCCATGAGTGTAATTATCAAGCACTGGTCAAGAAGAATTTTGATAACAGAAAATTGCATGTCAAATTAGAAAGAAATTAATGGGTTTTGAGTGCGAGGAGCTAACTGACAGAGCATTGGTGTTATCTATATCCCTTGAGAGTTGGGCAAATGGGTAAGCCTGTTTGATTAAAAATAGCTCTTGTTGACTATCTTAAGTTTTGAAATGAATTTGATGAAAAGTAATTAAAACTAATTTGATATTGCATAATAGACTAATCTGATATGTAATTTTATTAATTTAAAAACTAATTTTATGGGGTGCGGTTGAATCAGCATGTCCATATGAATTACATATTAAAACCTGTCGGACATTAAATCTCAACCAAAAAAAAAATCTTTGAGTATTTTATATGCTTTTAAAAAAAATTTATAGTAGATAGTGCAGACCCATTCATCTCTTGGTAGTAATGAGTAGACAAGCATCCAGTTAAAGATTAATTAATGAGTTTAATGTAGGAAGGCTAGCTGTCTCAGTCGCTCTGATTAAGCAGCCCTTTGGGGATTAGACAGAGGAACTGCTGGTCAGTTTATAACATACGAGGGCTGTTCGAAAATTATTGAGACATTGTGTATATTTTTATTTCTAATGAAGGACTTTTGTTGAAATTTGGCATATACGTTTGGCATACACTAAAGGATAATAAGAGCAAGAAATATTTTACAAATATTAAATATTTTCTCTACAATGGTATATAAATATGTCAGGGATTGGGGTGTCCTTGAAAGTTCTTCACGGAATCTGTCATTGAAAATATGTAAACCCAGAATTCTAATTCTTCATGGATCCATTATGAGAGTGAAAATAATTAAGTTTAAGCAAATAATTTTTCAGCTTTGGTTCAAATTCATGTTGTGCAACTTTGGTAGAATTTTGATCAGAAATATGGAGATCATAAAAAAATTAAGCGCGATAGAGAAATCTGATAACAACGAAAAAATGGATTTTGGCGTCAACGGCGGAGCAGCCAGAATACCTAAAATTTTGTGTAACGCAATGTAGAACTCTTTTCAAGACTAAACGACCTGCTAAAACAATAACACAGAGAGAAAATTGAAGTGTTAGGGTTTGTTTTTTCATTGGTATTCGTTTTTTTTAAACAATTGATTTAACTAGAGTAAAATTAAATGATCTGATCGACCATGAGTTATTACGTACATATATGTACAATATTGATTTCGTTACGGTATTTAACCCGCGTTGCTTAAATTAGCACTGCATAATTTTAAGTCATCCTTTCCCTCAAATGAAAATTTTTGACTAGGGTAGCAACAACATAATTTTCAAAGAATAGTTTATGAAAGGAGACTGTATGATTTTTGTAATTTTATATATGCAATAACAAAGAAGGAAGAGCATTAAACGCTTCCCGATCGTTTTACATGTTTTAACAATCGACAGCTAATGTAACGTTAAATGACGTAGCGAGGCTGCTCCGGGTCGTTAGACATATGCATATTTATTACTTCACCAAAATTTATCTAATTATCGTAGGAATTAGAAATTTTGCGTAAGTGTTTTAGTCGCTCTTTATAAGATGCTGATGAATTTTCATGAAATTTTCTCTGTCCTTAATAGAGTAAATGTAATTGTCTCAATAATTTCCGAACAGCCCTCGTATGTCATTTGATGGCCAGCCTTTTCTTTTCAAAATTAATTTGGTATAGATTAAGTTGTTAAGACTAATTTGATGATGGGCATTTGACAAGGTCTAACACAACCAGCACAGAAATCTATCAGTGATGTAATATTTATTATAATTGATGCCTACATCACAGGGGATGGATAAATATTTTAAGGAATGGAAAAATCATCGAAATCTTAGAATCAAGGTTGATGTGATTTTCTTGCACCTAAACTGTTCAAGAAAATTGTAATTTTTTGACGGGCGTATCATGCTGTGGCGCGGCACTTTATTTGATATTTAACAGTCATATTATCACATGCTTCTAAAGACAGATGTGTACATTTATCATGTTTATTTGTACTGAGAATCACTTCCTATTTGAGCTGTCATTTAATCTTTGTTTACATCTGTCTTTTTTTTATCTTTCTCTTTTCCGTTTAGGATCTAGGCTCAAGAGATCGCAATAGAGAAAAAGTATTTCTAGTCTTCCAAATAATAAGAATAGGTACGGCAATAAACCTTCTAATTAGCATTTCTAAACTGAAAAAAATATGTTAGCTGGTCTGATCAGAATATTCTTTAAGAAGTTTTAAAAATATATTTATAAAGAGTTGAAATCTGCTTTCTTGAGATATCTGCCATTCACGTATAAAATCTTCAGAACCAGTGATCTCATTAAGCCAGTCTTTTCTCCAGGTGTGATGGACCCCAAAGATGTGGACGATAAGAAGCAGACGAGAGGACTTCGCCGACCGTTCGGTGTGGCAGCTATAGATATCACAGAGTACCTCGGGGGACTGAAGAGCAACAGTGCCGAGGAGGATAAACAAATCTTTATTCCATTTCAGTCGTAAGTTTACAACAGGGCATCTGGTCTCTAGTTGTTAATATTTTTTTCAAATATATACTATATATACTACAGTAGTAGACTGCCACAACAAAATTTCTTCTGGAACACCATGAAAACATATAAGAATGGACTTGTTTGTATGATCTCACTACAGACAAAGGCCACTGTCATGTAGATAAATCATTGATTATAGAGTTAAGGTTAGAAGGGGCCAACATTTGATGTGGAAATATCTACGTGGAGGAAAAAAATCTGTGAAAAGTGTCGAGGGTTTTATTGATTTACATGATCATATTCATTTATATATCAGGAGGAGAATGCTGTCTTCATTGAATGTTCTGTTTCATGGCCCCCTTGTTGTATACAATTAAATGCAAAACCAAACATAAGAATTTTGAAATAAGTGAATACTTTGTACTGGTATGTATAATTTTGAAAATTATATTAATTTCATAGATGTGGAGAAAAAGAATTTATGGATGGTCTTATCAAAAAGGTTGTAGTTGCAAAGGAAATTAACCATAAAGGTCAGGGATTGTGGGTGTCCTTGAAAGTTCTTCAAGGAGATGTTAAACAGGTGAGAAATTCATGTTCTGTTCTATTTGTTATTTTTTATGGATTTTGTGTAAATTATGCCTTTGAGGTTCTATGGCACAGCTGTGATCCACACACCTTGTTCATGCTTTGAAAATGCCATTATGAATATAATTTTCAACAATTTTGAAACAGGTTCGTTATAATTATTGTGAAGAGCTCTGCTGAACCAGACTCAAATTTTCTCTCTGAATTATAATGACTTTGATCACTTCTAGTCCCATTCTACTCTTAATCCTTGTATATTGCCTAGTAACTTTATACGTGAATTTTCTTTTGCAGGTCAAAGAAGATTACCCCCATTTGATTGGTCCAAATACTTGTGTCTCCAGAAAGCTGGGCTTCCCAGATGTCATTATGCCAGGTCAGATTTTATTTCAAAATTCATTGAGAGGAAGTTGCGAGTTTGGATTTTTGTAAAATGTGTGATTTTTTTGCTTCAACATTAACAAAGGTAAATAAGATAGATAATCTTGATTGGTTTGTGAATACATCATATTTTAACACTTGAAAATAAATCTGTATTTAATGGTTGTCCCAGGAAAGGGAGGTAAGGGTAACAACAAATAGTAGAAAACCCAAGTTGTTGTTTATTTTAAATTTTCTGTTTAGATTTATATTGAATTGTGATTTTTTTTTTAAAAGAGGAAAATTTAATAAATGCCATGTTTATTTTTTGTTGCTTAATTTTACCTCTATATATTTACATACTGAATAACAGAAAATTGTTACTTTTGTTTTTGTTAAGAGCTGTGTTGTGTTTTATTTCTCTTATTTATTTGCATCTTTTAGTGCAAGTACAGTAGCTTGTATTTAGTCAAGTCAATGATTTTTTTTTCCACTTTCACAAAAAAATTGTGTGTATTGAATGCAAGACACAGTTATCATTTTGTATAATGTTTTTATATATTTTTTCTCTACTAAACAATAACTTTCCCAATCACAGGTGATGTGCGTAATGATATTTATGTCACGATAAAAAGCGGAGAATTCACGCGGGGACCAGCTAAAACTGCTGATAAAAACGTGGAGGTGACGATGCTTGTCTGTAACAACAAAGGAGAGATCCTTCAGGTAGGCGGGGGCATATTTGAGAACTGTCATTTCCAAGGGATGATACTATATATAGTAAACTACTGTTTGGTAGCTATTTTAGACAAAATTCTCACAAAGTTTAACAAGCATGTTTCCCATCCATTCAATAAGTTTATAAGACTTGAAATAAAAAAAAAGATGAATTACAATGTCAGGGCAGCATTCAAGATCAAAGCAGGTAGCTTAGCAGCAAGGCTAGATACATGTCAATCCCTTTACAAAATGATGACTTTCATTCGAGAGTCTTGATACTCTTGTTTCATCAACCTGTTTGTATGACTGTTGAATGCATTGTATGGATTAAACATTGAAACCCCTAAGTAGCAGTTGGGTTAATTATTAATTGAAATTATAGGTCTAAAAAGAATCATATAGCCACTAATAAAAAAGAACTGACATAAAATATAAAGTATGTGCTGTATGTAGCACTATACAGTATACTGATGTATAGGGAATGAATTTTATGTTCTTGATTTTGTTAACAATTAGAAAAGAGATTGTATTGATTGCTGACAACACAAGGATAATTTATTTGTTTATTACAGAATGTAATTAGTCATGGCTGTGGGGGTGAGATGATGTCTGAGTACAAGACTCTTATCTACTACCACGAGGACAAACCAAAGTGGCACGAGACAGTCAAAGTAATTACACTCAGCTGAGAAACATATATACTGTAAACCAAGTATTATCTGTGTGCAAAAGATATCTGTGGGTTTCTTCAGTCGCAAAAGTTAAACGGCGTGAACTGATTTCAAACTGACGAATCAAGAAATAAAAGATGACACGAATAATAGTAGATTTACAGTAGTTAAAATTGTCATCCATTTAGTATGTTTTAAGTTTACGTCAAGTGTCTTGTATTTCTAATTGTTTCCTTTTGCCAGGTTGCTATATCGACAGAAGAAGAATTCAAAGGCTTACATCTTAAGTTCACATTTAAACACAGATCAACAAGTGATGGTAATACTGTTCTCTCTCTCTCTCTCTCTGAATCTTCAAACAAGAAATAAGGGGGAAAATCCAATTTAAAAGCGTGCAAACCTGTTATAGCATCTCCCATGATTTTGTTAAAGTCTGTTTCTTGATATTTATAGAAATCACCCCTCTGCTTTTCAATTTCTGTACTCTCTTTTTGTGTGTATTTGATGAGCAGATGATTAAAAGCTTCTCTTTATTTTATTTTTTTTAGCAAAAGACAGGTCTGAGAGACCATTTGCAATGTCATTCATCAAACTCATGAACAAAAATTCAACGACGCTGTCAGACACAGATCATAACCTGCTCGTCTACAAGGTAGGAGTCTGTTATGATGAAAAGCTAGAAATTCTCTCTAAGTCACGGCAAAATATCTGTTGTTAAAACCCTAGCAGTTGTCTCGACCTTAAATGAATGGCTTGCTTCCTCAAAGCTCAAAATGTTCCTTGTTCTTTTAAATTTCAAGCTTATGTATGTAAAGCAAGCTTTCACTTGCTCAGACTAATTAAACAAATGAAAAGCAAGTACATTTACTTGTTAATGCACCCTGCAGATGATTGACTTCATGCAAACTGAAGTACCAACATGGAGTTTACTTTTGTCCTGCTGAATTTCATGTGACTTTCAAATCACAGCATGTATAAATTTTAACCTTTGTAAATAATTAATTAAAGCAATCACTTTATAACCTTTGACATTTTCGATGACCTCAATTTAAATCTCAAAATGACATAGCAACAAAGTGGCTCAGAGAATAAGGAAGATAAAATCTTAGGCCATGATTTTGTCAGGGATTTAAAAGACTGAAAATTGATAATATTTAAGAAATGCTGAATTATTTTTGAGAGTCGAAATTCCAGTATATATGAAACAAATCTTTTGTTAAATAACCTTGTATAATCTTGTAAAACAGACACCATTCATAATCATATTTGATCCAGAGGTTACAATGACAGAAATGAATCAGGACCAACATCTAGTGTCACTAAAATAGGTCAAGGTTAAATGGTAACGCCCCCAAAGTAGAGTAATCTGCCATTGTAGTGGGGTAGAGGGAACCAACTTTTAGTCATGCTAGTGTAGATCTCTGACTGAGAAAAATGTTTTTAATCTTTACTTAATAATTTATTACAGAACCCCTTTTGATAATTCAATTTTAATATTCAGTTAATACACTAACTTCAGAAGTCCTTAATATAAGCTTTTTTTCAGATGACTGATTTAATCTTCATTTGATTAAGTCAAGATTTATTTGTTTACATCTTATATAAGCTTTTCAGATTTTTTTAAATTTTAAGTTTGTTTCAGAAAATTGGAGGAAAAAAGTATCCTGAAAATTCTCATAAATGGCTTAGAACATAATTGAATTTTTTTCGTTTAATTTTTTAAGGAATATAATAGTGCAGACTTGAAAAGTAGTAAAAAAATGAAGGTAACCTACTATCATCTTATTAACACTTTCTCAACCAGAGCTGCTACACACTGTATCAACCCCACTCACCCGTGCTAGGACAGACTGCATTACTAAGACTAACCCCTAGTGGCTTGTTTCATTTCAGGAAATTTGGTTTGGTTTTTATTATAGCTTTTTTGGGTACACCTTAGAAAATAGGCTTACATGAATTTGTTTTTCTTATATGATGTGTTTATGACACATCTGTATTTTCAGTTTTTTGTATAGATATTAGATCAGAAAAAATTAAACTTACATTTTTTGATAAGGCTACATAAAATTGAAATTACAGTTCTCATGGGCATCCATATTGAGTTAGCCACATTTCAAATTTTATCATATTTAAAAAAAAAAAATAATAAAAACTTGGTATTGAAGATACCAATCCAGAAAAAAATTTCCTCCCTCATTTTCTTACAGTTAATTACTTGAATAATCACCTTCCGTTCTCAGGCCAATTTAGTCCTAAAAATATGCGGGAAGGAGGCTTTTTTTTAATCCTTTTATTAGCAATGAAGTGAATGAGGGAGGTATCTTAAGTTTTTTAATACTCTAATTTTCTGTAAAATAACAATAAAGATTCTTTGTCATACAAATACTTCCCATACTTTCCATCTCTGATCAATAGGTCTGCATTATCCCGCATTGCTTACCAAAGTGTGAACATCAAAGGCATAATTTAAGAACCAGAGAATTAAATTTATGTAGCCTAAGTGAAAGAGAAATAATTTGATAATTTGATTACATTTATCACTGAAATGGAATTAATAAAAATTGTCAAATGATAATTCAGTAATAGCAAATTAAGGTTCCTCAAACAATGATGTTAAGTGTCATTGTAATATGGAAATAGATACATTAATCTTTTAGAATTCTTATGTAGGGTAAACTTGGGTTTAAGATAGTGCCAAAATACAGATTAGGAAAAACAGACTTGGGATTCTAAGACAGGACCAAAGTACAGAATTTAAAGAATAGACTTGTGAGACTAAAACATGACCAAAGCACAGCTTATTTAGGATAGATTTGTGTGTCTAAGACAGGGTCAAAGTACATTTTATGTAGGATTAAATTTTTGAGTCTAAGTGTCTAAGACAGGACCAACATGTAGTATAGACTTCTGGGTCTTGGACAGGACCAATGTACAGATTAATTTTTTTTTATAGGACTAGTACATATGAATTTTTTTTTAAATTGCTTCAAAAAACATGGCAAGGGTTGGCATAAACATTTTTAAAAGCTTTCTATATCCCTTATAAGGTCTCAAGATGACAAATTGATGGGCAAGTATTTTGAGTGAAACTTCTCATTTTACTCCAGTAGTCTTTAAATTTTATTATAATTTTATAAGGTCACTCAAAGGTGATGAGTATTACATTTTTTGGGGAGAAGAGTGAGATGACTCAGGTTAGCTTTGTGGATCAGGGGGCCTCTTGTTTGCATGGTTGTGCTCAGTAGATTTTTTTTCTTTTTTCTTTTAATGATTGGTCTTTTCTGATTTTTTAAAAAAAATTCCTCATACATGTACATCTTCGAAAGAAATAAATTGTCATGGTCATTTGACCCTTAATACACGTGTATGTGCATTTGGTAGAAGTATGCTTTAGTAGGTTTAATTTGCTTGATAACAAGAAAGAATTATACAAACAAGATATTATCATGATGTAAGCTTAAAAATAAGACCATTTAGCAACAAAAAATGGTGTGTTTTATGTTGAAGAGCAAAAAAAAAAAGCAGCAAGAATCAAATTATGTGGTCCTAAATGAAAAGTGTTACTCTTCAGTGTGATTAAAATCAAACCGTCACTAGCTTCTTTTTATTTTGATTGTCACATGACAAAATAAAAGGAACTAGTGAAGGTTTGATTTAATCAAAGTGGTAAGTCTTAAAAGTGCATAAATTTAATTTATTAGTATTCTTGTCTGAAGAGGGTGTACTTATAATAATTATTGTTACAATACTTTGTCTTTAGATAAACAATTTGTAAAGTAATATATTAATTACATGTATCTGCTTTGATTATATTGATTATAGTTTCAATACATGTTAAGTTTCATATGAATATTATAACCAGATGAGGTTTAGTTTAAGATTCAGTTAAAAAAAAATTAATGGAAATTTTTCAGTTGACTATTTTTTGTGATTGACTGCATGAACACATTTCCTTTGGAAATCTGAGACTGCATAACATGCTAATTTACTTCGAAAATTGACCTTTCTCAAAAGTTAAACACTTTTCAATTTAAAAAAAAAAAGGTTTTGTTTAATATAACATTTATGTTTTGTTCACATATTATCATTGAAGAAAATTTTCTTATAGAAAAAGTAGCACCAATTAATGCAGTAGACATTTTGTTGTATTTTTTATTAATTTCATTTTCCAAAATTCAGAATATGGTGAAAGCAAACTGTAGCTGCACAACTATTTTCATATCTTATGCTACTGTGTTTTATTAAATTCCAATTAATTAGTGCACATGTGTAACATATTTTGTGTTTTATCAACCACTTATCCACAAAATCTAACAGAACACACAATGATATAGTCACACTGTATATCTTCATTATATTATTATATATATATGAGTGAACAGTCTTACCATTGTGTGTCACTCTCATTTAGTCCTTTAGCAATCTGTGACTACAGAAAACATCACTTATGACAGAATTGTACACTTTTAGTTTGGTCAAAGCTATTTTTTTTTTATAATTCATCATTAACAGATTGACTTGGTACGTGCAATTTATATTTGGATTTATAAATACACAGTTTATGTTGATCGAGTTTTGAACTAATATTGGAGTGTGAAAACCATATAAAATGGAATTTCATAGCTATCACATTAGTTTAGATAGATGCTTCAACTTGAGTTATTAATAAGAGAAAGAAGAAATTTATTTCATTGTTATTTATATACCATGCAGAATATTTAATGACATGTAGACTATAGTTTACTTAGACTTAGTTTAAGTGCCTTGTTAACTTATGCATTTTCAATTCAGGTTTGAATATATAATTGGGTCTTAGTAAGCCTATGTAATTTCAAGACTTATAGAGGAACACTTTATTCAGAATTGATTTTCAAATTAAAGTTAGTGAGATTTGAATAAAGGATGTTATATAAATGTTCTTTATTTTCTTAAAAATATTTCCAATTTTTAAAGTTTTACTTGATAATTTTTCAGATTACAGAGAAGAAGGAGGATCGAGATAAATTTTCTCCGTATTTGGATTTACCGTCAACAAGAGAGAAGTTTGTGGAGGAACAGAACATGCAGCCCAATAACAAAGTGACCTTGTTCTCGGGGCCCTTCACTCTCAGTGCCAAGGACAGCTTTGTCGTCAGTTCATTCGTGTGTTCAACAAAACTCACCCACAATGGTCAATATCACAAGATCACATCTGATAGAAAACCATTTACTCTTCAATTAATGTTTATCTGTTTAATTTTGATATACCCGTACATGTATATCCCAATCTACCACTAGGATAGGTTCTCTTTGCTGGGCTAATATTTCTTAAATCAGTTTTCTACTCAAAGAATCCTGTCCTTAACCATGGTGCATGATTATAGGTACTGCAAGTGATGTGTATTTTGCTGATGAATGTCAGAGAAAAATTAGAGAATTCCCTTTCCCAATTTATGTTAAGCTTTACCTATATACAGGTGTAATACTCAATGAAGAGGATATCATACATGTTCCATCAGTTGTATGTTGTATATGTTTTATTGATTGGTGAACAGGTTAAATTGATTATTGTAGATGCCTCTGATACTGGATACTTTGTTATGTGTCTGACTGATTATTTTATATATGTAATAGAAGTGAGAGGTTATTTACTCGTTGATTTCAGTTGTTTTGCTGGGTCTCCTCCAGTGGCAGGATATAATGACGGACACGACAAAACTCCGCGACCACCTGGAGAAACTCATGATGGTGGAAGGAGAGGAAATTGTCAAGGTAAATATAGCAACCACTTTATAACTTAAATAACTTAAGCAATATACTAAGGAGTCCGTGTTCAGTGCTCTAATCTTTTTTGTTTGGTTGTAGTTCCTTCAGGATTTGCTGGACTCTTTATTCAGTATCCTGATGCAGAACACCATTTCTGATGTCTACGACAACCTGGTGTTTGATGCCCTGGTAAGAACTAGAAATAACTTCATCAACCCTCTTAAGACTAGCATTAACCCTATTAAGCTTCCTAGAACTAAAATTGATATCTCCATTTCAGGTTCACATAATCAGCCTGATCTCAGACAGAAAATTTGACCAGTTCCGGCCGGTGCTCGATGCTTACGTTGAGAGTTCTTTCAGTTTTGCCATGGCCTATCAGTAAGATATTGAACGTTCATTTATGAGAGACTTTTTGATGAAATCTGTCTTCCTGAAATAATTTTGATTACCTTTGTCGATAGGAAGTTGATGATAATTTTACGAGACTATGTGGACAAAGCAATGGAGACCAATCAGAAAATCCTGAAGAGTGCCATGAAGTCCCTGGAATACCTGTTCAAGTTTATTGTCCAGTCAAGGAATCATTTTGCCAGGTAAGTACAAATATAGAGCAAGACTTAATATTTAGCATGAACACAAGATTTACGATTCTTATCAGAATGGTCCTGGAAAGAGCTGCAGTACATTGTGATTTTCACCTTGATTTTAATTTCTTTGTAGATTAAATGATGGCAGAGGAAAACAGTCTTTTGAGTTACAACTTAAACAGCTGATTAAGTCAATAAGCAGCATGATGTTGTATACTAGTGATAACACACTGGTAGCTCAGGTACGTTCAGCTACAAATATCTCAGATGTCAATGTTAGTTTCCTATACCATTAATAAGTAGACCTTATGACCTTTATAATATTTGATTTTGCATTGTTTTAGGGGTCAGCTTTGAAATATATTTGTGCTACGATACCAGACATCTTAAAAGTGTTTGATGCTGTTGAACTAAGGTAGGTTATCCTATAAAATTCAGAGGGTCTTGGCCAAAGATAGGAACTCATTTACAAATAAGACTTTTTGACTACTGTGTATATGCAGCTTAATATTTTGTTGAACATCATCTCTTCTATTTCTTTGTCAAAAGGTTTCTTGTCATATACAGTAAAACTTGTTTAGTACAAACACTGATGTTGCAAATTCACAGATATAGTGAAGTTAACTCGGATCCCAGCTATATAAATTTAACGAATTCCTTTATATGGATATAAAGAATTACGGATATAGCAAAGTAATTTCATGGGTCCCAGTGACTTAATTATAACCGAGTTTTAATGTATACATTTGTTCAAGTTATTCAGAAACATGATTGTAAAAAAAATTACAAAAAATACAGAATACATTTATAATATGGTAGATCAAACTGTGAACTGTTTTATATCAGACTACAAAAAGATCACATTGCAGACCAGAATTATCACAGAGACTTTTGGATTAACTCTGAATGATATGGGGAGTTGAAGTTTTGTTTTTAATTTTTTCTTTCAGTCATTTAATGGTGGAGTTTATTAATAATGTGCCAAAAGAGAGGTTGACCAAACAAAAACTGAAGTGTATAGAAGATCTTGTACAGAGCAAGTTATTTACAATGCCAGGTTAGTCAACTGAATCTGTTTTCATTGTTTGTCTAAGGTAGAAAGATTTTTAAGTTATTTCTCTTTGCAAATACAAACTATCAACAAAATGCTTTCAAAGGGTCAAGGTGCCTGTTTGACGTAAAATATGTCATTAATCAAAAGAGTTACATGTAGTGATTGCATATGAATGAAACATGCTGAGTTTTGTTTTGTTGTGTTGTAGAGTGTCGACAGATTCTCTTGCCTATGATGTTACAACACACCCGTATGTTGATGGAGGGGAATGAAGAAATGAAAGATTGTATAGATGTCTTATCTAATATACTCAATCTCACTTTTCCTAAAGACATGGTAAGATCATCAGAGAAATTTCATCAAATACTTTACAATTGTACATTTTTGGATTCTGTTGCATTGACTCCTGTACATTTTTTGGTGTCAGAATGATTTTTCCATAATATCCTTTCTATTAAACTATATTTTATTTTAACAATTACAATATTAACTACAGTATAGTTGTTACTTTCATTTGACAGCCCTCAGTTGGGCCTGAATTTGTCCTTTACTAGCTGTGCCAGTTTTCTAGTGTTGTCATATGACCTTCACTAATTTTTTGCAGACTTAATCCTGTTATCTTTGTAAAATTCTTTAATTCCAGGTTTCCCATGATGAAGACATTTCTTTGATAACAAAAATGAGTTTAAGAACTGTGATACAAGCCTGTATAAGACTAGACAAGTCCACAACAGAAGCAGTAAGTGTTGAACTCTTTGTAACAAAAGTATCAGAACATTTCTTGTTTAATACAAAAACTAGCACATAAAGTAAGAAACTCATGGTCATAGATGAACTGTTCTTATTGACGGAGAATATTTTGCTGGACTGTGTCTGGAATGTGTTTTCCGTTTGTAGATAAAATGTGTGTGTGTATTGATGAGTATGCTAAGACAGATGAAGGACTTCCACTTTACACAGTATATGGCCATGGATGACTTCAGCTTCCTCATAGACCTGAGGGATTTCCTCATGGAAATCCTGATGCTATTTTTAGACCTTGTGTCCAATAATGTCTTCCCATCGGACTGGATGGAGATGATTATGTTAGAAAACAGGTACATGACTGTGGCTTTGAAATACAGACCATATGACAGATATAGTCCCTGAAATTTCTGAAATCCCACATAAACATTGAGTGAAGGTGAACATCCACTTGTATTAAATCTTGTGTTAGTGTTTCCATGAAAAGTATTGGATACATACATATAATAACTTGCTTGAACATCAATTAAGGTTTGTGCCCAAGGATTCTTATTCATATTTGCATGAATTTCAACACAAAGAGAAAAAGTAGTCTGCTTAGATCTTGCTAGAAGAAATAATTTGTACATGTGTATGTTCTTGTTTTTCAGTATTATACTGCGTGCCTTGCAAATATTCGCGAGAGTAATACATGAAAGATTTACTCAGGAATTTGAGCAGGAGGTATGTTTGTATCAGTTATATAAATATCCACTTTCAATTCACTAATTCTTGCTTATAAACTACATTTTGATCCAAATTCAATGTTAATAATAAACTTTTTACTTGTTTTTTTCAGCTGTGGGGATTTTTCTTCAAGTGTTCAATATCATTCCTTACCCAGAAATCATTACAGCTGGAACATTTCACCAGCTCTAAGAGGACCAAAATAGTCTGCAGGTAAAGAATCCCTGACTCTGGCAAAATTTTGCCCCTAATTTCATCATTAAGTATTTAAAGCTTATGTCATTTTTAACTTTTTATCATGGCCTTTGAGCCAACTTCAACCAAATTTACATTTCAGGTACAGAGACATGAGAAGAGAAGCAGGTTTTGAAATAAGGCAGATGTGGTTCCATTTAGGTCAGTAAAATGACAGATGTGCTACTTTTTAACAAAGAGATCATTTTGTTGTGTTCATTTCTTTGTCCAGTAGTGACACCAGTGTCTCCAGTCTAATGAAATACTTGTACATTTTACAGGTCCACATAAAATTGATTTCATTCCGGATTTGGTTGGTGCTGTTTTGGAAATGACATTGATTCCGGAGATTGGTAAATCACTTTCTTATAGACATGTTATTCACACTCCTAAAATGAAATTCTGTTTCAATATGAAATATTCTTTTAATGCATGTTTTCTTTTAATGAAGAACTCAGGAAAGCCACAATGCCGATTTTCTTTGACATGATGGTGTGCGAGTTTATGCAGATTGAACCTTCCACAAGAAAGATAAAAGGCAACTTTAACCAAGTAGAAAATGAGCTAATAATGCATCTGGATGCCCTAGTGGAAGGGGGACAGGGGGACGAAGAGTACAAGGATCTGATCTGTGAAATGTAAGTCTACCCCTACCCCTTCTGCCCCACAAACACACACTTTAGATGGCCCACGCAGATACTGTAGACAGGGAAATTTTTGCCCCGTTTTATTTTCGCCCCTTTCGCCCTATCCTCAATTGAGGAAATTTATAACGAGGTGAACTCAAAGAATACAGTGTAATTTCTTAAACAAAACTATAAATGGGTGAATTTAAAACAGGGCAAAATTGTTTGCTATTGTGAAAGGGCGAAAATAACACGTGGCGAAAATAACCCTGTATACATATCTTTTTTTATGTAGTTTACTTGGTACAATCCTCTTGACTTAAAAATGCCATACTTTGCCTTGAAGCCTGAAATGTTTAAACTTGAATATGTACAGTAAACAATCATGTCTTTTAATTTTCAGACTCCATAAGCTGTGTAGTGGACACAGTACCCTGAAGGACCAGGGACTGAGGTTTGTTAACACCATCAGGGAGTTACTACAACATTTACTGGAGTACAGGAAGATTATACAGAGTGAGGTCAAGGAGCTTCGTATGAGCTGCATTGTCAATCTTCTGGTCAGTAAATATTAAACAAAGTTAATCTACTCTGCTCTATAGTTTACTTAAAAGTCAGTCCAATCAAGAATTCAACTGCAAATTACCAGAAAATACTACTAGTGTTAATGATAATTAGAACAAGTGCAAGTGGTCATGTTAAAATGTTCAAGCTTTGTTCAGCAGGAGGCTTACAGACAAATAGAGTCAATTAGTCATCTGAATATTTGGGAAGTCTCATAGTTTGTATAGCTGATAATAGGTATGGTCAGAGAATATACATGAATTACAGAATGATGCAATCCTGTTTTTCAGAACTTTTACCATGATATAGGAAGGCAGGAGATGTATATTAGATACCTGTACAAACTTTGTGATCTCCACATGAAATGTGACAATTATACAGAGGCAGCCAACACAGTCAAACTCCATGTCAGTCTGCTCAGGGTAAGAACACTATTCTTCTGGTTAGATTAAACTCCATGTCAAGGTAACTCTGACAGTGTTGTATTGTATTAAGTTTATAAAGCAGATTCATTCCTAAGAAACTGATGATGATGATATTGATCATGATTTGCATTCTGTCTTTATGTTACATATTCAGATAAAGTTTATGTATCTAACATTTAAGTAATACATGTAGTTAACATTATCAAAATTTAAGAAATTTACTTCAGTGAGTCTTTTCTCCATGATCTTTTGTCTGAGTGTTTGTGGCAATGTTGTACATGTTGATTTTTTGTTGACAGTGGACAGATGATGGATTGGACCCCATGCTCTACAGCACCTGGTATCCTGAAGCTCGCACGCACAGAGAACTCAAGGAGAGTCTGTATTACGACATCATCTCTTTCTATGATAAAGGAAAGGTAAAAAATTCTCTGTTTTATTATGCTTCACTGTCATTCTACCATCCTGATCCATGTAAATGGAATGGCTGGACAAGATTTGGCTTTGTAGTCTGTCCTGTGACCGTATTATTCTGTTTTCTCTGTCAGATGTGGGAAAAGGGGATAGAGTTAACAAAAGAACTTGTCCACCTCTATGAGGAAGAGCTGTTTGACTATGAAAGGCTTAGTGTGATCTTGGTAAGTTAATATCCACTCTAGAAAAATTTTGTTACAATCACTGCTTTGAACTTAATGTAGATTAAATCAGCTATTCAATATTTGCTTCCAAAAAGAAAAAAACTCAAATGCCTGTAAAAGAGGCTCATCAATTTAGTTCAAAAGTCAAAGGTCAAGGGCAGTGAAATTGTTATCAATGTTGTGGACACAAAATATATTTTTTTTAATCAGTATTTGCCATCATTTTGTAGAAGAGACAAGCTGAGCTGTTTGCCTGTATCATTAGGGAGCTTCGTCCTGATCCGGAATACTTCAGGGTCGGATATTACGGCCGCGGATTTCCCTCCTTCCTACAGGTTTCTACTTTATCATGTATAGACTTCACTAGGATAAAATTCTTTGAGATGAATTTTCAGTGTTACGAAAGGTTGATATATTGATATTTATCAGATTGATTTGATACTTAATAAGTAAAATAATAAAACAGTCTTGATTTCTGTATTTTAGAACAAGGTTTTCATATACAGGGGAAAAGATTATGAGAGACTTACAGACTTCAACTCTCGAATGCAGACCTTATTTCCCAATGCGGAGGTAATAAAATCTTTACATTTAAAGTCATTTATAGCTTACAGTTAGAAAGAAGAGAGAAACTGTTATTGGTCCTGAGTGAAACATAATAAATTGTTTTTCTCCTCAGCTTCTGAAGTCCCTATCACCACCCAGCAATGAAGTGAAAGAATCTGATAAACAATGTATCCTTTTAATATTGAATTTTACAGTGATAGAACTCACATTAATGGACTTCTCTCTGACACAGGGAAGATTTTTCTGAGACAAAACTTATAGGGAGCACATACTTTATCACCCTCAGGAAAATTGTAATAACATGTTCACCTTTACAAAATTGAATGGCTAATATGTAAGGCTTGTTTGAAATTTATAGTTAAGAACACAAAAGAATTGTTCTTAAAACTTCAGAAATAATACTCTCAGCAAAATGTGATGGCATCATTAACATAGATTTTTGTAGATTTTACATATTAAGATGATGCTTAATATAATCTTTAATTAGGATTATATTCAAGACTGTTACATGTATGTACTTATCATTAATGGTACATATCATCTCTGAAAGAAATAGACATTACCAATATAAAGAAATATACCAAAGAGTGGCAAGATAATGACACCAAGGTCAATAGCTCAGTTCAACAATATTTTTGACCTTTGGTCTTGCCTCACGAATTTCTGAAATTTTCAATACAACATTATGTGCATTCTTTTATACATGTACTGCATATGTATGTGATTTCCTTAACACAGTGAAGATTTACAAATTAATGCTGTTACTCCAGTGTTAGAGTTACAAGATAGATTCCGTGATAAGAATGTCAACGAAAAAATCCTCAAGTAAGTTCTGATATGAGTAATACAGACATGCTATCTATAGAATCTTGGATTTGACTAAAATAAATCACAGTCCTAAAGATGTTGGAAAAAGCTCTGTTGATTAAATCACTGTTGTGTAAAATGCATTTGAATGGGTTTATCACATTTTACCTACATTTGAGAACACATCTTTTCCATATATGTATATGTATTATATTTCGTTAAATCAAGCAGACCCCGCCCCAAAATGTGGCATTGCACACTTTTGGTTTCACCATGTAATTCTTCAGATTTAATCTGTAATGTTGATAACTTTTGAGAAAGATTGGCCCTTATTAAACACTTTTTGGGCATCTGCCAAATTGGTCTTTTTCCTTTATTTGTATTCAGAAAAATGAAAGCAAGTAAAACTTAATGGACTTTTCTTCTCACTTTCATTTCAGGTATTATTCTGTGAATGAGGTACAGAAGTTTACGTTTGACAGAAGAATAGAAGAGGGTGGTGGGGATATTTCAGTGAGTTTAAATTTTATTAAACTTAGTTAAAAGAATTTTTAAAAATATATTCTGGCACTTATAACCAGCACATCTTTATCAGAACTGGGACCAAGAACAAAATAAAAACTGGATAGGTCTGTGTACAGGTTACACTGCTAGAATTTAAAATTCCAGTAGATTTCTCTACCTTAGAATCAGGTTTCTGACACAACTATTTCATACCATTCTGAAATTCCTGTATGACTAAAATTCAATGAGATTTTTTTTCCACTTTTCAGCGGATGTGGTTAGAGAGGACCTACCTGACGACTCTCTACTCATTTCCTGGTATTCTTTGCTGGTTCCCAGTTAACCACACGGAAACGGTGAGATCACTAATATAACATCTCATGTCATTAGCTTCAGATATTGTGAAAATTTTAATGATCATAGCTCACTGGCACTATGACTACATTTATAATATAGACTGGTTAAAAAAATTCTTAAAGTTGAAATTTATTCATAAATTTTACATGTAACATAGAAATGAATATTATGAACTGTAATCAAAAGTCCAGTGTAAACAATACCAACTGGGATCAGAGGAAGAAAATAAAAGGACATGTAAATACTGCTATAAAACATATTAAGTAGAACATAAAGATTGGAATTAAAAGAGAATGTGTCCTGATCTTCAGAAGCTTAAGGTCACTTAGGGAAAAAGAATGAACTATTTTACATGTCATGTTTTATATGTCATTATTCTGTGATAAATGATCTGTTAATTATTGCAAGTTACAAATGTATATTTTGAAGCAAAATCTGGAAATTTTGATTGTAGAAAAAAGTGAGCCCTCTAGAGAATGCCATTGAGACGCTGGAGTCCACCAACAAGAGAATCAACTCCCTGATTGAGCAGCATATCTCAGACAGCCACCTGAGTACCAACAACCTGGGGATGTTGTTGAATGGAGTGGTTGATGCTTCAGTCAACGGAGGAATATCTAATTACAAGGTCAGCTGATAGACTGTCAAGCTTGGGGTATTAAGTATTGAGGTCTTTCTTAATCACCATGGTACCTCCTTAGTATTGAACCAAATCAGTGAGGGGAAAAGGAGGGGGCTTTAATACAAGTCACGAGGAAATGTATATCAGTGAGACAAGACAGGGATTTGTTTTGACAGAGTGTTAAAATTACCATGAATTTTTATTGGTTTCTTTGTAAAGCTTTTGCCACACTACTCATGAGTCAGTATGAACATGTTGTCTTGTCCAATCTGTATCTCTCAAGAATTTGAAACTACACCCAAAAAAAAAATTACGAACACTTCTCATGGTGCAACAATAACAACTTTGCAATGCATAATGCTCTATAAAGACAAAAATAGTTATGGTGATTTCTTAACTAAATAGGTCTAAAACATTCACTGTTAAAACATAACTACATGTACAAGTATTTAGTATAACAGTTACAGTTGTATTTATGTAATATTAAAGACATAGAAAAAATAATGTTGACGAGATATAAAACTTGCACTCAGCTATCACAATTTAAATCGTTAACATTTTCAAACATTTCTAGATGTGGTTTGGTGTGTTTTAAATGTGAATCCTCTGATTTGTTTAAAGGTCTTTTACTCAGAAGGCTACGGGGAGGCAGAAGTCCAGGCACATCTAGTCTGTAAACTGAAGGAAGTCACCAAAAATCAAGTAAGGGATAGTTATATAGATAGTTATCACATCTTAAGCTTCCTTTTTTCTTTTTTGACTAAATTTGTCACCAAATATTAACTTTAAAATATTTGAAGATTAAAGTGGGCCAAAAAGAAGATCTTATAACCTCTGTGTTTCTCATTGTCAATCCAGTAAATGAAAATGGTAGTGGTGATATTTCAGCATTGTGCCACATACCAAAAGTTAATGATTATTTTGTTCCCTGTATTTTTTTAAACTGGAGATATTTGAATCTGCTTGTCATTCTAACTATCTTATAATACTTTAGTTTCCAGATGTAATGTTTTATAAGTCTTCAAGCCTTTACATTGAAATTCTATATCATAACTTATGACTTAAAGAATACCCGTTTTGATGTCAAAGGCCAAGGCCATAGCAATCCATATAATAATAATACAGAGAACTGTGATTTGATAGTCTTTGTTTGCCTGATAGGTCATGCTGTTACGAGAGGCATTAAATATACACAAGGGAAAAGTTTCTGAAGAGTTGAAGCCTTTCCACGACCACATGGAACAAAGATTCCGTGAAATGTTGAAACTTATCCACAAGGAGTATAATCTCAATGTAAGTTAATACTGTAATTTTATTATGTAGATGTTATACACTGTAATAGTTTTTCTTACCTAATCTGTGCATTTGTAGGACAGACTGCATTGAATCGTTTATATTTCTAGCTTCCAGAGGCCCATCACACTGCCACACTGAAGCGCTATAAATCTATGTCAGCTGTCAGCCTCACTCGACTCAGCCAAGCGTTTACTTCCATGAACAACAACCAGACAGTGACAGAGTAAGTTATTGATCCTACTTACATTCCCTGAGAAGTGTTAGTATAGAGATTGTGAGGGAAGACATGAGGATTCTGTGTGTATTTTCATATTTCATTTTAAAACAAAATATCAAGATTACAATTAACGCTGGGAAATTAAAGTAGGGGAATTAGAAATGTAGCAACATATTATTATCATGGTGTATTATTACCTCCCTTTGTTCTAATTCATTCCCTCTGTTTTGTTTCAATCCAATAACATTTACAGAAGGGTTACTGTGGTACATCGCAGGTAATTGTGTTGTGAAACTTTCATTACTCTTCTTGCTTGCATCTATTAACATCTGGTGAATTTCTTCTGTTCACTTCCTAGATAGAAAGAAATATTGCATATATGTATTAGATAAAATTTATTGGCAGAATATAGTATATATTTCAGAATTTGTAGCATTAAAATAAACGGAGCTAAAGAGGTTACGGTACATGTAGTAAATGTTAAAAGTGTCAAAGTCATAAATTTAAAGATGAGATCAGTGCCTTTGCGTTTTCTAAATTTTAGAACCCTCTTTTAGACGAGTTTCTCAGTATCTCTGAGACAAAGAAATTGCTCAAAGGTCATCTTCAAAAAAAAGTGTTTGGTTGCCCTCTCCCGGCCTCTGTCTAGAATTGGCCCAACTCAAAACTTTTTTTTTTTACATTCCAGGACACTATATTTTTTTTCTTTTTTGTCTCGCCTGCGACGAATGTCGCGAAGCGAGACATAGCGACCATAGATTCCGTCGTCGTCGTCGTCGTCGTCGGCGTCCAACTTTTGGTTAACCCAAATGTCAAAGTTTTATAAACTGCAATAACTTTCTCAAATTTTATTCAGTCTTCTTGAAATTTGGACACAATATTCAGTATGGATAAAAATTTATATCCCAAGTATGATTTTGAAAAAAAAAATTCAAATTTTTCCGTATTTTTTCCTTAAGTTGGACTTAGTTTTTTCATGATAATTTATGGTGAAGACCTATATTCCAGCAACTATAAGTTATAGGGATATGATAATTAGTCAGTGGATACATCATGGGTAACCACAAACGTCAGTACCAGAATTAGGTCATCTTGACCTACATTTTTCTGCATGAGTGACTTTGGTTAAATTTTTGGTGGAGGTCCATATCTCAGCATCTATAACTTATAATGGCATGATGATTTGTCATTGTACAGGTTATAAGTAACCAACAACATCAGTACCAGAATTAGGTCATTTTGACCTACATTTTTCTGCATGAATGACTTTGGTTAAATTGATAATGGAGGTTCATATTTCAGCAACTATAACTTATAGTGGCATGATAGTTAGTCAGTGGATACATCATGGGTAACCACAAACGCCTGTACCAGAATTAGGTCATCTTGACCTACATTTTTCCGCATGAGTGACTTTGCATAAATTTATGGTGGAGGTCCATATCTCAGCAACTATAACTTATAGTGGCATGATAATTTGTCAGTGGATACATCATGGGTAACCACAAACGCCTGTACCAGAATTAGGTCATCTTGACCTACATTTTTCCGCATGAGTGACTTTGCATAAATTTATGGTGGAGGTCCATATCTCAGCAACTATAACTTATAGTGGCATGATAATTTGTCAGTCTACACATCATGGGTAACCAACAATATCAGTACCATAATTAGGTAATCTTCACCTACATTTTCTGCATGAATGACTTGATACATATACAGTGGATTTGATTTCAAAATGCAAGTTCAAATTATTGCGACTCATAACACGTTGCAATATTCGCAATAATAAAAACATCACAATAATTTGTGAATTTACAGGGTATATGTATATATATATAAATGCCAATATAATCGCCAAGGGATTAGATATTAAGTCAGCTGTTCCATTTCTTTATTATTGTATTTTTGAGTTATTCCTTCTGAAATGTCAATAAATGCTTCAGTTTATCAGACAATCATTTCTTACTAACCACAGCGACAGCAGGCGAGACACAGGGTTGCGGGCAACCCTTACGTACTTTTTTTTATTCCTCTTATTTTATCAACAAAAATGTTGAATTTTTTTTTGAAAAAAGAATTTCCGATCTAGCTTCCAACCCAGTTTTTTTCCCTGAGTCAGGAGAGGGCAAGCAAACATTATTTTAGTACCTGTCCTATTATCTGTTACATGCAAGATGAGCTTCACAATATCTCACCTGTTATCTCTGAGATGTGAGATGAGCTCAGTTTTTCACCTGATAATTCTGGTACACAAGGTGAGCTCCTTAGTATCTTACCTTTTATCTTTGAGACACAAGTACATCAGTGTCTCTACCAATGTCTTTCAAGACTTGAGCTCCTCAATATCTTAATTTTCTAATATCTTTGAGACACAAGATGAGCTCTTGTGTATCTCACCTGTCTCACCTGTTATCTGTTAGACATGAGCTGCTTAGTGTCTTGCCTGTTATCTGTGAGACCTGAGATGAGCTACTCTGTGTTTCCTCTGTTATCTCTGATACATGAGGTGAGCTCTTAAATATCTCTCTTGTTATCTTTGAGACATGGGGAATCCCCAGTTTCTTTTTGTCTCTCATATAAAAAAAATGATGAGTGTCAGCTTAGATAAATTAGATCATCTTTATGATTGAATAATTCTGAAAAATAGGCATTTATATTTGGTTGAAAGATTGGACAACTTTGTACTCTCAAATACTGAGGGGTAAAAATATTTTTGTTTGATGTGTTTTGAAGCAACAGTTTTGATATGGCAGTTTATATATTTCCCATTAGTAACACAGTAAAATGAAGTGGGGTGAAAGTTCACAAGGAGAGGATCTGACCTCTTCTAACTTCTCACAGACAATCTGTTTGCATGATAAAAATATCATAAAAGCTCTTTTTAATATTTTTCTCATTGTTGGAAACACACTATGTCTTAAATGATTTCCTTAGTTCATTTTATCTTGCATAAAAGTGAATGCATGGTCGTAAACACTATTTAACTTTCTTATTCAGATATGAAAACTATAAATCCTAGATTTGAAGTCTGCGATGGAGCAAAATCATGCATACATTTGAGAATGCATTAATTTATATCCATTTGTTTACTTTCTTGTAAATCTTGCTGGCAAATGTCATGTATGTGCATGATTCAGATTATTTTCTTCTCTTTCAAAAATTATCTACATATATGTCCACATGATTTCTCAAGACCAACAAAGCTGCCCACAACAACATTTTTAAAAGATGCAGGCATATATATGGTATGGTGAAAAATCTACATCTTGTCCAAATGACACACTCAAAATAAGAAGACATTATCATAATTGTACTTTTTTCAGCACAGATCAGGGTTGAACCCCCCCAAAATTGGTCAAAGATTTCATAGTCTTCAGTATGACATGATTAACCCATGTGAGTGCTGTGGCCCTTGGGTCTTTTGTATTGTGTAATTTCATTTTGAATAATTAATTTTGAACTTCTGACAATTGCAGGACAGTAAATGAGACCCAATCAGGTCGCTCAGACAAGCACGAACAGCAAACAAGGGGCTCAAACAAATCTGACAGTGATAGAAAAAGCTCTCTGATTCGCTCCTCTAGTCTCCCCTCCCTTAAAAGCCCACGGTTCACTAACTTCTACATAAACAGTGTGATAGAAGAAGACACTCAAGAAACTGAAGCTCATGACTGATTATTTATTGAAACTTTATTCCATTATTATTCTATTTTAATCCATTATGCTTATCAGTTATAACTCACCTGATTCAGTTAAAGCTTTTCTGATCAAGTATTCAGCATCTGTCTGTCATTTGCTAACTTTTTACACTGTCAATATCTTCCATTAGAGTTTGTCAAATTATCATGTAAGGCTAACATCTGAACTGTAGTTTATGATTTATATTTTTTCAACTTTTGATTATTTCCCCAAATATTTACCTGTGACAAGCAATGGGGACAGAAGGAAATTATTCATTAAATATTATGATTTAATAATCTCTAAAAAAAATGCAATTATTTATCAGCTATAACTTGATCTGTATCCACGCTCTCATCTATCAGTCCTTTGTGGAAGACCTTATGATTGCACAAAATCCATTCATTATTTTCTGGGACATCAATAATGACAGTTTGAGACTGAAAAGAAAGATTGCAGTGTCCACATTTGTAATATATATGCCTCACAATGTGCAATTCAATGGAATCTACTAGTTCATAAAGAGAAATCTTGTGGACAGTATAATATATAACTTGTAGCTTTTGTTGATAGGGGAGGGTGAATTACTAATAATGTAATAGACAGTGGATCTCTACTAACAGCATGTGTTTATATAGAAATGATGCATTAGCTTCAATGTATTAGTGTGCACATTGGGACGACATACAATATTATGTTATCCCCTGATCACCTCTCTTTATCACTGTCAGAGTTTGTAGCCTTTTTGCTGTGTTAAGTTCATGTAAGTATGAGCTTTTACTAAATACGCAGTCAGCTTTCACTTGCTATAAATGTATATAGGTGGGGCTGTGATGAAAGGGTGTAAATTGATGATTAGAAAAGCTCGGGCAAGATTATAATGTTGAAAAGGCACCACAAACTTGTACTCTTTTTTCTGTAATTTTTGCATATTCATACAAACATGCAGCAACAGAAAAAATAATAATTAGATTGAAGGGCCATACTGCATAATTTTATTTATAGCTAAAAAGAACAAGTCTAAGGTCACATTTAAAAGGTCAAAAATATTTAAGACAATGGAAAGGTCTTGTCACAATGAAGTATGAAAGCCCTCACCAATTGTTCAAAAGCTGAGGTTAAGAAAATCTTTTGCAAAAATGGGTCAAACTTCAAGGTCAAGAGTTCAAATATGCTAGAACCCAAAATAAGGTCTTGTCATATGGAATACAATTGTGAAATATCATAACCATAATGCTAACCAATCAAAACTTGTGGGCAAGGTTAAAGTTTTTGCAGACAAACGGACGGGATAAAAATTATTTACCCCTGAATCTTCAATTATGGGGCATAAATTTGTAATTATGCAGTCTCGACACTTTGACAGGTAAATCCCATTAGGATTTGCTAAAAATTGATAGATTACATTTCTTTGCTTAAAGCTGTTCCATGTATGGATATTGGAAGCATTTGATATTTCATTTCATGTTCTTATTTTATTAATAAATAATGTGCATGTATAGGTCATAATAATAATAATTGGTACACAATTCACTTCATTTTCTGAACATACTTTCACTTTTTCCAAAAAAAAATCACTATATGAAGAAGCATTCCACATTTAATATATATGCATGTTTACTCTGATGATATTTGAAAGCAATAGAAGAGGTTGGAGCCTCAAGTGTATAGATTGTGTTGGATCTAGATGAACCTTTCAGTATCCACATGTGGGAATTTTCGACCTTATGGTGTTGGTCCTTAGGTTTCCTTTGTTTTGTATTTTATAATTTTTTAAGAAAGTGAATATTAAGAAGACAAGTAACTTGTGCCTTTAATTTAACACACATTCACATTCTTTTTGATTTGTTCTTCCAAGTCTATTTGAGAGCATGTTTCAAAAAGAAGTTAATAATGGCCTTTTTTGCATTGATGGATACTCTAATTGCTGTGGCATCTAAAAGAATAATCAAGAATGAATATTTCTGATCAGGGATATTTGTGTCACAATCATCATCTCAATCCACAGGTCTTGACTCCATTCCATTTTTAGAAACCTGTGGCTGTCTATACTGCAAAATTCACTTGTTTTTGTAAATGAATTGCTGTATATATTTATTTTGACCATGCATTGAAATCATTTGAAGCAATTTGGAGTACATTTACATACTGCAGAGCCCATTTGGACCCAAAAGTTGATGTATGCTCCTCCAAATATATATGACAGTTTGATCATTTTCATTCAACAAAGATTTTCTAATGAAGAGCAGAAGTATTTATGAAAATGATTGAATTTTGCAGCAGATATTCACAGGTTTATGGAAATAGAATATGGACACATTTTAAACCTGTGGTTTAATTGCAAAACTGTGTTAAGATTAGCTTAAAATGTCTTAATTTTTTTTCTCTTTGTCATTTTTCCTCTGTCATGACATCATGTGCATTAGAATGATCTATAATTGAAAGAAGGAAAAGTAGTATTTTGACATTTTCCTCAACTAAACATGTGCAATAAAATTTGATTTTCAAATGATTTTGTGTGCATTATGCATAAGACATCATGCAGTTTGTTAGAAGTTTGTCTTTTTGGGGCACTGAGAGCACTAGGTGCTGCACTGTGAGCACCAATCCATGCTGTGTGCACACTCAGTGCTGTGAGCACAATTTTTGTGTGAGATAAGCATATACAGATGTAATACATGTATTATGCAATGAATATTAGTTTTATGTAATAAAATTATATTTTATGTAAATCAGTTACCTGGTACCAGGTATTGTTAAGAACATGCTTATGGCCTAAGTAGTACTGCATAATTATTTAAAGATTAACCATATGCATGTAAAACTTAGTATTACTGTACATGTTTTACGAATATTTTACCCAACAATTAAAAAGTCATACCAGTATAAAAGATAAAAGTCAAAGTATACAAACACCCCTTATTTGATGTTGAAGATTTTCTTTGCTTTGTAATTATTTACATTTTACCAAATTATTTGAAATTAAAATTCACTCATTTGTTAATTAATATTACTAATTTTTTTTAACATATTTTACTTTTAGAGCCTCGTATGCAGTTCCGAACCTGAAGATTTCGCCCGCTGGCCGGTCGCCCTCGGTGTTCGTGAAGCCGGATAAGACCACCCCCACTACTCCCATAAGACCCACAGTAATGGGCAGGAAAAATCCATTTAGTCAAAAACGTACTTCTGTGGCCTCCACGGCTAATTTATCTGACCACTCCAGTGAAGGAGGGGGGAGCAATAGAAATTCACTTGAAGCACCTATTGAGTTAACAGAGCAGGCATGTTGTGGTTTTATTTTCAGTTCTGAATTTTTTTGTTATTTTTGCTTTCTGCATGTAAAAGTGTTGTACATTTCATTGTAGTCTGTATAATGCACTTTATTATTACCGGTATTGGTAATTTTCTTGTCAATAACCTTTTGTCAATAACTCAAATAGATTACAACAGGATGCATAAATTATGGAAATATTTTTGTTTAGAATACTGATATATGTTACATGTTCATGTTTAGATAGTTTATGTTAGATGCCCCATAAAAAAAAAATGCTTGAAATCAATGTGATTCTTATATAAAAGAAAAAAATGCAAACTGCAATTTGACATCTTAGGCAGATTATTCACAGACAAGTTGTACAGCAAATAAAGCATCAATCATTTTTATTCCCCATTTCAAACTTGGCATGTATATTGTTGTTTTAAAATGTGGCTGATGATTTTTTTATTTTACTTTTTTTTTTAGAATTTTGAGCTATTTTCGTTTTGAAAGATTAGTTATTTCGATGAAGTATTGCATTTCCATTGGTACACTTCAAAAAGATAAGAAAGAAAGAAATGAACTTTTTCTTTTGGAAATGTTATTGTTTCTTATACAGATTTGAAAAGAATTCATCTTGCAATAAATTCAACTTTTAGAATATCTTTTTTAATTTCCCTAGCATTGTTTAATTACTTGTATATGTTTAGTGTATTGCTTTGCATGTTTTGCTTTAGTGACAATTTTGGGTGTATGCACTCCTCATAACATAGTCCAGAACTGGCTCCAAATCCCCCCTCTTCTACTTATCTAGTACAGAACAATATTGAATAATTGGTTCTGAAGAAAAAAGGAAACTTGAAACGAATGAATCTGGCCAAAAATCTAGGGTCACAGAGACTGTATTAGACAAGTTTTCCTGTTAAATCATGTACTAGCTAAAATTCATGAGTGGTGCTAAGCAGCTCCTCACAAAACTACATAATTAATTCCATGTGTATAATAAGGAATATACAGTATGATAATTAAGGTGTATATAGCTTCCTGGTTGTAAATACTAGACATACCTTGTTACAGCTGACTCCTAGAAGACCCCTCCGAGACGAGCAGCGGAGACTGAGTCGTCCCAATAGCTTCCAGTTGTTGACACCCATGATGAACAGCACCAGTAATTCAAGCCTAGTCTCCAACACTTCATCCACCATTGGTTAGTTATGATTCATTTTCTCAAGGGTTTCATTAAAGCACAGTAATGAAAGATAAACACATTAAATATTCTCTGTTGCATATCTCAATACAGTATTTGCTGCAGCTTCGGATAGGGCAGTGTAAGGGCACTTTGTAAAAAGAAAAAGGGGAGAGGACTTTATGAGTTTTGGATAGGGTCGTTTAAGGGCACTTTGTAAAAAGGAAAGGGGATGAAATAACCTTTAAACACAAGAAATTATACTTCAAGAAAAATACAAGATGACAATCATTGGAAACATTTTTTTTTTCACAAACTCAGAAAAAATGAATGTACATGACCTTTACCACATGACAGCATCCTGTGTACTTAACTTATTTCTGACATCTCCTGCATTCAGTACTTTGTTGAAATGTCTATTCTGTATACTGATGTGTCATGATATTTTCTTTACAGAGGATTCAGAGCAGGGGGATGAAATGCCTACACCACCTCTCCCAGAGAAGACCTCATTTTCTGACTACAGTAACGTAGAAATCTCATCGTCGCCATCACACGCTCGCTCTAATAGCGGCAATCGTAAATCCAAGGTTAGTTTACTCCGATTCTTACGGGGGTCCACAGCCAGCTTGAATGAAGGCAATGGACATCATTCAGAATCGTGAGAAATCTGGTGCCACAGCACTGTGACAGCTTAGCCTGCTAACTTTATGTATATTGTGAGTCTTAGTTATAAAAAGATGCATAAGGGAATTTGGAAAACAATTCAGCTCATGTTATCATATGTAGACTGTAATTCATACATTATTATAATTTAGTTCTAAGTTGCACTTTCATTCCCAATATTGTGAAACGTGTTGTACATTAAATGAATTTTTCTTTTGCCGGTAATCTGATCAGAATGTCAAGAATTAAACAAGGTCAAAACAACAGTCAAAGTCACTGTTAAATTAGGATAAGTCTGAGAGACTATTCACGACAATAAAATGTAACAGATACAAATAAGTGACACAAGCTTTAGGTATATATGCAGTAAATTTTTTAAAAAAATGATCAGAATAAGAAAAAATGGAAAGATATGAATAATTTCCACTTCTTGATATCTTAAATGTAACAAGAGCATGTTCAATACTGTAAACCAACTTTTATTCGCGTGAGAGAAGTATCCGCGAGTTTCGCGACCTTCTTTTACTCACGAATATTTATTGACATGAATCAGTTATTTTGCTTTCTAATTATCGTGGTATAGAGAATGATTCCTCAGTCGCGAAAAATTAATCATCGCGGATTGATATCAATCTGCCAAATCGCGAATAAAAGGTAATGCGAATAATAGTTGGTTTACAGTAATCTGGTCATTATAGATTTTATTCATATGCAAAACCTGTTGAATAGCTACTTCAACCTTCAATCTTTTGAATTCTGCTTATTATTCTGCACAATTATATAATTATATTTTTGAATGCCTATGCACCAAAGGGCTATATATTTGGTAGTTGATAAATTTTGGGAAGAGGGAGGGGTCGTGACCCAAAGATGCATTCAGGTCACATAACCTCATTTTAAAATTATATATCTTTATGAATAAAAATTTAAGAATTCCACATATACTGTCATGTCAAGTCGTGTACATGTCTTGCTTTATACACAAGGAACCATACATGTAGTTCCATCAAGTCCATTATAAATTAATGCAACTTAAGGCAACATGTTGTTATTAGAGTGAATCACATGTGTCACTAATATCAGGAAATTCAAATCTATAACATCTTGGTAAAGACCACCATTAAGCTTTGGGAAGGAAAAGCTTGGGTCACAGTTGCCACACATGCATATTTGTAAAAGAAATGCTTCAATGCACATTCTGAAATGAGTATATCATATGCCTTCATTCACTTGTTTACTCAATATATCATACATATATTATTAATATTTGAATTCTATATCTCTGCCTGTCTTATGCATGAAAATCTTGACTTTTTCAGCCTGTTCCACCTCTGCCTACAGAGATGAATGGAACTCCACCACCCGTGCCAAAAAAATACACACTAAAACAGGCCTCTCTGACCTGACATTCCCCTTCTCTGAATTCTTCTGTATTAATCCTCTCTGCTGTTGCATGGATGAAGCTGTGAACTGGTATATAAACTCTGCTGTCATCATGACGTTCATTTTACCACTGGCAACTATTCTCATTGGGGGTTATTAAACGGCTTGCTGGAATGAGTCTTAAAATAAATGGTGCTGGAAAAGAGTGTGTGTTAGAGAGAGAGAGAGAGAGATGCATTAGAGGTATTTACAGTGTACATCATTTTGTATATGACATTTTTAAAGCATGTCATTGAATGTAAATATGTATGTTTATGGATAAATAATGTAAATTACTGAATGAAAAATGCTACCAAATATATATATTATATGAACACAGTCAAATGAAACCAGTTTTAGAGCTTCTGTATGGTTAAAGTTCACATTGAATTAAGGGTGCTACATGTATCCCAATTTTCTATTTTATATTATATATATATTAATATATGACCCTCTATGTATTCAAATGGTATTTATTATGGAGATGAATTATAATGATGGCTTCTCATGCTTTTTAAAAGTGAAACCAGCAAAACTGCATGCAATAATTGTACTTGTCAAACTACTTCTTGCATACTTGTACATGTTCAAAGGAATTTTTAAACATGGAATATGATAAAACAGTGATATATAAATGAAAGACTTGACTGGTTCACTCACACCTACAGTGTATATACAGCAGCCACATCTCAGGTTATGGGGACACTTCTATAGAGGTGAACCTGAGAACTATTGTTAGATGACATTTTTACTTATATCTTTTTTATGTTTTTATATTTGCAATTCAAGCAGATATATTTGTATTTGCTCGTCATCTTAAGTACTTGATATGAATTATGAATAAACATGTGAATAAAATTCAATTCTTCTGGTATTCTTTTGGAATGAATTGATGGGGAATGTAATTTTCATCAGACATCATGTAGTGCATGGTGTGTAAACTCTCTCACATTCTTGATTTCTTCTAAGTCACAGGTTAACTTTGACCAAACTTGTCACAACGCAAGCAGAAATTGTGATAGGGATTAAAATTTAAATGGGCAATATTGAAAGAAGGAAAAAATTTTCTCCCAAATTTTAGCCATGCCACTGAAAAAGCACATGTTGAGGCAGTAATATAGATTGTTTTAAAATTCATATTATTTATGGGATCTATTACTGGACCAAAAGAATGCTTTGAGTTAAACAAGCCCTATTGAGGGATGGACTTTTTAAATAAACCTTTAAAATGTATTTACAAAAAAGGGGCTTGGAAAAATTGAACCAACTTTTTTGTGGGAACGACTTTCTAAGGATTCTCTGCTTCAAATGACATCAAGTTTAATATAATGATATCATTATAAAGCAGAGACTAATGTGTTCCAATGCATCTGCATTTTGACTTCTCTGAAATTCTCTTTCATTGTAGTCAAGGATTTTCCTCTTTCCATGATCAAGTGTTCAGGTAATTCCATGGTATAAATCAGAATATGATATTTATGATATATTTTACCTATTATTCAGTATATGACTCGGTAGTCTTTAAATAAGACACATACACTTGACTATATGAAATTATATGAGGATGTTCACAAGACTCCTATTTCTCCCTGTTCCAACCCAAAACCAAAATTCCTACCTTTCTTTTTTCAACTGCAAGCGTAACCAAACTTATTGAAGAATGGAAATAGAGGAAGTTAATATTCCATATCATAATATTTTTACCCAATTTTTTTTAGAATTTAATTTCTGTGCATGCATGCATGCACTTGCATGAAAGCACTTAATGTGATGTTTTATATTACATGTAGTACTTTATATAATAATACATGAGTATGACATACTAAGTATTTATTTTTTGCTGCTATAAGTCTGTCGGTAAGTCATAATACAAGGAATGATTTATTTCCAACAAATATAATGTGTTTATATTTCTATAAATCATTAACTTTATAATGATCGAATGGTAAAAAGAAATATTCATATCATTATGATCATGTTTGATTTTGAAGTTTGTTAAACACAAACCTATTCAGAAAAAGATGTTTTACAGACAGACAATCAGATAGACAAATATGTAGTCAAGTCCATCCCAAATGTTGGTTTGTTGAGATCAATTATGATGCATGTATCAGTCAATATCATTTTGAAGGTGGTTTTCACAATGAAAACAAAGATAATTGGTGTAATTTTTTGGTACATAAGATGTTTAGAAAACAAAGTTCCATATCAGGCTGTTAATTTGAATGCATTTTTTTTTCTCTCTCGACTTTTTCAGATTAACCACTAAACTTGATGTCAATACTCCATGGATGTGCTTTTGTGATTTTGGAAAGGATTAACTAAACATTTTGTGTTAATACATGTATATATTAACTATTAAGGACTGGAAATATCAATGATAAACAGACTATTTCTAAGGTCTGATCTATACCTAATTAAAAAAAAAATAGTGTATGTTTCAACAACTTTTTTCCTAAGGTATGTCACTTTCAAGAAGAATCATGTATTTTTATTACATGTACATATGTGGCACGCCAAATTCATAAAAATGAGCTAAACATAGTCTCACAGGCGATAAACTAGGTTTATCGGTTGTAAACTATATTTACGAACTTTGAACTATAGTTAACAACATTAATCTCTATTTTACATCTGTAAACCATAGTTAACACAATAATCTACGTTTCAGAACTGTAAACTTAACACTGAAAACAATCATTTGCTATTGCAAAACATAGATTATCTGATAAATACAGTTTCACGATTTGTAAACTAAGGTTTACAACTCTTAAATATAGTGAACCATCTGATAAATATAGTTTCACGATTTGTGAAACTATGATTAACAACTCTTAACTATAGTTCACGATTGTAAATTATAGTTTACAGACGTGAATCTATGTTTTTCAACAAAATCTATTGTTAACGTTTTATTTCAGACAGATAAACTTAGATTAGCATTTGTAAACTATAGTTATCGTTAAATATAGTTTTACAGAAGAAAACTATACTTAACGAATTGTTAACTACAGTTCACGGTTTGTAAACTATAGTTTACAGTCAATAAACCTAGTTTATCAACTGTGAATCTATGTTTAGCTCATTTTTGTGAATTTGGCGTGCCATGTACAGATACACTGTAGTTAGCAAAGTGAAAAATACACAATGATCAGCTTAACAACTTAAATTAAGTAAAAAAATTTTAACTTGTATATTAGCTTGATAAGTAATTTTACTTCAAATAAAATGTTCAACATGATTTTGTATTTGATTACCGGTATTATACTAATCTGCAATATTTTGTAATGTATATGAAATAAAAATAAAATTTGAAGCCTGTTCTTAGTTTTTAGTCCTGGGACCAGTACCTTAGATTCTGGAATCTGGAGATAGAAAAGATGTGTTTTTATAATATGCAAACATCTTATAGTATTTTGAGTATTATGTTCTGCAAACTACAAAAATAATAATCAAGAGTAGAGGTGGTATTCAATTTGGTACAGAAGTTTTAGTAACGGTTGGAAATCTTTTGAAAAAATCTAATGATTTTAGCTGTAACCGAGTTACTAGTAATACTGAAAAGACCATAAAAAAGACCTATAGTATAGTCGACCCATATATAGTTGTCGAATAAAATGTTGAGTTTCATTTATGCAAACATAGTGTTCCCGTTCTTTATTATTCTGAATAATGTGCTCTAAACAGTCCACTTCTCCTAAGTAGTGGGATCTAAAAAATATTCCATAAAGTGCTACCTCATAGGCCTTGTAACAGAATTCACTACTATCTGTTTATATGGCATGAATCAAGATTGTTCCCTGCTCATGAACATCAACCAAAACATGGCTGAAAACACAAGACAATTCAAACTAGTCACTTCCTTTGTTAAAAAGGAATAAATCATACATAAACATACATAATAACTTTATTTATCATATCAATTGGGCATTTCAATACAGACTGCTTCAAAAATAAAACAATGAAAATGAACATGTATATATATATTCTGGTACATATGCAGAATTTTGCCAATAAAATGATAGTTTTGACACTATGTTCGTGGCATTCCGATATTTGACATGCTTTGCTCTAGGTACTGTAGTGGCCCCTGGGGATAGGCTGGAGGGGGCTGTTGTTGGTGAACACCAGATGTAGACCCCTGTCTGGGCAGCATCATATGAGAGGCCTGCTGCGGTACAGTTTGTGAATACTGGCCCCCTGACATGGCAGTAGAGGAAAGGCCCATGTGAGTTTGTCCGGGCATCCCCCCACCCCCTGTGAAGGGCCCTGGAGGGACAGAGTGGGAGGGGTACTGCTGGCCCCCAGAGGGACCTGACATTTGTTGTTGAGGTGGGGAGGTATAAAAAGATCCTTTGTTCACAGAATTTAACATTGTCTGCCATTTCTGTAACCGCTCCTGGTGCTTTTTTATCATTATATCTTTCCTCTCGAGTTCAGCACGTAAATCTTCTGTTTCCTGTAAATAAACATTACAGTTGTAGCTAATATAATTGAAAACAAATAATTAAGTACCCAGTTGTTCAATGTAAATATCTAATTTTGGCATTATTAACAATGCTAAATGTTGCTACTAAGTATTTCTGGGGAAAGTGATATAATCCCTAAAGAGGAGTTCATGGCACAATGTTTTCTAGAAAACATCATTTTAGAGGCCCCAAATTGTCCCCAGGGAAAAAATGAAATTCTGAAAACCTTAGTGCACATCTAGAGGTCATTGCCAATCAAATTTCAAAATATGTATGGGCTGCTGCAAAAATTGTAATAGTTCTGGGAACCAGGTTTTTTTGTAGAATAAGTAAGTGATGTTATTTGACCCCTAATTCTCCTCATAGTGAAAACAGAAATTCAAAACCTTCTTGTACACCTACAAGACACCACCAAACACATTCCAAAAGATGAGTTGGCAACTTGTTAAAAAATAAGAGTAGTTTGAGGAAGTAGAACATTTTGACAGACAGATGGACCAGGATAAAGCTGTATCCCTTTTTTCAGACCAGTGAGCTACAGACCTGCATCTTATCTAGCCCTAATGCACATTTGTACGAGTAATGCTCATTTGAAATATGAAAGCCTCATCTTCTCTTATATAAAAAGTTAAGGCCAAGGTTAATGTTTTTATGACAGACAATCTGACAGGAAAAAAAATAACTCTGCATTTACAGGAAAGTTGGAAATAAAAACAAACTGATTCAAATAAGCTCTAAGTTCTGGTTAATTAAATACACATACTTACATCTTTAACAAACTGTTCTGGTTTTTGTTTTGAAAGTATTAAACGTTTCTGAAGAAAGAATGCCTCTGTCTGCCTTGCCAGTTCCAGAAATTTCTGTAAGCTTAACTCCATTCCTGAAAACAGCAACAATATGCCATAATGTCTATGTTTTATTAAGTTGTCAAATCTTCCAATTTGAAGTTACTGGTTACTCCCTTGCCTTTCCAATCAAGAACTCATTGACAAGAACTTGTCATTGTTCAAAAAAATAAAAAGTAAAGAAAGAAAAAATTCAAAAATCTTAAAAACATGTATCTTATTATTTGTAATAGATGTATTGCATAGTGTACATAGCCACAGTGCTTGACACTAGGTTTAGCTAAAATATAAAAAGAAAATCATTAAAGAAAATTGTTGCCACAAAACTTAGCCAAAGTAGAACACTTCCTTCACATAATACATCATATATATATCATATATACATCATATATCATATAAATGATATGAACTCCAAAATATTAAAAATCCTTTACCTGTTTTGATTTCTTCCAAGTCTTGCACATTGAAATATTCCTGAGATGTCAAACTTTCCATGCAACTCTACAACAAAAATAAATACCCTGTAGTTAAAAAAAAAAGTGTTTGTGAAACACTTATCATTATTATAATTACCAAACAACAATCTATGGCATAAAAATAAGGTGTCATGCATGAAATTGTGTGATCTATTGTACTCAAGGTAATAAGGTAAAAAAATACTGGTATATAAGGAAAAATTTTTCACAATGAATACACCTCTGAAATACAAAACTTAGCACCAACAGTTTAAAAGATCAAACTTAAAGGTCACTGTAAAATATGTTTGTACCTCTGGGAAAATCTAATCACAAGGAGGTAAAGGTGATGGACTGCTCAATTTTTGTCATAGATTCAATATTGTTCATACCATGATGCAAGGGGTGGGGTGTAACTGTGGCCATATGCAATCAAAGTTTTACATAAAAATACTTAGGAAAGTCTAAAAATTTTCTCCTAACCTGGGGATAAAGTGGGGTCATGATGGGTGATCAAATTTTGAATCAGAATAGATATGTAGGAATTAGGGATGGACTGAGGACATCAGCCTTGATAGCTCAGTGGTTAGAGCACCTGACTAGTGATGCACTGGGTTCCATTCTCAGTCAAGCCATATTTTTTCACTATATACTGTAGATACTCGCCTGTAAGTCGATTGTATTTTTTGAGGTTATTTTGAAGGGATTGCCACTGACCCGCTTACAAGTCGATGCATCTTTTGGCCAGAATCGGCTGAGAATATTAAATCAATGCAGTGCTTTTTTAACCGGTTTCAATTATTAAATATTTCTAAAAATGATGGCAATATTTAATTTTTAAATCATTAAACAAATAAGTAATGCATGCTTAAGATAAAAATAAAACCACTAAAGTAAGTAAATATTTGTACTTTATGTATTACCTTTGAATGCATAAATGTTTATATACGTGTATATCTAGACTTTGTACTTCAATAGTCGTCAGAAATATATATAAAATGCAACATTTCACCATCCAGCAAAAAGTCTCTTTATGACTCACCTGTAAGTTGGACATTGGGTTTTTGACCAAAATTTAACTCCCCCCACAAAACCCCAAGTTATACATGTTATAGGCGAGTATATATGGTATGTAATGTATTTATGAATTTTCAATGTATGTTTACTCATTCCTCCTTTCCATATTACAGAAAGAAAAAAAAATCTTTATAGGAACATAAAAGCAAATTTATTTGAAATCGTCCATAACATTAATAATATTATTGATACTTAACACAGGAATGTACATGATAAAAAAGGGGGCATGGTTACTCAGGTGAGCTTTGTGTCCCAGAAGAGTCTTGTTTCATTGCATTATGGTAAAAATTAGCTGCAGATCTGTAGCCCTCCAAAAAATGTATAGTGATAGACCGGAGAGCTACAGTGCCACCCATTGAAAAAACTGTATATTTATTGTGCACAAAAAAGTGTGCTGTTTTTCGATTTATTTCTCCGTGTTTTCTAGACTGTCATTTCAAAATATTACTAACCGTGTGTTCCTAACATATTCTTTCACTGTTTCCACAACAAAACATTCCTTATAATTGTTTTAAAAGCCCTCCTGGCCCTGAAATTGAGAACATCGAAAATTTCGCCTATTTAAACTGCCATTTTGGTTTGCAAGATAATTCGGTCCAATGCGCTTCGTACATGCAGATGTAAAGTACGAAAGTAATTGATAGAGGAGTAAAGACTTTGTTGAAATCTAGCATTTTTGCAACTGAGGTAAGAATTTGGAAAAATTATTCCATAAACAGCGCACTTTTTTGTGCGCAATAAATACACAGTTATTTTCAATGGGTGGCACTGTAGCTCTCCGGTCTATCAATATATATTTTTTCGGAGAGCTACAGATCTGCAGCTAGGTAAAAATATGTTATAAAGAGATATCTCTTAACATGTATTAAAATATAACTATATAATAGAGAGAACCTATTCATTCAGGTGTTCAAGTTTTAAAAACCTCTGAAATGAAAAGGTAAAATTCAGACAGTTTTTAAGAGTTACAGCTATCATACTGATAGGTCACTGGTAGATTTATCGATGTTACTTTATAAAATGTTCTGAAATATTCTATAGATTCCCACGGTGATTCTATATATTTACCAAAAATGATCCCTCTAACTCATCAATAAGATGAGGATTCTGCGAATCTTTCACAGCCGCCATCTTGCTGGTCTTACTAAACGTGCTAAAGGCAGGAGAAGCATGATAAAGTGCTTATTTACAATTCTCCCTTAGATAAGGTTTTAAAAAATAGATAAAAAATTATTTATATATAGATATGCTCCCTTATATCTTTGTAAGTAAATAATAATGCATGCTTTTATTATTTCAAGATCACCTTATTAATAGTTCAAAACATTGGTTCGATCCCGATCAAATATAAACAATTTATTATGGAATCTGAATAGGGCTGCGTAGTTCACTATCACACCATCGAGTATCGTGGCTCTGTTCAGATACGATTCTATCTAGATTCCATATTACACAACCCTATCTGAATTCAATAGTTTTCAAACATTCATTGTATTATATTTTTTCCCTGCTCAATTTTACTAGTTTTACCCAAAGCATGATCTAAACATAAACAAATTGAAACTAAACAAAACAGGAAGGGGAAACTAAAAAAGAAGTTTCTTTGAGCAGTTGAGGTACTTTAACTTCATTTTAATGTCTTTTTACAGTGAATGTTAAAACCTACATATCTTTTTCTTTATTTTTGTTCAGTGTTTTGATTTATGCATAATATTTGGTATTTTATATGATGTGGAGAAATGGAACTTATCTGGTGACTGTCACACTGTATTTTATCTTAATTTAACTTTTAAAGGTGTGTATTTTAAAACATGTGGTATAGGTCAACATAATTTGTCAAAGAGTTATGAATCTTCAGCTATCTTATATACGGGTAGTCTGTTTGGTCAAAAATAAGATATACACGTGTATGACTTTTCAGTTACATGCACCTTAGATTCAGGAGTACCATCTAACTCAATGCTTTGTATAAGTACCAGGAAGCTATCAGCATGATCAGCTTTGATGTGCTGTTGACAAGTAGTCTTAAATAATTCTCATCGTTCATTTGCCAATGTACAACATGTCTAATGGAGGCAATTTATTTTGAGCTCCCAAAGATCGATCTTAAAAGGCACTCAGTAGTGCAATAATGTGATCATGCAATGACAATGAGATGATGGTGTGATAACAATGAAAAGATGGTGCAAAAGGGAGATGATGGTGATGTGTTCAAATGAAAGTGGTGTAAGATGAAGCGGTCACCCATCCAAGAGTTGCATGAACAGGCTAGCCATTGCTTAACTTGCCTGAAATAGAGGTAGACTCTACTGCATCACTAGGAAAGCTAGCTCACTAGTGAGGCAGTATATAAGTTCTTTGGGGCATCACATTAATATCTACATTTAATTGTTGCACCATGGATTTACCGTTATTTCACCATCTCTTCATCATCATTATCATGTGGTGATGGCAGGGTAATACAATTTGTGTTGTTTATATGAGGATTTATTTATTGTTTACATAGAGAAGAGGTGTGAAATCATGCCTCGATCTAACAGAAGTCGCAGCAGTGGGCGAGAGTCCCACAGAAGTAGGACGCGGAGTCGACATCGATCTTCTTCACGCAGGATCAGTAGACGAAAACTAAAAGAGAAAAACTTCTGGTCCGCCTTGTGTAGTATGGTGGCCATAGTTATAATGTGTACCTCCCTAGCCGAGCCCCGATGGATCTCCTTACACGGGGGTGGCTGTAGATTGAGGGACTGTGTCTCCCTGGATCACATAGGAGCTTACCAGTTCTTCTATGCGGGACGCTTCCTGGAGACTTACAATTTAAATTGTGCTACTGGCAATTCTGTGACCCATATTCTGTACCAGTACGGAGATGACACATCAAGTAGTAAGTATTTTATAGGGTGTAGATAACTGTGCATGTATCTAGATAGGTGCGAAACTATACATGGAGTGTTCATCCGTTTGTCATTTTTAATGGTTATATGCAGTTCAATAAAGTTTTTTAAGCATATTTAATACCCTCAGGATAGGGGGTAACATCACATGTTAAAGATATTATAGCAATTTTGTTTCCAAGTAATTCTTTGCCCTATATTGATCCTAGGTGCATAAATGTTAGCTATAAATTTGCAACTAGTTGATTACATACTGCTGAACTTTGTTATTGCAAACTTTGATATTTTGAATACCATGGATAGGGTATGTCTTTTAACCACAAGGAACCACAAGGAACCTCAAGGAACCACAAGGACACCACAAGGATACCACAAGGACATCTTATTTAATTTTAATGAGTCTAATTATGGTTTATATGTGCAATTTTTAGTCATCTGAGTCACACAGGTGACCTATTGCTATATGTTATTGTCCGACGTTGTGCTTCCTGCTTGTCTGTTTCCTAATCTTTTGAACCATTTCAGCTTCTTTTTTAGCTCTACTGGTCAGAGACCAGAAGAGCTTATGCGATTGTAAGGTGTATGTCATACGTCCATCCGTCAAGCTGTCTGTCTAGCTGTCTGTCTGTCCATCTGTCTGTAAACAATTTTTCAAAACGCTACTCCTCCTACAGTTTTGGTCTGATTTCAATATAACTTGGCATACAAGTAGACTACAGTAAGATACTTAAAATATTGCCTCATTTTTTTTATTTCGATGAACGGTGTTGCCATGGTTACTAAAAATAGAATTTCTGTGAAATTCCTTTAAAAAGCTACTCCTTCTACAGTTTTGGTCATTTGAACCATTTCAGCTTCTTTTTTTGAACAGCTCATCCAATTTCAATCAATTTTGGCACAAAGCAGATCTATAAGTAAAGGGGAGCAAACTTTTCAGATTTCAAAATCTCTTACCCCCGGGCCTAAGGTGTGGGACCAAAACCATCAACATTAATGCAATTATTAAAATATTTTTCCTTACTCCTGGGCACCAAGCTGACAAAATATTGGCATGCTTTTAAAATGCATTTAGTCAAAATATAATGTAAAAAATTAAGTTCAAAGGATAAAAGACTCTGCAGATGAGGTATTATATTATTAACTTTTTTAAAATTGTACCATTATAGTGCGTTGCACCTAATAAAGGAAATTGTCTCCTTTGGTCATTCAGAGTGTTGAGGGCTTATATGGTCAAGGAATGCTGCTCATTCCATTTTGGTTTTATTACAGAATAAAACATGTTCTAATCAATTAACCTTAATAATGATTAATCACTTCTAATAATGACGGACGGACGGACGACGTATACCTTACAATCGCATAAGCTCTTCTGGTCTCTGACCAGTAGAGCTAAAAAAGAAGCTGAAATGGTTCAAAAATTAGGAAACAGACAAGCAGGAAGCACAACGTCGGACAATAACATATAGCAATAGGTCACCTGTGTGACTCAGATGACTAAAAATTGCACATATAAACCATAATTAGACTCATTAAAATTAAATAAGATGTCCTTGTGGTATCCTTGTGGTATCCTTGTGGTTCCTTGGGGTTCCTTGTGGTTCCTTGTGGTTAAAAGACATACCGCCATGGATATGTGGAAGTGAGGTTAAAATTCAAACTTTTTTTTTTATTTTGTCTGAAATCCTCAGATATCTCAACTTTCTCTTTGCCTCATCAAGTTTGGGATTATATGGAAATGGAATAACTGTCTGTACTTTTATAAATTGTGATTTCCTGTTACACTGATTGCTTGAAATGAGCAGCTATCATGTGAATGGCAGGAAAAACGTCTTTGAAAAATGAAGTTTTTATGTAGTGGGAGTTGCAGTGAACAAGAAAATTCATACATATTTTGCAAATAAAACCATGAGATACAAATGTGTTACCTGAAAAACTAGCTGCAGATCTGTAGCTCTCCGAAAAAATATATTGATAGACCGGAGAGCTACAGTGCCACCCTTTGAAAAAACTGTACATTTATTGCCACAAAAAATTGCGCTCGGTTTTCAATTTATTTCTCCATGTTTTTAAAACTGTAATCTCAAAATATTACTAACCGTATGTTCCTAACATATTATTTCACTGTTTCCACCACCAAACATTCCTCATAATTGTAGTAAATAGTCCTCTTGACCCTGATATTGTAATCATCGAACATTTCGCTTACTTATACAGCCATTTTGGTTTCAAAGATAATTCGGTCAAATATGCTTCGTTCAGATGTCAACTACGAGAGTACTTGATGGAGGAAAAAGGAATTTTTTGAAATCTTCCCTTTTTTGCAATTGAGGTAAGAATTTGGAAGAATTAATCAAGAACCGAGCGCACATTTTTGTGCGCAATAAATATACAGTTTTTTCAACGGGTGGCACTGTAGCTCTCCGGTCTATCAATATATTTTTTTCGGAGAGCTACAGATCTGCAGCTACTGAAAAACATATTGAACATTCTGTTGATTGTACTTTACTTTAATTTTATTATTTCAGCTATGGACAACTGTGTGACTCATAAAGCAGTGAGTCTGATGAAGACCATTATCTCCTTCACATTCCTGGCTCTGTTGTGTACACTGTGTGCCTTTATATTAGATCTTGTGGGTCCTACACAGCGGTCACTGAAGATTATACACAGAAATGCCATCCTCAATATCATAGCAGGTATTACAAAAATGTACTTAATTTTCTTATGTAGGAAGATCAAAATTGTATGTCTTACTAAAAGATACATTGCAGGACCAGCATGCTCAGGGGCACAGGAGAGAGAGAATTAAAAGATTATATGTACCTTGTAGGGGGGGGGGATGAAAATACTTGAACTTACTGTATAATTGTTGTATTTTTCAGTGATTCTTTGTGTGATTATAGACCTGTTCTGTTACTGGCTTGTGACGGAGGTCCTCTTCCTTCAGAAAATGACAAAACTTCACACAGGAAGTAAAGTGACTGTGACCTTTGACATCAGCTTCTACTTGATAGCCGCAGCGGGTGGCATGGGAGTGTTTGCTACGGCATTAAACTGTTTACGGAGATACCCAGTGTATGAAGATGATCAGGCCAATGCTCTGTTAGAGGAACATGCATATGACTGTGTACATCCTGACCCAGGAACCGGTCCCCCGGACCACCACCCCCCTCCCCCTCCTTACTCGGCATAATTAACTCATGTTGTTGTTTTTGGTTAAATTTATTTAAATTAACAAACATCTACATGTAAACTGTAGGAGGATCTATGTTCTCTCTAAAGCATTGTAAAAAAAAAAATTGCAAGTATACAACATATTTTGATCTGAATGACACTAATTTAGTCTCTTCACTTACAGAGATGAAACATAGTGAAAAAAAGTAATCTGTTGAATGTATTACAAAACTTTCAGATAAACTTTTGAGTGATCAAGACATTGCAGATCATTTCATTTAGAACTAAAACCATTTGGATTAAGGATTGAGGCAAAATTGTTTGTATTTCAGCAAAATGACTGTATTATTGAAAAAATTGCAAACTTTTTTATGCAAGTCATTGTTTTGTTGTAAGTTTATAAGATGTTTTTAATCTATTATTGTATTTTATCTTTACATTAGAAATGCGTTGAACTCACTTGAGCCAAAAGATAAGTATAGTGTATCCTGTCAGCTGAATTTCATTTCCAGAATTTTTAGAAATATTCACCTTTTCATTTTTGACATTTTATAAATATCATTTCTGACATTTTAAAGTTTTCAATTCAGACATTTATCACACAGCATTTATCTGGCAATAAAAACAGAATTAGACTTCCTCAATAAAAAATTTCGAAAATAAATATTCCATCTTATCTAATTTAAATTCAATACAGTCTCTGATTATTCAGTGGACATTTTGTAGGCAAAAATTGCATGTTCATTTAACTCATGCAAATCTTTTAAACTAGACATACATGTATATACAGTAAAACACGTTTAGTACGAACACTGATATAGTGAATTCACGGATATAGCGAAGTTTTTCTGGGTCCCCCGGCAAAATTCTTAACAAATCTTTGTAAAATCTTACAGTTATAACGAACTCTGATATAACGATTTACGGATATAGCAAACTGATTTTGAGTCCCGTTGAGGTTAAATATAATGAAATTTACATCGTTTATAACGAACTTTCAAAGATTATAAAAAAAATTGATCAATTGAACTTACTTTATTTCCTTTTAGCATTTGTATAAAAAATTCAATTCATAAGAAAACCTTAGTTAAAAATCAAAGACATGTTTTGTAATATTTGCTTCACTCACATAGTTAGTAGTAATACTTGAAGGAAAAAATGCATAGTGCGAATTCGCTATAATGTTTATACAAATTCTTTATACGGATATAACGAATTACGAATATATGGAATTAAATTCACAGGTCCCCAGGACTTCACTTTAACCGAGTTTTACTGTAGTGCTGCATGTATATACACTTATACAGTATAAGTGTATTGCAAGATTTCTGTCGAAATATGTTGAAAAATGTCGGAAAGGAAAATAAAATGTCAGAAATGCAATACTCAATTCCAGAAAAGCAACAGTCCTCTCCCTTTACAATAATATTCTGCCCTTTTCATATTTTAACGATTTGTGGTTGCTTTCTTTCCGGTATAACCACTTTCCCATTTTTGCATTTATATGTTCATTATTATTATGATTTTAATATTATTTTTTGAAAAAGTAACCTTTATCATGTTTATGCTTTCAACTTTTTTTTCTGTTTGAATTTAATGCTTGTGTTGTTGATGAAAATCAATGTTGTTGTATATATTATATGTATAGAATAAGAACATGTGCTGTACGTACTCTGATTTAGAATTGTGAAGCATATGGCTTAGTTTGAGCAAGCTAGAAGTGGTTTCATGACATTTTTGTTCTAGAAAGAGTCATGTTATTCAGATAAGTTGTGATGTGGCCTATTGGCATCTTGTGCATTTATATAAAGATCTGTGATGCTTTTTAGTACTGATTAATTTAATTGTTTAATCGAACATAACATTAATGACATGTTAAGTTTCACATGTTAACTTTCTTTATTCTTTTGTTTAGGAATATAATACAGTCATTGTAAATGATTGTACACTTCGTAAATTGGTGATTAAATATATTTATTACATTTCTGTAGTTATTTTTAAAACATTTTCTTGGCCTGTCCTCAACTGCTGTTAGCCCTATATCAGAATTCATAAATTTTGTGTCCCTTGGACATATATTAACATGCAATATTATATAACATAATAATTATCAACAAGTCCATTTTCAATTTTAAGATAAACTAGAGGTACTGTGAGCAATGAGCTCAAAAAATGATACCCCCATCTTATATGATTATAATGGGAAAGTCCACATTTTGCTCTGGGAGACCCTAAATAAGTGTCAGATCATAAGTATGGCACGCCAAATTCACAAAAATGAGGTAATCATAGTTTCACAATTGATAAACTAGGTTTATCGACTGTAAACTATAGTTTACAAACCGTAAACTATGGCACGCCAAATTCACAAAAATGAGATAAACATAGTTTCACTGTCGATAAACTAGGTTTATCGGTTGTAAACTATAGTTTACGGACTGTTTTACATCCATGAACCATAGTTAACGCGATAATCTATGTTTCACAACCGTAAACTATACTTAACACTGAAAACAATCATTCGTGATTGCAAAACATAGATTATCTGATAAATACAGTTTCACAATTTGTAAACTATAGTTTACAAACCGTTAACTATAGTTAACGATCTGACAAATATGTTTCACGATTTGTGAAACTATGATTAACAACTCTTAACTATAGTTTACGATTGTAAACTATAGTTTACAAACGTGAATCTGTTTATCAACAAAATCTATTGTTAACGCTTATTACAGACAGATAAACTTAGATTATCATTCGTAAACTATAGTTAACAACCGTTAAATATAGTTTTACAGATGAAAACTATACTTAACGAATCATTAACTATACTTAACGAATCGTTAACTATAGTTTACGGTTTGTAAACTATAGTTTACAGTCGATAAACCTAGTTTATCAGTTGTGAAACTAGGTTTATCTCATTTTTGTGAATTTGGCGTGCCATAGTAAACTATAGTTAACTATTCGTTAAGTATAGTTTTCATCTGTAAAACTATATTTAACGGTTGTTAACTATAGTTTACGAATGTTAATCTAAGTTTGTCTGTAATAAAGCGTTCACAATAGATTTTGTTGATAAACATAGATTCACGTTTGTAAATTATAGTTTACAATCGTAAACTATGGTACACCAAATTCACAAAAATGAGATAATCATAGTTTCACAATTGATAAACTAGGTTTATCGACTGTAAACTATAGTTTACAAACAGTAAACTATAGTTTACGATTCATTAAGTATAGTTTTCATCTGTAAAACTATATTTAACGGTTGTTAACTATAGTTTACGAATGTTAATTTAAGTTTATCTTTCTGTAATAAAGCGTTAACAATAGATTTTGTTGATAAACATAGATTCACGTTTGTAAACTATAGTTTACAATCGTAAACTATAGTTAAGAGTTGTTAATCATAGTTTCACAAATTGTGAAACTATATTTATCAGATCGATAACTATAGTTAACGGTTTGTAAACTATAGTTTACAAATCGTGAAACTGTATTTATCAGATAATCTATGTTTTGCAATCGCAAATGATTGTTTTCGGTGTAAAGTATAGTTTACGGTTGTGAAATATAGATCATCGCGTTAACTATGGTTTACAGATGTGAAATATAGATTAACGTTGTTAACTATAGTTTACGGTTTGTAAACTATAGTTTACAACCGATAAACCTAGTTTATCGATTGTGAAACTATGATAATCTCATTTTTGTGAATTTGGCGTGCCATAGTAAACTATACTTAAGAGTTGTTAATCATAGTTTCACAAATTGTGAAACTATATTTATCAGATTGTTAACTATAGTTAACGGTTTGTAAACTATAGTTTACAAATCGTGAAACTGTATTTATCAGATAATCTATGTTTTGCAATCGCAAATGATTGTTTTCGGTGTAAAGTATAGTTTATGGTTGTGAAATATAGATCATCGCGTTAACTATGGTTTACAGATGTGAAATATAGATTAACGTTGTTAACTATAGTTTACGGTTTGTAAACTATAGTTTACAACCGATTAACCTAGTTTATCGATTGTGAAACTATGATAATCTCATTTTTGTGAATTTGGCGTGCCATAGTAAACTATAGTTAAGAGTTGTTAATCATAGTTTCACAAATTGTGAAACTATATTTATCAGATCATTAACTATAGTTAACGGTTTGTAAACTATAGTTTACAAATCGTGAAACTGTATTTATCAGATAATCTCTGTTTTGCAATCGCAAATGATTGTTTTTGGTGTTAAGTATAGTTTACGGTTGTGAAACATAGATTATTGCGTTAACTATGGTTTACAAATGTGAAATATAGATTAACGTTGTTAACTATAGTTTACGGTTTGTAAACTATAGTTTACAACTGATAAACCTAGTTTATCGATTGTGAAACTATGATTATCTCATTTTTGTGAATTTGGCGTGCCATACATAAGGTCAAATTGAAGGTGCACAATGGCATTATGTAAATAAAGAATCTGTGAAAGTATCATTAAATTTTATTCAGTGGTACATGTATAGGAGGAGTTGTGGATAAGAGATGGGTACCCTTCAGTATTACAGAAGGAATGGCAATGTACATGTCATGCTGTGGGAAACCCAAAATATGTGTCTGATCAAACAAAAAAATATAAGGTGCACAATGGCATTGTGTAACAAAGAATCTATGGAAGTCTCATAAAATTTCATTCAGTGGTACATATAAGAGGAGTTGTAGATAAGAGATGGGTACCCCAGAGCATGAAGAACAGACAGACACCCCAAACATTATGTAATATGCTATACTCCCTGTTTTTCAAGCAGGGTTGGGGGGGTATAAAAATAACAATGCTTATTTACATTGAGTAAATATTGCCCATGTGGTGCAGTGATTAGAGTATCTGCTCTAGAGTCATTACGTTGCAGGTTCAAATCGCGCTGTGGGAACATGGAGACTGGTCCTTCTGGTGAAACTATATAAACCGAGGTCCCATGTCGCAGTAGGTGCTGGCACGAAAAAAGATTCCTCACTGCTCAGTGGCCATAAGTATCAAATACATGTATAGGACAAAATTTGCAGCTCTCCATTGGCAAGTGGTGGCATCTCCATATGAGTGAAAAATTCTTGAAAGGGATGTTAAACAACAAACAAATAAAACACTTCGTAACTTCATTAGGATAGAACTTCAAGGTATTGTCTCAGCTAGATTTAACTGACTTGATTTTTATAATATATGTGTAATATCAAAACTGGTACTGAAATGTAAAATTAATGTATATTATTCTATTTATTCATATAAAATAATAAATATATGTGCAGAACAGTCTCAGGACATATACTATAAAATTTAATTTATAATAGAAGAGCAGTGTAACAATGGTACCAATCACTGTTCTAAGTCTGCCTTGCTGACCATGACGTAATTAAGTCCTTGTTCTATCTGGTCCTCCTCCACCATGAAGTACGACATGGAGGGCACGTGATGTAACTTTTCCAGCTTCTTACTCTGGCAGATCTTTAAATGTTTTAAATATAACACAATGGCCACAAAAACTATCACAAAACACACAACTATTACATATTCGTTGTCTACAAATCTTGTTTTCTTGATCCACGGTGGTGGACTGTGTCGATTTTCAAAATTATTTATCTCCCTGAAAGAAAAAGGAAATTCAATAAGCTGTTTGTTAAAAAGAAATAAAATTTAAGTGAATATTTCAGTACATAGTGTGGACCTAGTTAAACATAGGTAATCAGAGATTACAGAGCTCACCTCAACGAATGTTGTCTTTAAGTAAGGCAAATTAAGTCACACAATTAACCAACAAAAAGTGTACATCCAAAAATGCAAAATTTATGCAATTTTGATTTTGATACTTTGGAATAGATCTATAAAACTTCAAACTTGTTCTTCATCATGAAAATGTAATTAAAATCCAGCATCTGAAGCAAGATTGAGAGTTTTCATCCCTTGATGCATCATTTGTGCAACTTTGGTTTATATCAGCCTTATAGTTTCTTCGTGATAGACCTGCACCCATAACTTTTACGAGGTCTATTATCTGGAAAATGTATGTCAAATTCAGCATCTGAAGCAAGTCCATTAGCGTGCACCCTAAGATGTATCATCCATGCAAGTTTGTTCAACATAGAGCTCAAAGTTACTTGGAAATGAAATCTGTATAAAAAACTAACCTTTTCACTAATCCTGAAAATGTAGGTCAGATTCAGCTTCTGAAGCCAGCCTAGTAGAATGCACCCTTAGATGTACCATCCATGCAAGTTTGGTCATTATAGAGCTCAAAGTTACTTGGAAATGAATCCTGCACCATAAACTTTAACCTGTTTACTCGTCCAGAAAATGTAGGTCAGATTCAGCATCCGAAGCAAGTCTGGTAGTATGCATCCTAAGATGTACCATCCATGCAAGTTTAGTCATTATAGGGTTCATAGTACCTTGGAAATGAAACCTGCACCATAAACTTTAACCTGTTCATTCAACCGGAAAATGTAGGTCAGATTCAGCATCCGAAGCAAGTCTTGTAATATGCATCCTGAGATGTACCATCCATGCATGTTTAGTCATTATAGGGTTCATAGTACCTTGGAAATGAAACCTGCACCAAAAACTTTAACCTGTTCACTCAACCGGAAAATGTAGGTCAGATTCAGCATCCGAAGCAAGACTGGTAGTATGCATCCTAAGATGTACCATCCATACAAGTTTGGTCATTATATGTCTCATAGTAACTTGGAAATGAAACCTGCACCAAAAACTTTAACCTGTTTACTCGTCCAGAAAATGTAGGTCAGATTCAGCATCTGAAGCAAGACTGGTAGTATGCATCCTTAGATGTACCATCCATACAAGTTTGGTCATTATATGTCTCATAGTAACTTGGAAATGAAACCTGCACCAAAAACTTTAACCTGTTCACTCAACCAGAAAATGTAGGTCAGATTCAGCATCCGATGCAAGTCTAGTAGAATGCACCCTAAGATGTACCATCCATGCAAGTTTGGTCATTATAGGGCTCGTAGTATCTTCGAAATGAAACCTGCTCCAAAAACTTTAACCTGTTCACTCAACCGGAAAATGTAGGTCAGATTCAGCATCCGAAGCAAGTCTGGTAGTATGCATCCTAAGATGTACCATCCATGCAAGTTTGGTCAACATAGGGCTTATAGTTACTCGGAAATGAGACCTACACCAAAAACTGCACCAAAAATGTTAACCTGCTCCAAAAACATTAACCTGGTCATTCCTTTGCTGAAATTGCAGCATCTGAAACTTTGACTGGTACAATGAAACACACTAGAAACATCTTCCATGCATGTCTAATCAATATAGGACATAGAAGTACTTAAAAAGAAAACTGCTCCAAAAAACTTAACCTTAACCCGGGACGCCGACGCCGAGGGTATGACATAAGCTCCCCCCAACTTCGTTGAGGTGAGCTAAAAATGCATAATTTCAATATGCAACATTAGGTCATTGTCACAAACCACAGCCAAAATGTATGATCCTCTCCCATTCTGGCCATGGTTGAACGAGAAGAGAATATTTTGTAGCTCATTAAAATATTAACCAATGTGAGTAAAGCAAAATCAAATAATGAACTTTGATGCGACCTTTCAATATCCAATTGCAGTTCTTGTATACTTCTGATGTCAATTATTGATTTCAATTGCGATGGAAACAAATATTGTCATTGGCTGAATATGACATCACAATTTAGAGGCCTAAATATTCAAGATTACAACACTTTTTGGAATCAAACAGCCACGGGTAAGAGAGAGCTATATGCGGACTCCGAACCAGGCTTGAAATGAGGACACTAGGTCTGTTTCACCCAAATTTAGCTCAGAGTATCCTTGGGTAAAGAGGATTCTAAATTGTTTAAATAAATGGTTCTCTTCAAGGGGGAGATAATCATGAAATCTACAGTAAAACTTGGTTATAACAAAGTCACTGGGACCTATGAAATTACTTCTCTATATCTGTAATTCGTTGTATCCGTATAAGTAATTCATTAAATTTATATAGCTAGAGATCTAAGATAACTTCGCTATATCCATGAATTCGCAATATCTGTGTTAGTACTAAACAAGTTTTGCTGTGTTACTGACCTGAGGGGGAGGTATCTAGTGCGGTGCAGAAGAGCTCCTAGTGTCCACTGTACCTCACGTTTATTTATCAGGTGAACTGACCTCAACATCTTATAACTGTGTGGAAATTTTAATCCTTTATGTAAAACTGTCGACATCCAGGCCGACTTAAAACACTGAAATCTAAAAAAGAAAACAAAAATTCTACATTATTTTCATACATTTGAGATTGAATTTTTGAAAATGTAACAGAAAACCTAAATTTTAAGGGTCTAAATGTTTATCTATAAAACCTGACAATGCTTGCATTTTAAAATATCTTATAATCAACCTGCTACTCTTCAGAGATTATTTTCTCATAATTATATTTTTAAAACTTAAAATTTTTCTTGCCCTGTATTTGAACTACCTAAGGATCCTTGCTCTAGCATAGCCCTTCATCTCTTAAAAATTCTTTCCTTTACATTCCCATGTAAAACTCTTGTTGCTCCAGGCTGTGATTTGAATGAATCTGCACTTCATGAGGATGCATGCATATTCATATGACTAAAGAAACACTGACCTAAATCTGCTCTCATCTGCCCTTGGGAAAAGTTTATCATCGTACCAAGACTGAAGAGTGGACCACCTTGTGCTGCAAAATTTCTGTGAAAATAAAAAAAACAAACAAAATAAACTAAGTACATTAAAAAAATTGATCATAAAGCACCACAGATTGTCAAAAAGCAAACCTATGAAGAAAATAATGTCCTAGGAGAAAATGCATTTTATCCACCTCTCGACCAAATTGTTTGCCTGAGGCCATTTGGTTCTTGGGTCCGACAAAATGCATGATGCCCTTGAACCCAGTCAATAAATGAATGTTAAGTTAATCATTTCAAATAAAGTGCACTGCATTTGAATCTAGAAAAAAAGTGTATCTTTTAGAGAAAGAAATGATACACTACTTAGAATGTTGACACACTATTGATCTATCCTGCTATACTTTAGTATAAGTACATGTATCACTAACCTTTGCCTCGTAATCAAATTTTTCATTGTTGTATTTCCCCCCTATCCTGTAAACATCATCCATTGTGTACCAAAACTCCGAAAAAGCATAAAATTCACTGTTATGAAAAGAGATGATTGGCTGGTGAACTCCGTTCATTGAACACGGAGCTTGTTCACAAATAACCGAGGAATTCCAATTGATCAGTCCCACAAGGGATGTCCGACAAGCTTCATAGTCTCCCAGTCCATGCAGGAAGTGGGTGTGTCCCTCGGCATCCTTCACTTCCTGTGTGAGACCCACGGGAAGACAGGGGTCAGAGATGTTAGGATGAGTTCTCTGTCTGCAGTAGCAAAAAGAATTTTAGGTTTCACGAATAATTTTTTAACAGAATAAGGCAGACAGTGGCATTTAGTTGACTGTAATCATTCTTTAAAATATACAAGATAACATATTTATGGGATACCAGGTAAACAAAATATACAAATGTAAATTTCTTCAAGTATAATTTTTTTTAATTTATCAGGACTAAATTTTCAGGCCACAAAGGAAAGAATTCTGATTCAGGAAATTATATTGTCTGAAATGTGATTAGATGGCCATATCATAAATTTGAAATGCTGTATGTCACAACCTTGGTTTCTTGCTTATATTTGGAGATGATCTAAGTTTTTTTCCTTCCTTACATGATAGGTATACTGCTTGTATTTGTTGTGGCCAAGTCCTTTTGGTGAGCCTTGGATAGAAGCACCTGCTCTTCGTACCTCTCTCTGGCTTCGTTTGCCCCGAACCCCAGAAATGTCGTCACGTAAACTCTGTAGGTGTGGTCTATGTCATTATTTTGACATCCGAGGTTAAACTCGGCCACTCTGTGCTTTGGAATGTTACTATACTGAAAAAGATAATAAGAGCATGCTAAATTCAACATCCAATTTTTTGTTTTATTTTAAATAATTTAGAAGTCTTACATTGTATTGAAACTAGATGCATCAGGGTGACATGGATCATGATGAATGCCCGCTGAAATGCGAGCTCCCATTGTGGGATTATTAGTTGGTTTTATTACCAGTATAATTATGGTGATTATATGGATAAATGAAGTGTCTGTTTTACTTAAATATACTTGGAATATCAACATATGAATTTTTTCCCACAATTTTTGTCCAGAATGTAAAGCATATATGGGTAGTTAATGTTCACATTAATAAAATCTTATCATAAAGGCAATTACATTTTGTTTAATGTTAGCATTTCAAAGCTTGATTATATATATAGTGATTATTTACAGTGCACTGACCTTTGAGGTGATTTCAAATGCTATCTGCATGGACCCCCCTCCCATATCCAACATGCCCACAGTTCTCCGTCGAACGTGAGTTTTCTTTTCTTTGTTTGTGTTGCCTGGAACTTCAACAGCCACCAGCGGATGTTCTAAATAAGTAAGAAATTAGTCATTTAATATAAATAATTAAATCAATTAACGACGTAAAATATATTCTTACTAAGGAAGAAATGTCACATAAACATGTCAATAGACCACTGACAAAGTCCTACCTTCCACCCCGTGATCAAATTTGTGTAGTACGTAATTGACAGCTATCCAGGCGTACACCCCCTCCTGTTTACCACTGATCACCTCTAAGTTACTCTCTGATATCACAAAAGGATACAGCTTTGGGATTTCTTTGTATAGATTCTGAAAAATGGCTTTCTGTGATCTGAAAATTAGATTTTTCTCTCATTATAAAACAAATATTGAAACATCCTAAAATACAAAAACAGAGTAGATAAATCACTCTAATGCAAAAAAAATTACAAACTTCAATCCCCCCTAAAAAAGTGACTGTAGAAAAATTATATTTGATAAGTCTCACATTTGAACTCATTCTTTCATGCATTCTTGTTTATTTGTAAAAAAGTTGTATTATTTGTATTCATATACCCTAGTTGGGGTCTTTGTCTTAAATAAAAACTTGAAACTTGAACAATTATAATTTCTGATTCCATGCAGAAATAAGAATCTTACGTTTCTGAGATCATGCGCATTCCTGCTGTTGCTAAGATAAACAATAGCGTCTCTTTCTGTTGGTCCTTTGGTATGTATCCAGCTACATATTGTAGTAATGGCTTTATATAGTCACTGGCTGCCTCTGGGTTATCTTTAAATGTATCTAAACCTATAAAGAGAAATCATTATTAATCATATTAATTGACCAGTATTTCTAATAGAACTGAGAAAAAAAAATGTGTAAGGACAATACCTGGAAAAAAAATGCAGTCTCTGATGAGACTGTATAGTTCTTCTGATTTATACTTAAAAATAACAGGAATTGAACTATGCCAACAGCAATTAAATAGAATGATCATACATAGTCTGGTCTCTTTGTGAGTAATTAAAGTTCTTCATTGCAATCAAAATAAAACTGTAGGAGAAGCTTTTAAAAGAATTTTACAGAAGTCTCTATTCATAGAGCATGGTATACTGATAAGTTTAATGCACTTTTAAAACAAATCATTTTTCAAAAGAAATACATGCAGTTCTTATGGAATAAGAGATATGATACCTCTCATACATATTATTATCAGAATAAATTTAAGTTTTAGGCAAAGTGTATTTAATATTTAGTTTAATGTTTTTAGAAAGGAATCTAATTACATAAATCATAAAATTTCCTTTCATACAAGTCAGAACTTAACATAAATTTCATACTGACAGCATAATATTTTAGGATGATCGAGTGTTGCTTTAAAACTAATGGAAATCAAGCATTCAATTTATTATTTCATTTACAAGTTAATGCAAGATAAAGATATAGTTTCTAGCAGAATTACCCATGTGTTCAATCGGATAAGTACAGATTTCACTTTCACTTGCTTGAACTGGGATTTTACTTGCCCTGGGGCAACTGTTAATGTCTATCCCTAATGAGAGTTACTTTGATGATCGAAATTGATCAAATTTGTATTTCGCTCTGCTTTTATTAATGATTTTGACAGAGATTAATGCCCATAAATACCAACAGGGAACTATAAAACATCACTTGATTATGCAAAACCTCAGTATGCTGATTTCAAAATAATGTTTAATTAGATATTTTGCATGAAAATTTATTTAGAGGGAATTGACAAAGAGATGTAAGCAAACCTGGTTTAATTTTTTTAATTACTGGCTTTCCATCTTTATCCATGAACTGTTGAATGTTGAGGAGATCTTGAGTGTTTCCCGAGTGTGGTGGCCAGAAATAGAGGAACACCTGACTACCACTGCTACCACAGTCTATAACAATCCCATAATGCACCGCGGGGCCCAGTCCTTTATTCTTATCAAACACATGCTTCTCATGTGATTTGTTGATAACTGGCTGACTTAGAAATACTGTTTCCAATATAACGAAGATAATCACAAGAATAATGAAGGAGCAAACAGTCACTATGGCTATTTGTCGTGTAGTCCATCTTTGTAATGCTGATTGCCATCCTATATGTCTGACATTGTGAAGACATTGTGGTATATTGAAATAAATCCTGGAAAAATTATAATACATAAATGTGTCACTATTCATGTACAGTTAAACCAAGTTATACCGAAATCAATAGAGGACAGAGAAGATATATTAATTAATCTACAACTACAGCAACGACCAAAAAAAGAATATGAGGAAGTTGATTAATATATTTGATTTCCCTCATCAAGACAAGAGACCTTAACAACATTAAGTTGATTACAAATTTTTGTTTAAATATTTTTTTATCGGGTGGGGTGGTGGTATTTTGTTTGTCAAGACATAATTAATTTTTTTTTCATAGTTATGGTGTCTCATCCTAAACTTAACAATCATAGGATTGAAAAAAGATTTACACTGACACATGGTGAAATTATAGGCTAGTTTGAGTTAGTGTCAACATCCTATTTCCTCAACAGACTGGTCTGATGTTGACAGGAATCACTTCCGATTATTCACAACATTTGTGATTACTTTGGCGCAGATTTTAATATAAATGTATGAAACTGTTTATAATGAAGAATATCCTTTACAATAATGTTAATCGAAATTGAAATAAACACTAATAAATATGTTACAAGTACCTGGCCATTGAACACAGTTCTGCATTTTATACACGTTGTTCCATCGGGTTCGACATCTCAATGTCAAAATGAAAGTAGGCCATCGGTAAAAAAAGATAAACAAAGCTAAGATTTTAAAGATTTTGATAACGAAGTATAGCGGTGTTGTAATGGTTTACTCTTTTATTACACTGTCTTATTCAATGCACAAGTGATTAAAGAAATGGAGGATAAATTTGAAACAGAGGAAACTTACAGCAATCCACAAGATTTCAAAGCACAGAGTGATAATGCAACACGAACCCAAGAGAGTTTAGAACCCGCGTTATTTGTAACACCCACAAGCGAGTTCAGTAAAGATGACAAAAATACACCCAGTGGTCAACACATTGAGAATGATGTACGTACGGGGATGGAAGATTTTACCTCAAGTGTTATAGCTAATTCTTCTTGTGATGAACCCCTGCTTACTTCCGAGAACATCAGTATGGATGTGGAAACTGGTACAAATATCACTGGACTGACTGAAAGTGAATCTCAAAATATAAGCTCAGAGAGTGTAGTAATTCAATGTTCAAATAAACAAATTTCCACTTCAGTTCCAACAGAAAACACAGCTTTAAGGTATAATAAATATTGCATGTGTTCGTTATAATATACAGATATATATATGCACTTTTATCAATATAATGTTTCATTTAGAATAACATTGTCATGCATGTTTTTTTTTTTTGGCAACCCCCACTTTTTAAATGAAAACTTATTAACCTTTGTTACAGAGTGTATATAAAATGATAACTATCAAAAGCAGCATGTGTAACTGTAAAGGAGAAGATTGTGATGAACCAGACCAGGATTCAAACCCAGGTCCCCAGAATCTCCTGCCAGGTGCTTTACCAAATGCTTGGGTGTCTGTCCACTGTATGATCCTCACATTCCTCTTTGGAATTCAAGGAAACCAACCCATCTTCCCTGTAACATTTGGATCTATGCTAAATTAAGCCCTGAAAGTGACAGATGGAATTGGTCTGATACCTCTGTTGGTAGAGCACCTGACTGGAGAATCAGAGGGCCAGGTCTGGTCCATCACATCTTTCTCCTCTTCTTTTACATGTACGCAATTGTCACACTGTTTATAAGAAATTTGCTCATCACAAAAAAACTTGAAGAAGTGTGTATCATTAATTATGAAAAACACATTGAAGATATACATGAAAAAAAAATATAAATGTTTTTCAGTGACTTCCAGGGTCCCCTGATCCAGAAACAAACACTATTGATACGGATAGAATTTGACAGGGACCAGTACCTCAGGGGATGTAAATGGTGAGGACTTTAATAAGTCTCCTACTTGGAACTTAAATTCTTAATTTCAAGTTTTATCAACACAGATAATTTGTTGTCACCTTTTAACTTGACCATCTGTTTGATAGTAACTGAATGTATATCATGTATATGATAATTCATGTTGATAATATAAATTGTAACAGGTCTGTTGATGGCAACATGATTTTGACAACCACCAGTGATAACAAGTTTTATGCATACAACTTTGCACAAGAACAAATTTGTTCACAGCAAGATTTTTCTGAATGGGTAAGTATTGTTTTATCTTATTCTTATTTTTAGCTTTTCTGCACAACTTTATTCAATTCAATTCAATTCTCTTTATTGACAATTACCATGTCGGCATACAGTCATGAACATTAATAACATAACATAAATTAGCACAATTAATACAAGTATATACAAAGTGAGAAATATGAGGTGAACAAAACTGTGTATTTCTCAATATTATTACAGTGAAACCTGTCTAATCCGACATGCACTGTTATTAAGTTTAACTAGAACATTTAGCTTGTCTTCATTCTGATTGCGCTGTTCTGATGAAATAAAATTTGTGAGACATTTTATCTGTTTGCCTCTAACACATATGTTTAACTTGAAAATATAATAATTTTAATGTATTTTGTCTTCTTTATTATAATGTTGTTTTGTTTTTTTTTGATTAAACAAAAAAAAAGCTGGGTATTTTGTTTTCAGAAGCCTACAACAATTATTAATGAAACAGGGACTGTGTACGACTATTGCTGGTTCAATCAGGCCTCAAATCCAAGCTTGTGAGTTTCTTCAAATCCTTTAAAACTTTTTTGCTGAGTGTAGTGATTGTTTATTAATCATGTTAATATACAAAATATTCAAAAATCTACCTCAGTCCAACAGATATTTTCCTATATACATAAATGTGTATATATATTTAATACATGTAATAATACAAGAAAGATTGAATAAATGTCATAAATCAGAGATATGATGTATATTTCAAGTTTCCTGACCACCAGTAAGGACAATCCAATCCACAACTGGGACGCTAACACAGGAGAGCTGATATCCTCCTACAGGGCCTACAATCAAATGGTTTGTCTGGTTATATCAATCTTAATGTATTAGATACAGGGCCTACAATCAAATGGTTTGTCTGATTACATCAATCTTAAAGTTATAGCTACAGGGCCTAAAATCAAATGGTTTGATTACATCAATCTTAATGTTATAGATAAAGGGCCTACAATCAAATGGTTTGTCTGATTACGTCAATCTTAATGTAACAGATACAGGGTCTACAATCAAATATGGTTTGTCTGATTACATCTTAATGTAATAGATACAGGGCCTACAAACAGGTTACATCAATCTTAATGTAATAGATACAGGGTCTACAATCAAATATGGTTTGTCTGATTACATCTTAATGTCATAAATACAGGGCCTACAATCAAATGGTTTGTCTGATTACATCAATCTTAATGTAATAGATACAGGGCCTACAATCAAATATGGTTTGTCTGATTACATCTTAATGTAATAGATACAGGGCCTACAATCAAATGGTTTGTCTGATTACATCAATCTTAATGTAATAGATACAGGGCCTATAATCAAATGGTTTGTCTGGTTACATCAATCTTAATGTAATAGATACAGGGCCTACAATCAAATATGGTTTGTCTGATTATATCTTAATGTAATAGATACAGGCCTACAATCAAATGGTTTGTCTGGTTACATCAATCTTTTTGTAATGGTTGTAGTTACCTCCCTTTCTCTGGCATGCTATTATACAGTTACATGTATTTGTGTACAGGATGAGCTGTCAGCAGCCTATAGCCTGTGTTACAGCTTAGATGGAAGAAAGATATACTGTGGCTTCAACAAGATGATCCGCGTGTTTGACACTGACCGACCAGGGAGGGAGTGTCAGAGCAGACCAACGTATGGTATGTACAGACTAAAGGAACTAAATACACTGTATAGTAGTTGATATCTTAGCTGTTAGCACCATCTCATGCCACAAGAAGCAGATTCATTTAATTTTTTCAGGAAGCATAAGTGACTTAAGATTTTGTCTCAGTAGTTGTGCAAAGTTGAAACTAAACTTAACCTTTTAAGTAATCAATTCTCTCTTTAAAGACATTTATTCTGTAGAAATTTTCTTTGTAAATAATTCCTCTAAAGAACCTATGGAAATGTTTCCTGTACTTGCATGGTGCATCTCACTTTGAATATGTTCTAATCTGTTTCTGAGATGTGCTGGTTAATTTATAGTTGTCTTTATCTGTTTCTGAGGTGGTTATTTTATAATTAATCTGATCAGTTTCTGAGATGTGCTGGTTATTTTACAGTTGGTAAAGTGGGAGGACAGTGTGGGATAATCTCCTGTCTGGCTCCGAGTCCCCAGGGAGGGATGTACGCAGCGGGATCGTATTCCAGAAGCAGTGAGTATCTTTGTACTATCATATGAATAATTATACAAGAATACAAATAACTAAATCCTGTACCATATGATCCACAATTTAGAACTAGATATGTGAATCTGAATGAAGTTGTAAAAAATTATTGTGCACAACAGAATCAGATAAAGATGATATTCACATTCTTGAACTTGATGGGACCAAGAAACCTTAGATATTGTAGAATTCAAGCTACATTATACATTTGAAAGAAAGGAATTCCAACAACTCAGTTTGAAATACCTAGCATATGATATATTGATGTTTGAGATTTGGACTAAATGTTTTGGGGTTTTTTTTTGTTTTGATCAGTTTTGATTTAGTTGCAGCTTAAGCTGTTCTTAAGTTATAATTATAGTCCCTAACCTTGTCATTTTTGTGTAATTATTTAGTTGGACTGTACTATGAGCCACAGGGAGAGGCAGTGTGTGTATTTGAAGGACAACAAGGGGGAGTAACTCATGTAGCATTTTCTAGGGATGGTACAAAGTTATTCAGTGGAGGAAGAAAGGTGACTTTACTGGAAGTGAACAATGTTGTAAGATTCTTAAATGTTTATTCAGTTAAAAAATATAAGTCTAAAGGTGTCTTTATTTTTTTTTTTTAATAAAAGGATCCAGAGATTTTGTGCTGGGATTTACGAAATCCTGGACAAATTCTATTTGTAGCAGTAAGGAAAGTGGAAACAAACCAGAGGATTTATTTTGATCAGGACAGGTTAGTGATTTATCAGTTAAAGCTTTGATTTACAGTGTTTACTTTGTAGATCATCTCTCTCTTCCCCATAAATACGTGTCAGTTTTTCAATTCTTCATTTTAGAAGTGGGATAAAAATGGCATGAAATGGGTTCAAGCTTGTAGCATTCATGCCAGTACAATGTCCTATTATTTTATATGATTATGTTTACAATAGCACAGGAAGATACCTGATCTCGGGTAACCATGATGGAACGGTGACACTTTGGGACACACTACAGACTCCTGTCCAAGCAAGGCCGGACACAGACTTTGTACTAGAGTCTTGTCAACAGTTCAAAGTCCATAATGACACAGTAAATGGAATCTGGTTTGTATTTCTGTCAACAGTTCAAAGGTCACAATGCAATGGGAATGGAATCTGGTTATGTTTGTAGTAATTCTTGTCAATGGTTCAAAGTCAAAACTCTTCAGAATATTACTCCTACATTCCCAGACAAAATACTCTCCAAATGTACTCCTACAATCATACTCCAACAAAATATTCTTTAGAAGTCCTAATCAAACTATCATCAACAAATTCTATAATCCAAATCATAAATACTCTGGAAATTCTCAATTTTAGTCAGATATCCTTACTCATTATTCCTTTAAAATCCTATTAATCATAAATGCCCTGTAAAAAAAATCTTTAAAAATCTCAAGCCCCAATATACTGAAGAATTTGGCTTTTTTAATGGATTGGAATTTAATTAAATGTTAATAAAAAAATTCAAAATTTATTTATTTTGATTTAAAGTTGTCAGAACCATTAAGGATTGTTTAATAAGTTGTATTCAATAAGAATATATACCATACTTTTTTCCAGCTTTCATCCTACACTGCCAGTCTTCGCTACCTCGTCTGGACAAAGACACAGTCCTGTTCTTGACAATGAAGATTTTTTAGATGAAAGTCTTCAGGAAAACACTCTTAAATTGTGGTTGTATAAATAAAATGTTTTTTTTGTACAATTGTTTTGTTCATTTTTTCAGGAGTCTGAGCACCTCCAAGGGTGAACATAGGTAATTAGAGATTACAGAGCTCATCTCAATGGATGTTGTCTTTAAGTAAGGCAAAGTCACACAATTAACCAACATTCTAAAAGAGTACATCCAAAAATCCAAAATTTATGCAATTTTGATCAAAAACTTTGGAATTAACTTATATAAAAACTTCAAACTAGTCACCCATCACAAAAACGTAATTATAATCCAGTATCTGAAGCAAGTTTGAGAGTTTTCATCCCTTAATGCATCATTTGTGCAAGTTTGGTTTATATAAGCCTTATAGTTTCTTGGTGATAGACCTGCACCCATAACTTTTACCTGGTCCATTATCTGGAAAATGTAAGTTGAATTCAGCATCCGAAGCAAGTCCATTAGTGTGCATCCTTAGATATATCATCCATGCAAGTTTAGTCGTTATAGGGTTCATAGTAACTTGGAATTGAAACCCGCATAAAAAACTTCTTCACTCATCCAAAAATTCAGATTCAGCATCCGAAGCAATTCCATTAGAGTGCATCCTTAGATGTATCATCCATGCAAGTTTGGTCTTTATGGTGCCCCTAGTTACTTGAAAATGAAACCTGCACCAATACATTAACCTGTTTCCTCATGCAGAAAATGTAGGTCAGATTCAGCATCTAAAGCAAGTCTGGTTGTATGCATCATAAGATGTATCATCCATGCAAGTTTGGTCAACATAGGGCTTCTAGTTACTTGGAAATGAGACCTACACCAAAAATTTTAACCTGCTCCAAAAACTTTCTTTGCTGAAATTGCAGCATCCGAAACTTTGACTTGTACAATGAAACACACTAGAAATATCTTCCATGCATGTCTAATCAATATAGGACATAGAAGTACTTAAAAAGAAAACTGCTCCAAAAAAACTTAACCTTGGACGCAGACACCGACGCTGATGGTATCACATAAGCTCCCCTAACTTTGTTGAGGTGAGCTAAATATATATGTATAGGTGTATTACTAGTGTGTGATTACTAGCAAAAAAAACTCACCTTTACTCAACATTTTGAAATGTATAGTCTGTATAAGTGCAAGACCTCAAACATTTACAATAAAACAAAACCTTGATATTGGTGCATATCTAAATTAACAAAAATTGTGACTTTTAACGCAGCTTGTAAGTTAATTTTTGATGTCAGTGACATCAAGATTGTGTTTATTTACTTTATTAAAAACTTTAATCTCTATAAAATTTGAAAACGGCAATGAAGTTCATCACTGCACCATCAGGATCTTTTAAAGGGTTGATGGTGCAATAAGGAGATGGCCTTATAACGATGAAACAATAATGCAACAGTATGAAAGCACCATGAATACGATATAATGGTGCAACAATGCAATGATGATATGGTGCGATAGCATGATGGAGTGATAGGGAACATGTATTCACCATCAGTGCACTATTATGATGCATGTATCTCTATTGCATCATTACCCTATCAGTTCATCATGTCATTGCATATCATCATCAATCTATTGCTTCATTGTCAGCGCACCATCGCTTCATTGCCATTACAATGTTGTGTCAACGCACTATTGACCCAACCCAAACCTTGATGGTACGATATGGATTGCTTGTAAAACCCACCAAAATAAGCCCAAATATGCACCCTGCTAAAAATTCTTCCTTCATTTATTCCTTGGAATACCTTTTGCTCTCCACCATCAATTTTCCATTCCCAGCTCTTTTCTACTTAATTTTGTGTTACTGGGTATATTGTATCTTTTCCAAACATTACTTTACAATTCAGACCATTAATAAAACTGCTTCAAACAACAGGCTTCATAAAACTGAATTTATTATGTTATAAAGAGAGCTTATAAAGCTTAATACCATACAATGGATAATTTTTCTACAAGCTCAAATTCTTTAAAATAAAATCTTGTCTCTCCATTTTGCAAAGGAAAATTTTGTGATTCTACTTTTAGCGCATTTAACAGAACTGTATAAAATGTGCCCTCAGTTATACTGTACTGAAATAGTAAACATCTAGAGAGACTATAGGGAAACACTTTTTGTGGCTCCATCTTTCAGTATCTCTACACTCAGAAACACTGAATTGTCAATCAATCTTGTGACTGTTTATATAACCACTTAACACTATTTATTGAAAAACTCTCAAAATCAATAATCACCTTAAAGGTGCATAGACACAGATTTTAAGTTGATATTTTCTGTATAATATCACGACTTATACCGGTATATCTTAATATCATTCCACACAAAAATTTATTAAAAATTTTATTTCATCTAAAAATTATTGAAACTTTAAATTTTTGGATGGGTTTGATTGACACATCCTTGCACTTTCACAAATTTAATTTAATTCTTAATATAAAACTTTAATCCAGAAAAATAATTATATTCAGAATAGAAATATTCTAAAACAAAATTTGTAAAAGTGCAAGAATGTGTCAATCAAACCTGCCCAAAAATTTTAAGTTTCAATAACTTTTAGATGAAATAAGATTTTTAATATATTTTTGTGTGAAATGCTACAACAACATATACATGTAAGTCGTGATATTTTACAGAAAATATTAACTCAAATCTGTGTCTATGCACCTTTAATAGTGTAAAAAAAAAATTAAAATTCATAGACCAACCTGAAGACGCTTTTTCATTCCAATTCCATTACAAGTTTTACTAATAAAAAGAAATAACACCAACAAGAAACAAATTTGACTGTTTACTCTAGTCTGAACACCATAACTTGGCTGGGCAAAGCAACATTAACAATGAGAATAAGTTTTGTTTTTGAATTATGACAACTTACTTAATACATTGTACCGGTATATTTTAACAGCCCAATGGATACCAAATTTAATGAGTACAATGTAAAATGCTACACAAATTACCATTGTATTTCACAACCAGAAGTCTCTGTCGAGACTGAAGCTCTACTGGTTTGTACTTATAGCAAAGGAAAAGAAAGGTTCTTAAGCAGTTGGGAACTGAAACTTTACCACAGCAATAAAAAGAATAATGATCCTTGATTAAGTCTCTTTATGTTCTTAGTGTAGTCTACTTGCATGCCACATTATATTATAATCAGACTTAAACTGTATTTCGATTAGCATTTTGAGAGTTTTTAACAGAAATTTCTATTTTTAGCAACAATGGCAACACCGTTCATCGAAATCAAAAACCGATAAATAGAATTATGTATCTTAGTGTAGTGTACTTGTGTGCCAAGTTATATTGAAATCAGACCAAAACTGTAAGCAGAGTAGCATTTTGAAAGAATTTCACAGAAATTTCTATTTTTAGTAACAACGGCAACACCGTTCATCGAAATCAAAAACCGATATACAGAAATATGTATCTTAGTGTAGTCTACTTGTGTGCCAAGTTATATTGAAATCAGACCAAAACTGTAAGAGAAGTAGCATTTTGAAAGAATTTCACAGAATTTTCTATTTTTAGTTACAACGGCAACACCGTTCATCGAAATCAAAAACCGATAAAATGAATTATGTATCTTAGTGTAGTCTACATGTGTGCCAAGTTATATTGAAATCAGACTTAAACTGTAAGAGGAGTAGCATTTTGAAAGAATTTCACAGAAATTTCTATTTTTAGTAACAACGGCAACATCGTTCATCGAAATCAAAAACAGATACACAGAAATATGTATCTTAGTGTAGTGTACTTGTGTACCAAGTTATATTGAAATCAGACCAAAACTGTAGGAGGAGTAGCATTTTGAAAGAATTTCACAGAAATTTCTATTTTACAGTAAAAAAAAATCAAATTGTTTTAGAAATGGTGGCTGTACCAAACAACGGCAACACCGTTCATCGAAATCAAAAACCGATACACAGAAATATGTATCTTAGTGTAGTCTACTTGTGTGCCAAGTTATATTGAAATCAGACCAAAACTGTAGGAGGAGTAGCATTTTGAAAAACTGTTAAGGACAGACAGACAGACAGACAGACAGACAGACGGACAGACAGACGGACGGACGACGGACGCATTACTATCGCATAAGCTCTTCTGGTCTCTGACCAGTAGAGCTAAAAATCAAGCAGAGTGCTCTTTTTGAAAGGGCCATATTTTGACCTTGTACAATATACAAGCATTTTTCAAAACTGGAATTAATATTTTGACTTTTGAAGCATCTTTTATATATGAAATGGAAAATGGAAAAAAATGCTGACGAAACATGAAGTTTTTGCCTGTAATTTTTCTTAAACACTACAATAGAAACCAAATTCAATTCTCATGTATTAATGTTTATCACAAGGAAAGGGACAGGCAAGTCCAGTATATATGGAGTTACATTTCAAATATGTACACTTATATTTCAGACTGCCCATTTAAAGTGTGGCTTCATTTAACTCAACTTACCAGGGTAATTAACTGGTGCTATACATTTTAATTTCTACTAGACGTTTAAAATACTTGTATAAATTGCAACATGTTGTAAAAGACAATATAAACCAAATATGTGTCACTTAGTTTTAAACATTCTTCACAAGCATTCTAACAAAAAAATAAATTGAACAATTGTTTTTCCTCACATACATGCTCATTTAATGCATTCAAGGGTAAAAAAAAAACAGCAACATATCACAAATAATCGTAATATACATATTCATAAGAATAGTCAGAAACACTGGATGTGTTCCCTTCTAGCTTTTTAAAACCTGTATCTGCTTTGCTTGATACAGAAAAGCATTAATGATTTGGATTGCATACTCCTAGGAAGTTAAAATCATATTAAAACAGCTTTTTATGTCTTTTGTTAAAAAAAGCTATCAACTCATTGTTTTCACGGTGAAAACAACACTGAATGAAATGGTGGCTGTACCAGGGCGTATATAAAGGAGATGGTACAGCGCAGTCTCTCACGGCCCTCGCTGTGTCTCACGCTCTCTCTCTCACTGGAGAATACACTGGGCGCTAGTGATGAGAATCAAACCACAATGTAGAATGGCTCCTCTTTCACACACTCTCTCCCTGGAGCTAACAATAGTCCATGACATGACTCCACTGTCATGGCGCCTTGCACTTTGTCAGAACTTGAAGCCTTCTTGGGGTACACTTGCACTGGGATCAAACTGGTATCCTTGACTTGAAGCTTCGGGAGCTAAGTTTGGATCCTCTTCAGTCTGGTAAAATTAAATGGACATAAAGTCATCATATCTAGGGAACTAACTGCTCTTTTAATTTCAAATTCCAAGGAATGCAACCAAATTCTCTGTTTCAAAATTTTCAAAATCTATTTCCATTTTGAGTGCCTTTATAACAGAAAACTGAGACCAAAATAAAATTGAAAACTTTTGATCATGTTTGTTTATCAGCTGAGGATTCTTGATGCTTAATGCGGCATAAATAATAATGCAGCAAAAATTACTCTACATACTCCCTACTGTCAATACAGAGCACCTTTCATGAAAGGAGAGAAATCCCCATACCCACTTAGATTTTCTATAAATAAGTAGGGTATAAAAGAATAAAAGCTGCACAGGGAGGTAAACGCTTTTATTTGTGGGACACAGGGAGGTAAACGCTTTTATTTGTGGGACACAGGGAGGTAAACGCTTTTATTTGTGGGACACAGGGAGGTAAACGCTTTTATTTGTGGGACACAGGGAGGTAAACCCTTTTATTTGTGGGACACAGGGAGGTAAACACTTTTATTTGTGGGACATAGGGAGGTAAACCCTTTTATTTGTGGGACACAGGGAGGTAAACGCTTTTATTTGTGGGACAAATAAGGTAAGAATATACTCACATCATCTGAAAAGTAGTGATCTATTATTTCATATGCCAGTTTGTATATATCTTCATTTTCATGATTCTGTAATGCTTCTATTTTGTCTAGACCTGAAATAAGAGCAAGTAAAAGACACTTTCATTTGGTTGTTCAATTGATGAACTGGTCATGGTACACACTTCACACCTACCCCTACACTTCTCTATCATGTTACACACTACCATTACCTTCACATTTCTTTTCACACTTACTCCCCCACTTTTCTGCTATGGTACACACTTCACACTTACCTCCACACTCCTCTATCATGGTACAGATTCGATCCACATCATCCCCAGCCATCTTTAATATATTATTTATTCCATCTAACACCACATTCACCACTTGAGTGTCTTTAACTCCCAGAAGATCACAGAACGGTGAAATTACACCATTTTCAACCACTTTGGCCACCTACAAAGTATTGTCATTTAATTTCAATTAAAAGCTTTAATTTTTCATCACCTTTATTTGAATATATCTTTAGACATGAAACATCAATGACTTTCACTATGATACTTACCTGCTCTTTGTTTCCACTGATTGTTAGATTGCTAATTGCCCAGGCTGCTTCTTTCTTTGTCTGGAAGTCACCCTGTCAACAAAATATTGTATAAGAACAAAGGTAGGTAGGATTTATTTCTAATTCAATGACTAACAAGTATTATAGATACAACTGCATCTGATTACATCAGAAAATGGGCAATGATTAAGATAGCAAGATATTACAGTACCTGCATTGCCTAAGTTACATATTCCTACATTAAGTTTAAAACTGTGTGTGTTCTCAATTTGGTCCATTATTTTAATAAACTGCATCATATACAGTGTATATGTTCCAATGAAGTTTCTTTTACATTATATGTGACATACTATGGACTTGTATCTAGGAAACTGTTACATAAGACCTGCTACTCCACTCTGATCCAATGCAGAGTTTATAAACATGGAGATAGTTGAAAATGGGATTCCTCCTATTGACATCTGTAATTTGTAAAACTGGCTCAATTTCTGTGTCGTTATCTTCACCATCCTACTTACCCTCATCAAATGATGAATAATGAGTGAGATGAGGCCAGCGTCTATCACAGCTTGTACTTGAGATTGGTTTCCAGCTGTTATGTTGGACAAAAACCACACAGCTTCCTGTCATACACAAAATACACATACATCATCTTCTTCAGAATTTACTCAAACAAAAAAATCTAAGTGAAATACTCAAGCAGATAAATTCTAAGGGAGACAAATCTTACCTTATTAATTTTTTCTTTAGGGTGTGTCAATAGAGAAGGGAAATGTGATAGGGCATCACAGTTGAGTACGATTTGTGTCTGATCATCTGTTCCGGTAACAATATTCCCTACTGCCCTCAGAGCTGCTGTCTGTGTTAACAAAACAAATTATCTACATAAAATTTGTGCTCTAAAGTAAAATTTAAGTGTAAATTTTGTGGATAGGCCTTCATTTAACAAAGGAAAATGTCATTTTATAAAAGTTATCTTTTAAACGAAAACTGACTTAAAAAATTTGTATTGCTCAACACTCTCTCTTGTGACAATATTCATTAAAAAAATTCCTCTACACCATTCTGCACCACTGAGTACAGTCAAGTGAATCAACATCCTGATCATGCATGAAAAAAAAAATGTTCTGAAAAGTACATTTAAGTTTACCTGGACTTTGACATCGACATGACTAAGGAGGGGGACAAGGAATGGGACGACCCCCGAGTCTATCACCATCTGTATCTGTTCATTTCCTCCATCTGTCAAATAGGACAATGCCCACACTGTGTCCACCAGGATCTATAAATAGATAAAGTACAACTTCAGTGATATTTTCTACTACATTCTAATTTGGTTTAAAATTCTAATGTATCAATGGCTAAAGCATGTATTCTATATAAGTTAATTTTACAGTCTCTTTATGTAAAGAAATGAAATTGTTTTATTGTAAAGTTAACATTTTTTTATGGCCTCTGCATTCCTTGATTGTTGTCAAAGACAATAAGTCAATAATCGAGAATGATGGCCAGTAAGTAAGTTTCCTGTGACTGTTAAATCCTTTGTCATATTTCTAGGTGAAAGACTTTTTTGGTAGAACTAATACAATGACTCACATTAATGTCTGTATGGTGAATCAGCTGACACAGGGCGGGGAGAATTTCTTGGATAGTCTCCAGAGGGGGAGGGGGTTCCTTGTTTCTGCACAAGTTTACTATTACCCAGGCAACATTTCTTAAAAATGGCAGAGGAATGTTGGGGTTTATAAAGTTCAGAAGTGGCTTCACAGCCCCTAGCTTGATAACGTAATCTCTACACTGTGGCCCATCACCTAAAATATACAGCAAAACATATTATTCATCCCACCTTCTTATAACATTACCTTCATAGTTAAAGACTTGCTACAATTAAGTTCAAATTATATAATACTTTAAAATTGTTACATGAACTTTCAATGAATACTGTATTCATATTTTCAAATTATTGAATTATTCTTGTTTTGTAGGTGACAATGTTCAGTTGATGACAATTTTTCAAGATTGAAATTGTCTTTGGATACGTTGACTGAATGTAATGATTTTTGACACTTTTATGTAATGAAGATTATTAAAGGTGAATTCTTACCTATAATATTTCCTAATGCCCACACTGCTTGTTCACAGACATTCTGGTGATGGGAGGTAAGCAACCTTAGGAACAAGGGAACAGCACCTGACAAAATGGAGTTGTTCATTTGTAAATGATACAAAATCAAAATGCACACTACAGCAAAACTCGGTTATAACGAAGTCACCTATGAAATTACTTCGCTATATCTGTAATTCGTTATAACCGTACAAAAAATTCATTAAATTTATAAATCTGGGGATCCCAGATGACTTCGCTATATCTGAGAATTCACAATAACCATGTTCGTACTAAACGAGTTTTACTGTATTAATCAGCATGATTCATGGGTTTTCCATCAGAAATTAATATAACTGTGTGTGTAAATTTATTAATTTTGCTGCCATTTTGCTCATATACTTACCGGCATTGACTACAGCTTGAGTTTGTTGAGAAGTTCCAGATGCAATGTTTGTCAAAGCCCAGGCTGCCTCAAACTGCAAGGAAGGACTACAAAAAAAAATCTATTCCTGTACTACGCTCATTAATTTGACTTCAATAGCATTAGGTTTTCTGGAAATAGGAGAAAATTACATGCACTCTTAAAAAAGTATCAATCAGAATATTACTTGGCAACAAAAACTGTAATTAAAAAAGAAACTATAGCAAACAAAAAATATATTACTTGTCATCTTTCAGAAGACATTCTACCAGAATAGGGAGAATTCCTGAGGAAATCAGGTCATCTATTGGTGGGTTTCTGTCACTGGACAACAGTTTCCTGTTGAAAAAAAAAACATCCTGTTATGATCTTAAATGATTCAAGTTTATCTATCCTTAATGCAAAGCACTTTTGGATTAGTTTTAATTAGTTCTTTATTCATAGCACAATACTTCTGTACCCCTCCCTGAAGCTTTAATTAGTTTATTGCTTGTTTTGAAAGAGTTCCATTTACCTGGCTGCCTGGACAGCGTTGAGTTGGACTGTTGGATCTGAACTCGCTGCATTCTCTACAATGGACTGTAAAGACTGGCTAGTTGGCTTTTCAGTGTCATCGGAATCTGTACTATCCTGAATCGGCACATTCCGCCTCTTCAACACATGCTGATCTCTTTTGTTCTGAATGTGTATCACTTTTGTTACAAATTGATCTAAGTTTGTTAAGCTTTGCAGACTTTCGCCCATACACTGTATTTTCATTTTAACAACACAAATGGCAGAAAAAGCATATATATAGCATCCAAGATTCAGTTCTTGTCAAGTTCCAAGGAAGAAAAACATAACATTACTGTATCTTCTTCTCACAAAAAAATATATGGAGCTCATTTGCACTTTTAGCATTCCCTTACTGAAAAGCAATAACTTTCAACACAGCAGCAGTTTCAAATTTTATGAGAATTTAGCAAACCAACAAGAGGCCCATAGGCCTTATAGGTCACCTGAGCATTATGCAACAACTTTCCAGTGATTAAATTTAATTCATCATAACAATACACTTAGCAGTTTTAGTTTGTTTTCAATACCCATACACAAGGTAGGGGAACAAAAAATGCATTTCAACTAATCAGTTATATTCAGCAATAATCAGTAGTGCCCCTACTACACAGGAACCCCTGACCCTTAGGCCTTGATATTTGATTAATACCAAGGAGCAATTTCAAACCATTCATTCATTTTCAGTATATGTACATTTACCCCTACCCTGGGGCCTTGAAATTCACAATTTGGAAGATTAGGGCCCTTGTAGATAATAACTATATAGGTAGTTCATCTGCTTAATACCCTAGAGCAGAGAAGAAAATTTTTAAAGATTTAATGAATTTTCACTATATAATCTATAGAGCCCCGCCCTAACACCAAAACCCCTGACCCTGGGGCCATAAAATTCATAATTCCAGAGCAAGGCAAAGAGTAAAGAGGTAGAGGCACTCTTGCTCAACATAATTATGCACTTAGTTAGTTTATTTAATACCCAGGAGCAATGAAGAAGATTTTCAAAGAATTCCTGTATTTTCACTATATAATCAATAGAGCCCCACCCTAACACCAGAACCCCTGACCCTGGGGCCATAAAATTCACAATTTTGGTTGAGGCACTCTTGTTCATCATAACTATGCACTTAGTTAGTTTATTTAATACCCAGGAGCACAGAAGAAGATTTTGAAAGAATTCCTGTATTTTAACTACATAATCTATTGAGCCCTCATTGTTCCAGCACTTTTACCCCTGACCCTGGGGCCATAAATTTCAAAATTTTGGTAGAGGCACTCTTGCTCATTATAACTATGCACTTAGTTTATTTAATACCCAAGCAGAGAAGATTTTCAAAGAATTCATGTATTTTCACTATATAATCAATAGAGCCCCCCCCCTAATACCAGAACCTCTAATCCTGGGGCCATAAAATTCACAATATTGGTAGAGGCACTCTTGCTCACCATAACTAGGCACTTAGTTAGCTTATTTAATACCCAGGAGCAGAGAAGAAGATTTTCAAAGAATTCATGTATTTTCACTATATAATCAATAGAGCCCCACCCTAACACCAGAACCCCTATGGGGCCATAAAATTCACAATTTTGGTAGAGGCACTCTTGCTCATCATAATTATATACTTAGTTAGTTTATTTAATACCCAGGAGCAGAGAAGAAGATTTTCAAAGAATTCACGTATTTTCACTATATAATCAATAGAGCCCCACCCTAACACCAGAACCCCTGACCCTGGGGCCATAAAATTCACAATTTTGGTAGAGTCACACTTGCTCATCATAACTATGTACTTAGTTAGTTTATTTAATACCCAGGAGCAGAGAAGAAGATTTTCAAAGAAATAATGCATTTTCACTACCTACTTATTTAGCCCCGCCCTAGCACTAGAACCCCTGACCCCAGGGCCATGAATTTCACAATTTTGGTAGAGGACTATTGCTGATTACAATCATGCAACCAGTTTGACTGCTTGATACCCAGGAGTAAAGAAGAAGATTTTTAAAGATTGCATTAATTTTAGTGGTTTTGGCCCCACCCCTCAGGCTCCCGGGGGGCAGGGATCATGAAATTCACAATTTTTGTTCCCCTTCACCCATAGATGCTTTGTGCCAAATTTGGTTGAAATTGGTTCAGAGGTTGCAGAGAAGAAGCTGAAAATGTTCAAATGTTAACGCACAACGCACGACGCACGACGACGGACGAAAACGGATAGCAATAGGTCACCTGAGTTTACTCAGGTGACCTAAAAATGGATGTTAAGTGGAAAGGGAGCTTTCATTATAAATATTCTTGATTTTCCACTGTTTTCAATCAGCAACATTATAATGCATAGAAGGAATAAATTTGAACTAGAACTGTCCAATAGGGACAAATACCCCCGCTGGGTTTTTCAGAGTAGGTGCCAATTCAGAAATATTTTATGGATCTAGTAAGAGGTGTTCACTATTGTCTAATAAAGTGCCCCGCCACAGCATGATATGCCCATCAAATATTGTTCGATAATCATAAATTGGTTAGGGTGTAAGAAAATCAAGTAACCTTGATTAACAGATTGACACAGATTTCAATGATCTAATTTCCATTTCTTATCATGTTTAAAATATTGTACATACATCTCTAAGAGACTTACAGTGTAGGGATTAATTAAAACAAATAATACATCATATAATTCTAAACTGGCTGTGTTAGAGCCTAACAAATTTCCATCTGCAGCTTTAAATTGTTTTATTGCATATTTTATAAAATAATGGAAATGCTACAGTCTAATAAAAAAAATCAAAAATTAATTATTCTTTAGACTATAAAATTCTAAGTGAGACATGACTGCAATTTGTTGCAAATATATAAAAATTGAAATGTAATTTTTTTTCAATGAACACATGTATAATTAATTTTAATTATATTATACAATACTAATTCAGTTTTAATCATACACTAAAACATCAATTTGTTTTAATTATATTACACCAATTGAAAGACCTTTATCTGAACTACAGTCATCAAGAACTCTTAATTAACACAAGCAACTATAAGACCATTTCTTTTTGCCCAACTCCCAAGAGATGAATTAAGTTAATACTGCATGGTGCTCTTGCCAGTTAACTCCCGACAATGAACTCGTTAATTTCTCTCTAATTTGACATGCACATTTCTGCTATCAAAAATTCTCCTTGACCAGTGCTTGATAATTATGCCCATGGGACAAACTGAATTCCTCTCAAATCATTAACATTTGTTACAGAATTTTCTGTAAAGTATATGATAAAAAATAAGTTTTTACTTAATTTAGCATTTTTTAATAAGGATACAACTATATTTTTACATTTTTTAGGATTATGAAATTTAAAATTTTAAAGACTTAGTTTTTTTAAAAAAATCACTTCAATTAAAGGTCACAGTGACCTTGAAATAGGTCGGGACACACCGTCTACCCAAGATGCATAACTTGTCCAAGTTTGATGATTGTAAGTCTAATAGTTTTCTAGTTATGAGCCAAACAAAATCACAAAATAAAAAAGAAAAAACGCCTGTAAAATGCAGAAAAATCATTCAATCATGATGAAAATCCCAGGTGCACAGCTTCATATGGTGAATAATAAGTGTACAAATTTTCAGACAAATCCATCCAACAGTTTCTGAGAAACGGTCCGGACAAAATCTTGTCTACAGACAGACGGACAGACAGACAGACGGACAGACAGACGGACATGGTGATTCCAATATACCCCCCTAAACTTCGTTTGCGGGGGTATAACAATGCATTCAGAAACCTTTGGATATCACTAAAAGCAACAGCCAACATAAACATTGTATTAAATTTCTGTACATTTATAAGAGTTGACAATTGGTGGCAGCGTAGTGGTCTGGTTATTCAGTAAGCCCTAGCACAGTAAGCTCAGATATATGTGTCCATTCACAAACTTGGTGCCAGTGAATGGCAGATCCTGATTCAGGAAACTCTAGGGCTAAGATTATGCATCCATTTCCTGACTTAATATCTGCGGATGGTACGGGTTTCCATTACTGATGAGGCCCCAGACTCTAAGAGAGAACCTATGCGACTTCATGTCAAAGCCTTCCAGAGCAAGGCAAAGAGTAAAGGATTAAACAATGGAAACTTATACTTTCTTGCTAGTGAGCTAGCTTTTCTAGTGCTGTGGTACAGCCTTCCTCAGTTTCAAGTTTAGCGACCTCCTAGTGACCACTTCACGCTACACTACAATAGGGGTGCAGGATTTAAACTTAACTGAAATTTCCACTAGCCATGTGGGCTCCTAACATTTCAAATTTAGGAGCCCACAGCTAAATTTGTTAGCCCACAGTCAGTTTCTGTGATTTAAAAAAAAATGTTCCTTTTTTTGGACACTGGGACAAAAGTAGATACAAATAAAATATGATTGTGTATAAATACATTTGTTTAGAATAGGAGTTCTTACTTTATAAAAATCAAATGTCATATGAATATTTAATCAAAGGAAATAAAATTGAATGCAAGCATCACTTTTACTACCCTTTTTAACATGGTAGAATACGTATACTGAACATGTATTTGCTCCTTCAAGTTCAACCGGCTCGTCGATTTACCCAAATGGACCCAAATGGAACCCAAATGGACCCAAATGGAAACACAAATGGACCCAAATGGAAATCAAATGGAATATTAAATATGTATTATCATATTTTAATACTTATTCAAAATGATGAAAATAAATGAACTTACAGTTACAAATGAATTTTTTTTATTATTAATCTCTAATATTGTATTTTGAAACATGAAGTTTTCATAGTATCCTATATACCGGCAAAATTATTTGTGGGGCGGGGGGGGCATGGTCTCCTCCTCCCCCCTCCCCCTCCATCCGTTCCTACTGCCATAGAAACTATCCAATACTTCATTTTTGTATTCAATTATGTTCAATAGTTATTACAAATAGAATTAAATCGCATTTTTAAAAATACAATTAAAGAAATTAATGATATTGAAATATTCTCTTTTTGTTTTAATTTCATTATTTTCTATGTTTTAAATAAGTAAAAACTTGAGAATACGATATAATATATATATATCTTATATTCCATTTGATTTCCATTTGGGTCCATTTGAGTTTCCATTTGGGTCCATTTGGGTAAATCGACGCAGCCAATGTGAACTTGATGAAGTGACAATGGTACAAATATATACCGGTAAATAAGATTTTCAATGTTAAATATTTTAACTGTAACATATCTGAAATAAGTAAAAACACTTACAATTTATATGACTGAGTAGTTTGGAGTTATTCTAATTGTATATCTTTCACGTATCAACCATGTACAGAAGAACGGAGGAAATTCGGATTATGAAAAAAAGATCGTATAAGGGCTTTCACAAATCATGCAGTGCTGTTAAATGGAAACGATGATGGATATTTACGAACAATAGGACCATGCTGCTGTGATTTATTTCATTGGTTGGGAGTTTTGAATAAACAACCTGTGGAACTGTCTGTTTTTCACTAAGGGGACTGGTCAAATGAATTCGGCCCATGCAGAATTTTCATTCGCCATGTGGGGGAGCAAGTTATAAATTTTATGAGCCCACATCAAATTTTACTTGCAATTTGCGAGTGGGCGAGCGTTAATTTTAAACCCTGGGGTAGAATGATATATCGATACATACTGATATTTTCTTCTAGTGATACATGCATTAAAATTTTGGCACAAAACGATACATGAACAAGCTATCAAAAAATTGAAAATGAAAGTACTTTTCCTTGAAAATGGCGGCTTGAGATATGTATCGTATTGTTTTATATGTATCGAGGAACATATCGTTATCGCAAGATGAGTGTATATCGTTCCACACCTACGCTACAACTGCACTTTCCTAAAACAGTCACAATATCAAACTTATAAATGAAGATCTGTTGATTCTTCACATGCTAAAAATGGTTTTATCTCTTATCTCTACAAACAAATTATACACACTTTACCTTTCTAATTTCAACTGTAACCTCAGTACGCCTTCTCCTCATTTCCTGTAAACAAAAGCAGTGTGGAGAAATTACTTTAAAAAGATACAGAACAATACCTAACATGTGAAAATTTCTAAAACATATCTCAGGAAGTACCAGACAATTTAAGAATAACTGTACAACTACATGCGCAATTTCAAAGCATGGAATTAGTGTCTGATTAATTCACAATTTCCTGGGCAATTATAAGAGAACTTAGTAAATTCGTACGTCAGCATCCTTTCCCTTGTTTTTAAACAAGTGTGTCCGCCCTTTAGCATTCAGATCTGTTGCCATTTTGTGTTGGTTTTTCTTTTTTATCTTTCAATCCAACGAAAATCTTGATGTCCTGGCGAAATGAGTTATATCACTTTCGGAAACGTTAAGTAAGACGCAATTTGATTGGTCAATGCATTTGACTTATATCGAAATAAATTGTGTACTTTGAGAATTCTATTAGAAATCAAATCCTGTTTTCAAGTGTAATTAACATGTATATGTGTATAAAAAGATCTTTTCCTTTAACATATCAAGATTTGCATTTACTTCTTTAACATTTTCACATTATTGAAGTAAAGGCGAACACCAATGAAATCCTTCCTAACAACTATATGATTTCATGCATTCTAAATCCATTCGGAACTCCTTCGCCACGTGCTATGCTTAGAAGCGCATTGATAACTAAGATTTTTGCAATATGGCAGCCTCCATGAATGTCATGCTGAGCAAGCTGTGTGATAAGAGTTTGACATATGAGGATCTTGTTATACATTTAAGAAGATTTAATGACTCTCAGATATTTAAATTCACTGCAAGTTTAGCTAAACTTGATATGTTAATATATACCTCACAAAGAAATAAGAAAAGATTATGTTTTTTCTGCAATTTGATATCTTCCCCAAACATCTGTAATTTTATCAATAAGTTGCTAATAAAGTCAAAAATGGATAAATCCCACCTTTCTGTATAATATGTTTTACAATGTGACCGCTAGGGCGAGTGCAGTTATGTAATATCAATATACCTCTACACAGTTGCATGATGCTTGTATATATACTGGCTATCGGGGTATCGGGTTCGTTCGCCCGATCTACGTGTTCGCGGGAGTCCGTTCGCACAGAGTCCGTTCGCCCGAAATATTTTTCGCCCAATATCTTGTTCGCCCTATATATGGTATATATCAGTGTTTTCCTTTTATTTCAAAGTAAAGGGTTAGAGATCAGTTGTAACAGGTTAGGGTATGAGGTTTATGAACAAAATTGACAATTACTGTATATACTCGCCTATAAGTCGGATTTTTGGGAGTTAATCTCTGGTCCAAAACTCTATGTCCGACTTATAGGCGAGCTATAAAATGAATGGTATTATATGAGGTCAGTCCCTCTTATATATAAGCTTATTAAATACAACCGACTTATAGGCGAGTATATACGGTACCATGTCGGCATACAGTCATGAACATTAATAACATAACATAAATTAACACAATTAAATACAAGGATATACAAAGTGAGAAATATGAGGTGAACAAAATTGTGTATTTCTCAATATTAATATTTATTTTTGACTTTCTTTTCTGATGTCAAAGCACTTTTTTTGATAATCAACAAAGGTTTTCTTCTTCTTATTAATTTTGTTCCATTTTTCAATCGGACAAGTGGGCCTTTGGACTTGTGAACCTTCAAACTAGTGGGCGGTTGGTCTTGTGATCCTTCGCACTAGTAGACTGTCCAACTAGTGAACCTTTGCACTAGTGGGCAGACCTCCTGGCTATCTTCACTTCAATTTTAAAAAATTAAATTAAAAATTTTAAAAATTAATGAAAGAAAAAAGAACTAAAAGAAATCACTTCTCATGCATCCGGATCAAGATTACAAACTTCTCAAAGGTTTCCGACAAAATCCCAAATACCCAAGTGACGAAAGGATAATGTGAAATAAAAAGTCCTATTGGCTTTGGACGCAAACAATAGTTTTTGTGGTATGGAGATTGCATTAAAACATTGTTTATAATTTTTTTAAGTAAGTTGTTGCTATGTTTTAGCCACCATGTTGCTATGCACTGCAAAGGATTATTGGGAGTTTGGAATTTTTTCACGTGGACTGATAAAAATTTCTTTGAACAATGTGTATATTTCAACCCAAATGCAAGCCCGCTATGGAGCCTGCTATGCAAGTGGCAGTTCGCTCCGCCTCGCTGTGCTTGCTATGAATACACAAGATTTACAATGTCATTTTGACCCTGTATCAAATTTTCATAGAAATCAGATGTTTAATGGTTTGGACCAATGATATCAACCTGAGCAGCTCAGTAGAGCACCTAACTAGTGATACAGGGGTCCTGAATTTGTTTAACAGTCCAGCAATACAGGAGAAAATGTATGACTGGACTGGAAATAGAACCAGGGATCCTTGCATCACTAGTCAGGTGTTCTGCAGACTGAGCTAGCCAGGCTGAAATACACGGCCCAAACCATTACATGATCAATGTGTACAGTCCAAATTTCATCTTCACCCAAGCATCAGTGTTTTCCCTTTATTTCAAAGTAAAGGGTTAGAGATCAGTTGTAACAGACTAGGGGCAGAGGTTTATGAACAGAATCTCTATGGACCTTACAGCAAATTTTTATTTCAAAGCGGCAGTTTTGTCAATTGAAGTGGTCAATTTTGCCGGTAGCCGGTTCTTAGGGAAAACACTGAAGCATTCTTGTTAGAGCTTGCAGAGCAAATGGTGCTTATTCTACTATTATAAAGCATCTAATTTCAGCATCAAAGACCACATTCCATCAGAGGTGTTTTAACTTTAAAAATTATATATATAAATACCTTTTTGGATATACCTGTGATAATTACTCTAGAAGTGTGTATTTTTTCAGAAGTCAAACCTTCATGATACGATTGGGAGGATGCACACATTTCTCCACACTGCTAGTAATAGGTAATTGCCTTATGACATGCATTTAGTAGTAATTTCAAACCCCCCCCCCCATGTTTTACAGACAAGAAATTTCTTCTAATTTTTTTTTATCGAATATCTACAATAAGAGCATGATAAGTTATTTCTTATCAAATTAAATAAAAATAGATATGATTTATTGCACCTGAGCTTGTCTCAAGTAGAAGGTATTTTATAATATCAGTTCTAGGCCAGTTCTGTAGTGTTTCTTAGGTCAACAAGAATTCAAGAAAAGAATGAAATCATGTATAAAAAAAAACAACAAAAAATGTCAGTACAGATATCAGATTATATGTATATGTTGACAGGACTCGTGGTTTGCTGATTTTGACCAGTCTCATCAGTCAATGTGATGCGGAAGATTTAAACCAACACATGTCCACTTGGCTTAAAGTCATCATTCACATATTACAGGTAAGTACTATCTATTTCTATATAAATAGATGTATAATACTTTTGCAAAGATTTTGTAGTCAGACTGAGATTCTGAGATTGCAGAGTTTGTTTTTACTCCAGATTTTTATCTATTGCATGTCTGTATATTTTTTTCTTACCGGTACTTTGAGTCTTTGATTTAAAAATGAGATATTTTGACTTATGAATTCTGTTTTCAGTTAAAGTTCAAAGTAATGCATATCTAGATCATATCAATAATCGTTTAGCTTTGTCCCAGTGACCCAAAATTTAGATTGTTTTTTTCTAGCCATTCATCCCCTTCTTTACACTTAAAAAGAAGTCTATAGATAAAAAAAATATATGTCCAGATTATTGCATCACAGTGTCACAATTTTACCTTTACCTTTGTTAAAGTGACCCCAACACTGCAGGTGTCTTCCTTCAATCATTCTCCACCTGTTTTAAGTAAATGAAGTCTATAAGATAAAAGATTATTTTAATTTCTTTGACTTTGATCTTTGATCAAGTTACACAGACTTGTCCTTCACTTAAGAAGTAAATACATGTACTAGGAAGTATCTACATTGAACAGTAAATTGTAGTCAAGTTATTTACTGTCATATATAAATATTGTTTGTTTGTATATTGTTTAATGTCCCTCTCAAAAATTTTTCACTCATATGGAGAGCTGCAAATTTTGTCCTATACTAGGCACTTCAAGTGATTGTCTAATTGTAGTCGAGGGAGCCCCCGGTGGTTCTGAAGCTGACCTGTCATGTGTGTTGTCAGATCATCAGAATATCACCCTGCCACATTTCCCTAAAGAAAGCTGTGCAGACATTTATACCCCAGCTTATTCCTCTGCTTCTGGGAGCTTCTGACGAGGTTTGTATATCAATCTTATGTTTTATGAAAAATTTAGGCACCTAGGGGTTAGATTTAAGAGGTAGTGACACACACCACATTAAAATCTACATTAGTTGTTCAAAATGACACAAACATTAAAAATTTTTGCTTGTTCTTTAATGGTTTCTTATAATTTATGAACTCAAAATGCAAATAAATGAGTTGGATAATACGAAGTAATGAAAATTAACCATAGCATCCCATTGTTTGCAGTTTCTGATTGATGTTTGTGTGTGTAATTATCTGGTTTCATTAACAGTGGAAGAGACAATCTATAGCAGTACTGAACGCCTGTATAACTCACTATGGCGGGGCCTGTGGACCATTTAAGGTAGGTGATACACTGTTCTGTAGTGTCAGGAAACACACTACAAGGGACATACAATATCTATATTTATTTTTTGGGGTATGTGAGTAAAGGTTTTTCAGATTGGATGAATGAATGTTTCAAGTGAAAAAAAAACACAAACATCTGAATATATCCCCTTAACAAACATATAAAAGAGATGTTAAAATTGCTTGCTTAAGAGGTTCATAAAAAGATGAGTCATTCTATATTAAATATCTGTGTGCATATAATGTTAAAAATAGGGACGGGGGTTTGCTTCTTAACATTGCCTTCTGGTATATGGAAAGGGAAATCATTTCATTTCCATATTCCAAGTGAAATTATTAAAATTGGTGTATATACATATAAGATAATATATAATTTTGTATGCCTACTTATGATTTTAAATGTTTTGTTTTTTAGAGTAAAATTGAAGACCTTATCAAAAAGGAACTTCATTCTGGCTCTCTGACCAAGGTATGAAAATTAATGTGTGTGTGAGGGAGGGGGGTATTGTATAAGATGTCCAAAAGAAAATTTTAATTGTCTTCTCAAGATCGACTTGATGAATTTAATCCAAACCAAATTGAGAGGTTGCGTTACATGTTTATTTGTTAGAAAGATATTTGTTATTCTGATGAGTGTTATGGTGTGGTAGACTTTGATCTTGATCATTTGAATAATTATTATTTTAAGTAAGCTGATGTTATTCTTTACAGGAGTCTGTGCTGTGCTTCTGTCTGTTGGCCTGCTGTGGCACCAGTGGTAATCAGAGGATCAAATACACAGAGGGCTGGAGTTCACAGGTCACTCACCTGTTAAACGACCTCCACTCTATAACTGACCACATCTACAGAGACCTACCCAACTCAGGTGATGCTTGTTGATTCCCACCTCTAATCTCTGATAGTTACAAATTTATTATTATATTTATTGACGTGCATTTCCTTAATTAACATTACTGAAACTTCATCAACAGGTTTACCAATGACTGAGGAAGATGGTATCCAAGAATCCTTTGGGGCAGTAGATCCAGTGACACAATTCAGTATTCTCATGCAGTGTCTCCAGAGGATGCTCAGGTTTATTTTCAGTTCACAAAAATGTTATAAAATACAGTGTATAAACCAGTTTTTAGAAAACAATTTGTTTTCTTTAATTTATTTAAAATTCATATTTATGTATTTTTGTTACGTCTCCTGAAAACAAACTGTTACATTAGTAAGCTTGTTTTCTGACATTTGTAGGAAATCCTTCCCCGCTCTGATAAAACTGCCTGTTGAGAGGATTCTCCACTTTGTTGATAAAGTTCTCTCTGTAGATGACGCCCAATTAGTAAGTTGTAACTTTCTTTGATATAGACACTTGGATACATAGATCTTAGGAGTTAACTTATATACTTTACCAAGGATTTCATTACAGTATATGAGATTTAGAGTATCTGAATTCACATTCTATGTTTTTTAAGACATTTTCTCTGAACTCTGAAATTTAGGTGAACATTATGGCCTGCAGATCTCACTTTTTATCATTTTCTTGTTGTCCTTCATTAAGACATTGATGATTTTAAATCTTTCAGAGGATGGTGAGTTCACTGAACAGCTCTGTCCTACTCCTCCACAGAGAAGCAGTGGATGTTATTGATGCCCTGTATGAGAGGTCAGACAATTTATACACATTAGGGTATTCCCAGTATGCAAGGCTGGTGTCTGGCCAGTATTTAAATTGAGTATACTTGTTAGGACAGCTGTATTTAGTTTTGATAATTTTTTTTTTCAAGGAAACATCTCTTGCTGGATGTACTTGTACTGCATATTGTAAATCAAGAGAATTTCTTTTTGTTTTCAGTTGTAAAAAATTGATGTTGCCATACAACAAGAAAGTTGTTCGAGTGTTAACAAGAGAGCTGATACGGACTTCCTCTGACTCTGCATACACACAAGCTAAGCCACTCAGGTATCATGAAGGCTATAATATGTGAAAAAACAATACACCTATACATGTAGATGTTGTACAAGCTTAAATAAGTTAAAAACCATTTAGGTATTGCACAGAAAATCTTTTTAAACCTGTTAGATATTATACAAGCTTTCTTTTTTTACTTTTATTAAATTTTGTTGACAGAGCAAATAATAAGCTCATCTTTTTTTTTTTGAGCTAGTGCATAATTTTTCTTTTTCATCACTATGACCTTGTTACACAGAGAGCTAAGACAGGCTGTGTATAGAACTCTGGAGACGATGATGAAATCTACTGGCTGTTTCCTGGAAACTGTGAGGGAGGAAGATAACCTGGTTCAGGAAATACTGACTGACTGTAAACCACTGGAGTGTAAGGTAAGGACCATGTAACAGACACTGACTGTAGACCACTGTAGTGTAAGGTAAGGGCCATGTAACAGATACAACTGAACTGTAAATCACTAAAGTATAGGGTAAGGACCATGTAACAGTTTTTATCCTGCCTGTGATAAAAATTGTGAAATTTCATTAGTCGAGAAGAATACTGCATAATGTTATGCTGTCTACCCACCTCATATTGCTAATGTGCCCCTCCACGTGATCTACCTACCACACATCAAATCAATATGCCCCCTCCATGTGCCATACTGCACAGATAGGTTGTTTTCATTTGAACATGCAAAGAGCCTAATAACTGATGTCATGTAAACATTAAATGACGTCACAATGTAGCAATTGTTACAGAACGATCTGTATATAACTCAGAAAAAAATGAAGTTTTTTAGAGAACCATTGGCAGTATAAATTTTTTATGTAGACACTTAGAGGGGTAATACGGAAATATGTGGGTTCCTAGAAAAAATACATATTGGGCTCTGCTTACGCCTCGCCCAATATGTATTTTTTCAAGGACCCCACATATTTCCGTATTACCCCTCTAAGTGTCTACATAAGTAATAATATATGTATGACTGTGAAGTAATTGAGTGCAATTGAACTTTTTATCAAAGATGTGAAATATTACAGAAAGACAGATTTGAAATTTTGTTTAACTGTTTCTTTGTTGTTGTTTTTTTTTATCAGAGTTCACTTCAAGTACAGAATGTGGCAGAGCCTTCACCTTCCAAGAAAAAGAAAATGATGGTCAACACTGATAAGGTGGACACAACCACAGAGCTGCTTAACAGGGTGACCAGTACCTGTACAGAATGTGCTTTACAAGGTAACTGATTACAGCTCAGTTAATTATTGTACAGTTGTAGATCAGCAAAACATTAATACACATGAATGAAGAATACAGCAATTAAAGATTGTAATTTACAAATAAAGCACAATTTGTGGACGTAACTTTCTAAATAGAAGGTATTAACTTGATATATCTTGTTTCTTCAAGCATTGTACTGGTGGACACTTGCAGATGGAGTCAAAATGAAGACCAAAACTTTTCAGGTAGGTGATTTTACTGTCATATTATTGAATCATGTCTCAAGAAAAAATATTTAAAAAAAAAACTGATGTTCATATATTCTGAAAGTGGCAAATACTCAAGTTCAAGATAGAAACACCTCCTTGAATATATTGACTTCAAGAGTTTGGTGTTTTTTTTGGTCACATGGTGCTGTTTTGCATAAACTGAGAACATGCATCATACATACTTCTCCAAATCTGACAGAATTTCCAAATTGGACAGAATTTATTAGAAACATCTTTTTTATGCCCCCGTTCGAAGAAGGGAGGGCATATTGCTTTGCTGCTGTCTGTCGATCGGTCTGTCGGTCCACTTAGTTTCAGTTCATTTTCTTGGCAACCATTGCACATACTGAAATGAAATTTGATATACAGATATATCACATGAATATGTAGGTAAAGTTTTGTTTTGGGTACGATCTCACCATTTTTGACAGAGTTATAACCCTTGGACTTCGAAAAATTCCAATTATTTGCAGTTTCCGTTAATTTTCTTTGCAGAGGTTGCACGTACTGAAATGAAATTTGGTATACAGATTTATCAGATGAATATCTAGGTCAAGTTCTGTTTTGGGTACAATAGCGCCATTTTTGAATGAGTTATGCTCTTTTGGACTTGGAAAAATTCCAATTTGGGGGGAGGGGGGGCATAAGTGTTTTACAAACATCTCTTGTATTCTTGGTGGGTCTCATATTTTGTTTAGTCTGTTTTGGTTAACTTTACATCACCAGTGCCCTTAGGTAAAGGGTTGGCATTGACCTTGAACCAAACTTCTAGGTTAAAGGTCAAAACAGTTCTTATTTTAAATCCTTGTCTGAATATTATATTATCTGCCCGTCAGGCAGTTTGGTTTACAATTTTCCAAGAACTACACTAGATCAAGAGTGTGTAGTATTTGAACCAAATCAAGAGCCTTAATCATAGCAGAATTTTATTTTGTGTGACTGTAAACTCCTTTGAGGTTGTGATTATTTTTTGCTATATAATTCTTGTAAACTAATTTTTTACCAATTACCAGTTTTACCAATTACATACAAGCATACTTTACCCTCTTATTCTAACGAAAAAAGTCTTGTGAAAATATCAGTGAACAAGGTGGCTCCACATTCAAGCCTCACTAGGAAATAAATATTAGGAAAGAAGATAATACATCTCTAAAAACTATTGCTGTCTGATACTCTGATGCTATCATAATAAGGGCCTTTGTTCAACTTGAAAAGCTCTTTATACAGATGTTGTCCTGTAAAATTATTTTTTTATGTAAACTTAATTTTTCATTGCAGCGAGTGTGTGATTTCATTATCACAACAGCATTGACAGTGTACAGAGGTGGACCTGACAAGTTATTCCCTTACAACAACTGGAGATGTAGGCTCCACCTACTGAGGGTCCTACAGGCATGTGTGATGACCCCACACAAAGAAGGGTCATCACCTCTACAGTGTGCAGTGGCCATATTCAAAATAGCAGAGCAAGATGACAATCTACAGGTATGTTGTTTTCACCTCTGAATTAGATAGAAGTTATCTATCAATTTTTTGCATAAAAGGGCAATCATCAGCATTAGTATGCAAGAAGAGTGTGGGTTGTCATTAAATGCCAGATTAATCATAAAGAGTTGTGCCATAGATTTCAATGTTATAGATGTCTACCAATTGGATGAAGATTTTAAAACTACTTTTCACAATCCAATTCAAGAAATCAGAAATTACAGTATGAACTAGAAAAGCGACACACAGTAAATCATTAAAATCCCTGTGTAATTTTTAATTAAGATGAAATGTTGAGCAATGTCTTATCTACATCTCATCAATTAAACAAATACAGTATTGATACAGTAACAAAACCAGATTATTATCTGGAAATGTTTTCCAGGTTTCCTCGTTTTGTATAGAAGCACAAAGAGTTTGTGAGAAATGTTGAGCAATATACAATTAAACAAATACAGTATTGATACAGTTGGCAAAACCAGATTATTTATCAAATGTTTTAGCCATTCCTCGTTTTGTATAGAAGCACAAAGAGTTTGTGAGATTCTGATACATCCTCGGGCTCCTTGTTTGACTGCCACACGATTTGTGACTCAGGAGAAGATAACTCCTCCAGTGTCTGACAGCATACTGACACCAAGTGGCAGTGACAGTCAACAGCCAGGCAGTGACTCACAGCACTCAACCAATCAAAGAGTGTCTAACATTGTACTGACAACAGGCAATGATAGATCTCCTAGTCAACAGACAAACAGCGACACAGCTCACTCAACCAATCACACACGAGGTAAACATGCTGCCTTTATTGGGACCTATTCTGATTCCTTTATAGACAAACTTGATGAGACAGAGAAAAAAAAATTAAAAATACATGTATCTGAGAATTTGAGATGACAAAGTGGCTTTGAAATACTATGGAATCATTCTAATTGAGGGGGAGTGGGGCAGTATTTATGGGAAACTTGTTCATTGAGGGGTTTTGTAGGTTACTTGTTAATATGGTAGATTCAAGGAATTCAATGTGTTTACAAAATAAATATTTGAGACAGAGAAAAAAAATTTAAAAATACATGTATCTGAGAATTTGAGATGACAAAGTGGCTTTGAAATACTATGGAATCATTCTAATTGAGGGGGGGTGGGGCATGGGAAACTTGTTCATTGAGGGGTTTTGTAGGTTACTTGTTAATATGGTAGATTCAAGGAACAAAATAAATATTTACATGGGATGACCATGTAAATTTGTGGGTAAGAATGACCCATGGAATTGATGAGCATTGGTCCCCAACAACCAATAACAAGTCCACAGTATCAATAGTATTTGAGATATTCATGTTTTAGATAATGAAGTTCAATTGTATTTGATATTTTAAAGCTTTAGCAAATTAAGCTGAAGAAAAAAGTGGAGAGATCTGCTAAGTAGAATTCTATCATGTTTTGTTTCAGATTCAAGTCACCTATCACCTGATGTAGAAGAAAACACAGATGGCATTGAGAGCATGGAAACTGGAAGGGAGGAAGAGAATCAGGGTATACTAAGTGAAATTGACAGCAACTCATCTTGTGTGGAGGTCATAGATACTCCCAAAAATCAGGAGGGAGAAAATGAGGTCATAGAGACACCTCAACCATCCCAGGGTCAACAGGTGGAGGCATCCATCAGAATGGTGGGGACTGAAGAGGACTCCACAAATCCTATACAGGACTTACAGGCACCTGTAGGTGTTTGTGTGGAACTGATTGAAAACAAGGTGCAGACTTCAGAGTCAGTTACAGAACACAAAGAAATACATTCATCCAATGACAGCACAGGTGATCTGGTGGAGAAATCTGATTTACCTGTTAGTGACAGTGATAACTCAAGCAAAGCTCATATCCAGGACGATTCAGACAAAATTAAGGTAGAGTTTTACAGATATTACAGAAATATTTAAAAAATTCAATATAATGAACAGAAATATTTTAAAATGTTGAACAACATTAGGGTCACTGCAGCCCAAGAATCTCTGGATTTGATATTTAAGGAAATTTCAGTTATTCTTGTGGGTCCAACATGCTGAATAATCTACATGTATATGATCCCTTATGACCAGTCATAATTGCTTGCAAAAAAGTTAAAAAGTTAAAGCCCCTCATAGAGTTTCTTGAAGTTCTGTTTGAGAGAAATTAATTTTGTTATTCATTTTTTTACAGAGTGATGAACTGGAGGACATGTTAATGACGTTTGCAGACGTGGACCCAGAATAAACCAGCTGTGGTATCCCAGCATATTAATGTTTGTTAAATGTTCAATAAAGAGATACTATGTTGCTTGAAAATCTTTGTGTTAGTTTGTTATGATTTATCTTTTCATCGTCAACTTCCCATACCTATGCAACAGTATATCCTTATCACCTGCATATGGATTTTATGCTCTCAGTTGATTTGATATGCAAGAGCATGATATACATGTACTTATAAACAATTTCTATAATGGAGTAATTTATTGACAAACAAGTTGATGAAACAAGGATATCAATAGTCTTGTTTAAAGTTATCATTTCATAAGTTCTGTATAAAATGCTATGACCTTGTCATCAAACATATATCATTTAGCCAAATGCTGACAAACATTTTTAATACTAATTATTAGACCATTATTTACACACCAAATTGTTTACAGATTTTTTCTGTTATTTCTCAATCATGATGAAGAGCACATGGCAAGTGTGACCTGTCAGAAGGGGATGCTCACTCCTCCATGGTATCTGATCCCTTATTTGATGTTTTAGAGGTTCCAGTTTGCTCTGCTCCTGTTTGTAATGTATGAATAGACTTTTGAGCTTGATTACTGTTTGTTATCTCCATGTATTTAATTTTAAAAGAGAAGACCCAAAGGTTCTTAAGCACAACAATTCTTTTACATACAATATTAACGGTGCAGTTACCTTGTGCCTTGAACATCTTGAGATATCTCAGGATTCAAGATATCATTGATAGTAAGGACTTTTAAATCACTTTGACATCTATCAATGGTACTGGAGATCTATATCAGTGTTTGAGACAGTGAAGTTAAATTGTACCTGCAATATCTTAAGGGAAAAAAATCAAGATGAAAGAAGATAAAGGTAAGAGGCTTTTTAATGATATTGCATGAAAAGGAGTGTTACAAAAAAACCGAGTGTACATGTATAAATTAATGATTTTGATATTTGACCTTTTTAATGTACTGGGGTCTACCTTAGGCCAAAGGGAGTTTTGATATTAGATCTAACTGAAGAAAGCTCAATGAAAACTTGAGTCACTATTTGGAAAAAGATTTTCTGACTTTGGCATTCTAACTTTTGATCTCAAATAAAATGGTTCTATTGGCCATAATTAAACATTTGCTATATTTGATATAAAAATTAACTACAAAAGTTCAACAACTTTTTAAGACGTCATCTTGAAATGACATTCCATTAACAAATATATAAATTTATGACCTTGACCTTTGACCTAAAATACTAAAGGATTTTTTTTATAGGTCATTTGAAGCTGAGATATAAGATAATAATTGCAAATATCTAAGGTTAAGATAATGCTCGAAAATGAAAGTTTTACACACAAAGTGAATGTAAAATTATAACATTGATCCTTGACCTTTTGACCTCAAAATTTATGAGACCCCCCTCCTTCCGATTACAGATACTACGTGCCTGTGATTATTTCTTTTATCAAAATAACATTTGTCGGTAGAATTTTATTTTATTTTTTTAGGTTCTAAGAACACGTTTCGATACGGCACATTTCATTTTTAAGAAACTGAACGCTTTTACATTGATTGTGCAACTCGGTTCTATATGCACATTTTCTTCTTAATTAATTATGAGATAATCTTCCGTAATTACAAGAACATGTGTGTAATCTTTTATTAATACTAACATGCTTTCCTAAATATATATACCTTTATAAATATTTCCGATAAGACAAAAAGAATGTTCGGAATATTTGTGTCGTTGTTGCTGCAGTCCGTCTTTTATCGCATGCCGTTGCCCTATCACGTGACATTAAAATAACGCTTAAACAGGAGCAGGTGGTCGCTAAGGTAAACGATGCAGATAAAACTGAATATTGTATTGTTTAAAAGCTTTATTATCGTAAAATTTCAGTGAATTGAATCTTTATGGAATTTGTCTATACTCTAGACTAATTTACGGGAAATTCTTTTGAATTTTAAATTACGCTTAACTTGTTAGTGAACATGGATCAACAAACACCGCCATTAGATCTAAATGTATGATAAACTTACTGATGAAGTTTGCGTAGCTACACAGTATTATATAAACAAGCTTGTAGCAGATGTAGAAAGGTGTTTGAATCAACCAATGCAATATAATTTCAAGCAATGAAATCAAAGCATTAGCTAGACTATATTTCTGTGAAAACTATATTAAAAGCAAGATGTATTAATTGTCTCCATCAAACTCACTGGCTTTTTGTTTTGTTTTTGTTTTTTATTAATTCATTAACTTATATTTCATAGACTTGCTGATGCTCTGGATATAACATGTCAGATAAAGGTTCTCGAACAGGAACCCCAAAAGGGGGTTCTAGGAAAAGCTCCAAAGCTGGGACCCCACGTGGTTCGAAAAGTGGAACACCAAAAGGTTCTAAAAGTAATACTCCATTGCCAACAGATCCCACACCTGTTGCTCAGGAAATCACAGAGGAGGAGTCCCAGGCCGCTGGTGCTTGTAAGTCGGTGTCTCTGTGTGTCACCCACAATATGCCACATTTATAAAGTTAACTTTATACACATACTGTATATTTTACTCATGTAGATCTAGCTACAGAAAAAAGTTCACATATTGTGAAATCAGAAAGTGAAACTTAATTAAAAAAAATTTAGCCAAGTAAGAAATCTACATTTCTGATCTCTTTCATAATTGTTTAATTCACTTCGTATACATTGTTCATATTTCACCAGCAAATGGTGCCTTACAACCAACTGAAGTTGACATAACAGCTGCAGGAACATCTAATGGGACAGTAGAAACAGAGCCAGAGACTGAACAAGAAGAAGTGGAGGAGGAGGACAAGGGACCCAGTGTGGTGAGTGAAGGAGAAGAGAAAACACAGAGTGTGTTGTAATACACAGTGTACATGCAGTTACACAGAGCAGTCTTCACAACAATTCTTTTTCAGCACATGCCCTTTGGGCATGTATATCTATCATTTTAACCCAGCCCAATGAAATTTGTACATGCCCTACTCAAAATTCATTTATATAGCAGATATGATTGTGCAACAAAAAAACAAGGTTTTTGTAATAACTATAAGGACAGTGCTTCTGTTTTTAAATTCTCCCGATCTTAAGTTTAAATTGTTTTCAGAGTTTTAAATCAACTATGGCCTGCATGTCTGCCATTTTCGTATGCGTTTTTGTTAAAAACTTTTGACTCGCATGCTGGTCGTTTGTTGGCCGGTATAGCTTATCTGAATTTCAGAAATAGGATCATGATCACGGCGCGTCAATTTACCCAAATGGACCCAAATGGAAACACAAATGGACCCAAATGGAAATCAAATGGAATATTAAACATGTGTTATCGTATTTTAATACTTATTTAAAATGATGAAAATAATGAACTTACAGTTACAAATGGATTTTTTAAAAAAAATTATTAATCTCTAATATTGTATTTTGAAGCATGAAGTTTTGATAGTATTCTATATACCGCATGGCCTCCCCCCACCCCCCCCCCCATCCATTCCTACGGCCATAAGAAATATCAAATACTTCAGTTTTGTATTCAAGTATGTTCAATAGTTATTACAAATAGAATTAAATCGCATTTTTAAAAATACAATTGAAGATAATAATGATATTAAAATATTCTCTTTTTGTTTTAATTTCATTATTTTCTATATTTCAAATAAGTAAAAACTTGAGAATACGATATAATATATATATTTTATATTCCATTTGGGTCCATTTGAGTTTCCATTTGGGTCCATTTGGGTCCATTTGGGATCCATTTGGGTTCCATTTGGGTCCATTTGGGTAAATCGACGCACCCTCATGATCATCATGGCAGCAGTCCACTGCACGTGGTATCAATAGACATATCGTAATTTAGCAAGAAACGAAGAGAAAACAAATCGGTTAAATTAAACACTTTTATTAATGATTACAATTGACAATCATTTGACAGGTCGTACAGATATTGTAACGTAAAAGACTGGCAATCTTAAGACATTATATAGTAAGTTTACGCGAACAACTGGGGTACGACAGAAGAAATAGCAAATAAACATTGTGAATCAAAAGAAAATTCAACATGCACTTCAGGCATGTAATTTGAGAATTTTCACATGCCCGCTGGCAAATTTACCAGGTCCCGGGCATTATTATTTCGAAGACTGCAGAGTACTGTACGTAACACTGAGTACAAAACACAAGTGCACAGTAACATATAAAAAGTTACAGTAACTAGGAATGAACAGTTACTCAGAGAATAGAAAAAAGTATTTATCACTTAGAGAGTTTAAAAACATAATATACAGTTAAAAGAAAAGGAGTACAATAGCAATACAAAATGTATTATACAGTATGCAATTGCAGAAAGCAGCATAAAGGAAAAGCCAAGTGCACAGTAACAGATTGAGTAATTGTAGCAAAAGTATTAAGTATACAGGAATATTCATGTTAAATTGTTATTGAAGAATTCTGAAATTTAAACTTTTTCAAGTGCTTCCTGATATTGTTAAGAGATTTTAAAGGTCGACCCCCAATATAGGTCCAATTTCCTTAAAGAATAATAACACTTTTAGAAATTGATAGTAATGTATTAAGGTCACATATTATATTTTCCAGAAATGATCATAAGTTCTTTCTTTTCTTGTTCAGATTTCATTGATCAAAGAAAGAATCACAGTTCAAGGTTTGACAGAGGAGTTATGGAAGGAAGTTCATGATGATGCAATCAATCAATTCATCAATGACCCGGGTACTAAAATGATGGTGGCCTACATGGACCCGTACAAAGGCTTCCTGGTAGAACATGCCATCCCAGCCTATTTAGTGGACCAGCTGACTTATTTCATCAAAGCCAGCAGCATTAAAGAACTCAATGCAGAAACTTTCCTCAACAAAGTACAATACGGCACCATCAAAGGAAATCAGATTGAGAGCTTGCTCAGAATGATGATGGGCATATATGCTCCAATCTTCTTTGAGAACACAACATGGCCAGACAGTATCCTTCACAAAGTTTATTTTTTTCTATTAATTAAAAGTACCGGTAACATATTTTTTTTTGCTTATCAGAAGGATGGTTAAAC